TCTGTAGGTTCAACTCAGGATCCATGCCAGGAGAACTAATGCAAAGAGTGAACTCGGGAAAAGTGAGTAGAGTGAAATAGATGCTCCGAGTTGACCTGACCGTTCCATCTAACTTTCACCTGGAACCCACCATCCACCAGATGACCCCACCAGATGACCAGGTATCTCAGTGCCAATTATTGTGTGTCCGGACCTCCTTGAGGCCCAGCCTCGCCGGACGTGGCCATTATTTGATCCGTGGATTTGACTTCTTCGTATTGAGTATTGAATATGTTGTTTCCCTGCGAAGGAAGCTGATGGGTAACTCTTGGACGTGCGGAAGAGAACACGGCAGTCCCCGGCAATTACTTACTCTGCGACGACCCCACATTCTGCTGCTTTAACCAGTCAGACGGTCTTACCCCTACCAAGAAATGCCTCCAGGTGCGCCCCACATGAACACCCCTTCTTTATTCGAACGGATTCTAAAGGATTGATGAGCACAAGCACTATTAGCCACGTCTGATCATCCGATGTGACTATGCATTGCGAAACCACTAGCAACGTCTAGACACGAGGACAGCCCTGTGCATAATGGTATAAACTGCTAACATTATTGCAACTAAGGTTGCGACAAAGTTAAGACATGCACGCAGGGCACAGTTTGATTGAGATCGGAGCGTATCGATATATATACTATCAATTTGGTGGGATACCGCAGGAATAGTAGGTACGAAGGGGGACCATAAGTACATAGGACATGAGATATAATAGCACCATTGGAAGACGAGATGACGAACACGGGTGGTGATTGCAGGGCACAGTAATTCTGTGCTATATTCGGTACCGGCCAGTACATAAAAATATCCATCTAATTCGGAAAGAGACATGCCGCTGGAATATTTCGCGTTATCATCCCAAGCATGCACCCTCGACTAGGTGCTTGTGTCTACAGAACATATGTAATGCTGTCCTGCTAATTGAGTTGATAAGCTCTCTCTCGACGTGTTTTCCGTGTCCTCCAGTTTGCACAGGACGAGATCTACAATATGAACTACTGCCCATCAGTGACCTTATTGGCGGCACTGAGATCTCACATGACTGGCCACAATAATTGCATCCTCCTAAGGTATTGTCCTAGGATACAGCCCAGATGGGCTACCAATGATCGTGTCCGCAATAGGAGCATGGTCAAAAAGTCTTTGTTCAACATGGGAATGGTCAATCCAATTGGATTACGGTTCCGCCTCGGAGAGCATTTAACGACCCTGCGAATTGTGAGGCGCACAAAGTCATGGCCAGCCTCTCCATTCGGAAAACACGGGTGCTTCAAGCTCTGTAACTGGTGGTTAGACACACGGTGACGGTACCTGCGTACTCTTTGAGGCGAATTGTCCACATCTGTACCCTCAAGAATCGATCTTGCCGTAGTCAACACCTACTCTGCTCCGTCTCGCGCGACATATTTATGTCGACGAGAATCCGTAGATCTTGGGAGCTGCCACACCATGCAGTCTTCATTGCAGTCCCGCGTTGAACGGGAAGAGCAGTCGCTGGAGGCATACCGCGAGGAACACTGTAAAGGCAGTGCTCGCGTTCGGCTCGATTGCCTCTCGTTTGATAACGGGTTTGTCCATTTTATGAACGATGGCCGTAACTCTATCCGACTGGAGCGTATCTTGGAAATCCAGGGCTGCCTTCGCATCAATCGAGACTACCATGTGCCGGTACTGGTCAAGGCTGCGGACTGGGGTCACCGTATTCGATTCAGCGAGAGCGGAAATGGGCGCTTGCCGGAACTGGTCGTACCGTTGGATACCGTCCTTCGTGCAATGAACCATGAGAGCCTCATCTCGGCAGCGCGGAAGTGGCTCAGCCCGCAGAACCGCTGGTGGGTGGTGGATGTGTATGTAGAGGATCAAGGTAGGTGCCACCACGATGTTCGATATTCGGCGGGTACGCCCGGGGCTCCGAAACCCCCTCTATGTCGCTGGCTGACGATGGCCAGGACCGGGAAACGAGGAGACCCATGTGGATCATCCCGGACAACGCCAACTCGGCGCCCGTCTGGTCCGGTCTCTGCAAGAACAGTTTCGGAACGAACGGCAGCCGCCCGATGGGCTAATTTATCAGAAGCTTCGCCTGTACGAAGGGGCACTCGACCAGCCTGCCGATCGTGACGCGGCCAACAGGTGGTGGGCGATCCTGCAGAATAATCCGGCCACCAAGAAACACAAATACCTCCGTGCATTCCTCCGCCACGGCAGCTTCCCACAAGCTTTCGATGCCCTGCTTCCGATTCCCGGGCTCTGGGCCGGAATGCAGATCGGCGTCCTCCACACCCTGGTATCCCTTAGGTGTGACGAAGTAGGCGATCTAGTCGACGTATGGAGCGGAGACAGCCCGGAAGCTGACAATATTGCCACCAGGAAATACTGTCCTACCTTGAGTATATACGACATACTTTCGTTACCAGGATCTTCGGAGATGATATGGAGCTTGCAGCAGGTGCGGATGCCGCGAGCGTTCAGATGTTGCAGTCCCGTGCTCCGAAGGTATCGAACCGTGACCTGCACTTTCTGGAGAAAAGGATGAATGACGGGACTCTCTTCCCATCTGTTCAAGACGGCACGAAGCGAAATGCCGTCTGGAACCGATTGCAAACCATCGGTGTTCCTATTCCCACCCTGCAGACTTTCTTTTCCGACTTGCGGTATTTGGCTGTTGCCCGCAAGGTTATGCGAACGTTGCTCCAGATCAATAATCCGAAGACCAAGATGTCCATCGATGAGAGGCTGGGTGGCCAGCACCGCATGATCGGACGTCTTCCCCTGGGCCAAGGCATGGGCGTAGTTCGGCAAGGCCTGCGCGAGCTGTGGCGCTTCAGCTTTCAATATGGCCTGGAGATGACGGGAACCGCCCGCTGCCAGCCTCGCGATCACCGGACACAGGAAGCTGCAGCAGTGATACCCGACATGACTGCTTCAGTAGATCGGTCGAGGCTCTGGCAACACTTCTTCTGGCTGGCCGACCACGAAGGCTTCAGCACCCCGTCCGTTGGTGATTTCGGGGCCGGTCCAATGGAACACCCCGTGGTCCCGACACCGGCGAACAACCCCGCAGTCTGGGACGAAGATGAGCCCGTGTCCAGACGACTCGGCATTCCCTTTGCCCACACAGTCGACGCGGACCGGACCGCCCTGTCCAAGGAGGCGTTGGAGCAAACTTGGGAACTACGGAGCGTCTCACCGACGCTGATCCGGCAGGCGCAGTTCCGAGCCTTCTTTCGCCACTTAGGCGGGGATACCCCCGACAGTGCCACCATTAACCCCCCTGAGAGCCGGGTATCGGCGACACCTGTGGACACATTTGTCTCGGAGCCCGCAGTGCCCCAGAACACCACCGAAGGCACCACTGAACGGCGTGGCACATCCCCAGTTCTTCCGCCGGAAGTTTCAGATATCGTAGACATAGACAATGCCGAAATCTTCTGGAACACGGGGATGGATATGTGGGACACTTTCTTACCCTTGCGGAAGCTTCGCGTGCAGATCAGGGCGCCTTATTGCCCGGAGAGGACAATCAACGTGCCCAGCGACAGGGATCGTGTTATCGGGTTTCTGGATGGGCTCTCCGCCTGCGGTTTTGTTCTTGATATTGCCCATATTCGTGGTGCCCAGAGTGCGGACATTTACGAGTGGCACACCGGACACCCGTTCGATGAGGTACAAGCCACACTAACCCAGGACGTCATCAGCAAGTACGATGTACCCTCAGAAAACCGGCTGAAATGGCGACGGCGAGATCTGGACCCTAGCACTGTGAAAGATACTGTGGACGAGGTCATGGCGTGGATCAACCGGCAAGTACAGTTATCGGTTGTTGAAGAGGAGCTGTAAACCGTATCGGCATAATGACAATCTGACCTTTGCCACCCGGGCAAACTCGGTGTGGAGCAAGGTCATGGTTATTTGCTTCGCAGGCGGCGCCCCGCTTGGCACATGGATTCCGTCATGCCGCTCTAAATAAATTCCTCTCGGCTTGGAGCCGTTGCACCACGCTGACGCGCCACAGGAGGAAGGGTCCAGATAATTCTCGTGAACGCTTGAAACTTGTCATTAATGCACGGAAATCAACACCGGCGTACGATATGGGCCGATCCCATTAGCGAATCCACAATGGATCCCTCAAAACCGTTCGTTCGAATGAGGAAACGGGCGAATGCTGCACAAGAGCCTTTCCGCCATGTATACGATCAAAGCCCTTGGGAACACTATGAAGCGGGGGCAGAAGCATTCTGTGGCCGAGACGTCACTCTGGCCCGACACCGCGGACATAAAATGGGGGTGGTCCATGTCCAGTGCCTGAAGATGGATCGATCATCTGTTGAGTCGCGGATCAAGACCATCGATCAATACAAACACCCAAGCTTTCCTCGCCTCTTGGACGTCTACAACGCTGGTGAACACCACTTTCTGGTGTGGGAGCCCGTGGAATTCTCGGTGCAGCACCTCCTGAATATCGATCTGCGCCTCTCCGATGCTGACATCGCCCTGATCATCCGGCCGGTAGGTTATTTACCAGCGTCCTATGTGCAGCTGCTCACAGTGCTGGCAGGTACTGGAAGGTATTCAATTTCTTCAGGATCAATGACTCGTGCTGGCCGCTCTGAGCCCGTATGCCATCATGCTGACGGAGGATGGTAATGTGAAGATTGGTATGTCGCGCCGACTCTCACGCGGTTGGCTGGTGGACTAACCGTGTACATTCAGTGGGTGTGGAAGAGAGCTGCCGAATTCCAAACGAGGATATGCACGCCGACACGCTCAAGCTAACCGCTCTTGCCGTGATTATCAAGCAACTTATGGACCGTGTCGCGGCCACGATGGAGAAATGGAAAAGGCCTCATTCCTGGGGACCGGAGATCAACTCTTTTCTCCAGAACCTAAGAAAGAAGACCCCGGATGAATTGCTTAAGGTAAATTAGTGCACCCCTTCAGGCCACCAATCACTTTCCTGAACTTGGCTCCAGGATCCATATCTCGCCTCGCGGACGGTTGGGGGCCTGAGATGGCTGGCAACCGCCGCTAACAAGGAAGTGCGACATGAAATCCGGCGGCTCAATGCGGACGGAGTCCAATACGACAGGGTTTGAATTGGGAGGCTGGCCGTGACCGGGTTGATGTGAAGTACTTTGTTCTACATTATCGGAAGCGGAAGACAAGTCTGTTCGCATTATCTGCCCTATGCATCCACCATCGTAGGATTGGGATATATACACAGATTCTGAGGCTGCCTTCGCTACTTGACCAAATAACTCGTGCTCTACCTCCGCATCCACGGTACGCAGTAAAGCTATCGGCACAAAGGGACTGCCCCGGAGCCAGTGCCGAGGGGGGTTTCATTTCGAGATTGGTGTCGCTGTAGAAGCCGGATCGCCTGCGAGATATCGTCCCTTGCGAAACGTAGTCCCTCTTGCAGGCTAGCTATAGAGCGTTCTTGCCGCGCACCCTCCTCCTCTAGCTTCCGGTATTTCGCTTCCCAACGGCTACATGTATGAGACATGGTTTCCGCATGGCGCTGGATACGACCAATCTCGCTCTTGAGCTTCTCGTTCTCGAGGCTTAGCCGCTGGATGACGGCAGTGAAAGACTCGTCGCCAAGAGAAGGCTCCTAGGGTCATATTTGAATTCAGATCATGACAAAGACGTGGTGATGCACAGCAACCGACCCTAGGGTCGCGTGGACTTACGTCATCTTCACCGAGGTACGTTGGCCCATTATCCCCGAGAACTTCGGGGCGTACCGCTTCGATCGACACGCCCAGCTCGGCACATATAGCGTCATACCGTCCCACCGACCCATTGCTCAGACTTCCCTGTAAGAGGTGGGCTGATCGGTCGGTAACGGACCATGCATACCCATCGTCCTGAGATGGCTGCAAGCGAACTTCGCTGGGCGCAATGTGTAATCCGAGACGTTTATCTAGGCAGATTTTGTCAGTCCCTACAATCTGCGATGGGCCATTGGGCGCGTACGGATATGATCGGCCAGGGCTTCCCGGCACTGCTGGCGTCGTTGAGCTCGCTTCTCATTGCTGGAGAGAGCCATTCTCGCACTTTGTCCTCGACCGATGTGGGAGCTGATTAGATCGCCTGTGGACCAGATATGTATTATATGCTACTCAATCTGTCGTACATGAAGCCCGGGTGGTTGAAATAACCCTGAGGAGGTGCAGTCACTGTCCACAAGGGGACACAGGATTCCACTCCACGACCTGCTGGGTATGTGTGCAAACCGCGGAAGGTGAGAGCGATGGTCGATTAATTGAGACTTCAGTTATCTTTGTTATGTGCGAGGTACTGGGGCAACTCAGCTGGGCGTAAGTTGATCTCCACCGGTATTGTGCATTGCCCGGATTTTGACCGGTCAAATAAGACCAACCCGCTTGTACGAGAGTCCATGCCCAGGTAGACGAGAATGGTCATTATCGGAAAGCCACAAGATTGCAAGATATCTTGCGCTGCATTATGGTCGCATCATGACCGTTGCGTGAGCAAAAATTGCCCTGTCCCATTGATGGATTGTGAGCCTGCATTCCCGGATGACTTGTGGTAGGTTGATAGGGGACAATAATATCGTGCTCGGCTCACGAATGAACGTAATATAGACATACTTCATATTATAGTTCGTTTCATAACTCGATTTAAGTCCGTGAGATCGCGCCTACGGGTGCGCCCCGAAAGGAGATTATATCCAGTGCTATCTGCTTGGGGATGGTCAGGGTCTTGGCGAAAGGATCGGTTAATCTTGACGGCTTCGACCCAGTACAGTATTCGGGTCCTATCATTTTCCTGGGTAGACACCAATGGGATTGCTGGTCCTGTTGAGTGACGAGCGTGTACAGTTCATTCCCGCGGGTGCTCTTTTGAAGGCATGGATATAGTTATTTTCCCATCATTTAAAGGGAATCCCGGAGGATTTCAGACCGCATCGCTGTGAGTGAGCAAGTTCTACTTCCACTTCGATGACAATATGCTGTTTGACATGCATGTATTCGGTAATGCCCTGTTGTCGCCCGCCGCCCTCAACCGATCATGAAGCGTACCTAAATACTGGGCCCATTCGTTCTACAACCCCATGGAATACTATCAGGTTGAAGAGGAAAATAGGAGATGGTTCTGTAACAGGACGTAACAGGATTTAGGCAAGGCGGGAGGCAAGGAGAGTATTGCAGTCGTGGACAAGACACCACCAACCACTCTTCACAGATATAAAACCAGTTGCGGATCGATGATCATCTACAAACGAAGGAAATTTAGTATATCCTTTTTGACACACCTTGTGATACGCATCACGCTTGCGCCCAGTGGCAGTCGCGCTTTTACCAAAACAACAACAAAGTACGACGAAGAATTGGATAGATGTCGAAGTATCACTACTGAGCTCTTACGTATGTAAGCCACGAAGTTTCCATTATTGCAGCTAAATCTCGGTCGGAAACTAGGCGTGGACAGACAGTCTATCTTCGGATGATCACTAGTGCAGATTAACGCTGCAAAAGGATCGTTTTGCGCATGACAGAGGATATAAAGACAAGATTTTGTGACGTTGCAAAACAGGGCAACAGCGGCAAGGCTGTAGCACTTTCTTGTCCATTTCTCAGGCTCCAATGGCCCGCTCCAGGCCCAGCCATGATACTGTTCCGCCAAACTGCGGTTACAATCCCACCCAACCCGGCTATTAACGCTTGACCTGCGTCGATCGATACCTGATCCGACACTCGGTCAGTGGGCCCAAGGCTAGTAGTACATTGTTTTTCCTGCATGATATTTTGCACGAGCCAATACCGGTCCACTAAAGGAAACAAAAAGAGTGTACTTTGTTCATCCGCAGATAGCTCCTTACACCAAATGTTCCTATGCGTAATTAATCGTCTCTCTGATCGTCCTCTTCGGGCTTTGAGCCGTCGCGTCTTTTCTGCACCAATTTTATCCTTGTTTTGCGCGACTCGCGCATGAACAATCGCCATTCCAGCCGAAATATGTGTAAGTTTGTTGCGTCTCAAAGCTGCCGTGTCGTCTTGTTTCAAAACATACAAGGCGATATGCTGCCTCTGACTCCTGTAAGACTAAGAAAAGAGAGGCCATTGTCATTTTGGACCTCAATTTCTTGCTGAACCTGGAATTCGTTCGGTATCCGTATTTGAGGTCTTCAAAGAGTGACGTTCGCATCTAACGGATAATCCCGGATTTTCGATCACTTTCGACCAGAGTCTTGCGATAACTTGTCAAGTGTCCGTTGCCTGTTAAGGCAAACCAAACTACTGCATGTACAGTATGTCAGGTGCGGACGTGTAAGATACGCGATAGAATTCCTCTCTTCTCTCACTGCCGTTCTTCGCACTCTTGCGCTTCTACAAATATTACAGTCAAACCCTCCGTCCACTCTCTACCGTCGGAAGATGTTGATCCTGCCAAATGAACCGCAAAAGATGATTTTCGCTGTTGTACTTTCTTTTCTACTGGCCCATGCACGGGCCGCTCGCTTGCAATTTCCGGCCGATTGCACACTGGAAAATATGTTCCAAGACACGTCAAATCATACCGTGCCGACATTCTCATACCCTGCTTTAGCTTCTGAGTAAAGGTAGGGCAATTTTTGATCTCGGAGTTGCGATGTCCAGGCGGCAGTGGGAAGGCGGTAGGCAAGTCACAAAGGCGCCACTACAATGGAGCGCAGATAACTTCTCTAGCTGCCTTATGAGCGACGCATTTTCCTTACAAGGTTAAAATTTACGCATTTGTAGGAATAGCGGGCAATGGGAACACCCTAGGCATCGCCTGTGACCGGGGATAAGACCAGCCTTCCGCGCACCAATTGGATCTTCATCAGAAAAGGGTCTAGAACAGATGCGCCTTGCATACGACCACAACATATGCTCTGCGTAGACGGCGATCGACTTGTTCTGACTCTTGGTGTTATGGTGACGTAAGTTACTCACGTGATAGCGAGAAGGGTGACAGGCGTCGAGTGTGCCGGACTTTCCGTTCCACACACTTGCTAAAAGCAGAGCTGAAAGAGCACGGAACGGTCCGCACTGGCGGCCCCTGTGAACCATGCCAGGGTGAGTTGAGGCTTGCAGATCCCACTAGGATCACAACAAAGCTGGAGACAGTCTTGCACGTTCCACCAGGACTAGGTTGGTCGATAAAGCAGGGTGGCCTATGCATAATAAACCACTGTGATATCTTGTCCCATACCAAAGTTTATAGCATTCTAGTCATAGCTCATCTGTACCTATGGACTCCACTTTATGCTTTTTATCAATTATCTACCTTTGTTGTTCCACTCTTGCCATATATGCATGCATCTATCTTACCATATCCTTGTCCGTAGAAGCAAGTGCATTCGTAGCCATCGTATTCGGTCCGTCATCAAACTACACACACTACCTGTCATCTCGTATGCTCAGAGAACCTCCCGACCTTTAGCACATACTACGTCGCCGACTTTCTTAAATGATTTATCCTGCTATCCTCGCCCCACCTGTACCATCCTGGCGACCCCTCAGGCCATATCATTATCTTACCTGTACCGTCTGGTCCTCTCCCGTGTTGCTCAGCCAGCTCTTGCTTGTTTTACCAGCCATAGATGCTCCCCAGCACTCCCTTCAGTTTCTAAGTCCTGTTCTGTGACCTTACCTAGCATGCGATCATGGTTGCAGGCGTTACGCGTAGGTTCGCTTGTTCATGGGAGCATTGTGACAAGGTGATATAAGATCTCTTGTCTTGTCATATCCATACTGAGAGTTACAAGTCCTTTGCCCGCAGAGCAGACCTCCACAGACATTACCGCATCCATACCAACGAGCGACCATACTCTTGTATTGTCGAGAATTGCAAGAAGAGTTTTATTCAGCGGAGCTCCCTGAAAGTCCATGAAAGAATACACACGGGAGAAAAGCCATACATCTGTGTCCATCCTGAGTGCCAGAAAGCCTTTTCCGATGTACGATCATTTCAGCTTGACTTTTGGAAGCTCAAGATCTGACACCTGCCTATCTTAGTCATCTAGTTTTGCTCGCCATCGGCGGACCCATCTCAGGGTGCGGCCTCACGAATATGGTACACCAACATACAAAGAAAGGTACATTAGAATTAGAAATTCTGCCATTATCTACTGAGCTCGCTCTTAGATTTTCAGTAATAACTCACGTCTCAATAGGCATCGACGACGGTCTCACTTACCAAAATCGAGGACCGACAGGGAGACCTCGAAGAGCTCAACTGATATCTTCAGCATTGCAAGCGCCACGCCAACCTCATCTGCAGACCGTCGTGCTCCACGCCCTGAGCATGTTGCTTGCCCCAGGACTTGCGCCTCTTCAATCTCTTCAGTGTCTCTTGAGTCTTGGCCCGTTCAAAATCAAACCCTGACTTCAATACCTGTTGAGCAGCTACCGGCTGAAACCCAGAACTTCTCGGGAGCGGACTCATACCTTCCGGACCATGATTTTCATCACCATCAGGTGNATCTTGCACGTTCCACCAGGACTAGGTTGGTCGATAAAGCAGGGTGGCCTATGCATAATAAACCACTGTGATATCTTGTCCCATACCAAAGTTTATAGCATTCTAGTCATAGCTCATCTGTACCTATGGACTCCACTTTATGCTTTTTATCAATTATCTACCTTTGTTGTTCCACTCTTGCCATATATGCATGCATCTATCTTACCATATCCTTGTCCGTAGAAGCAAGTGCATTCGTAGCCATCGTATTCGGTCCGTCATCAAACTACACACACTACCTGTCATCTCGTATGCTCAGAGAACCTCCCGACCTTTAGCACATACTACGTCGCCGACTTTCTTAAATGATTTATCCTGCTATCCTCGCCCCACCTGTACCATCCTGGCGACCCCTCAGGCCATATCATTATCTTACCTGTACCGTCTGGTCCTCTCCCGTGTTGCTCAGCCAGCTCTTGCTTGTTTTACCAGCCATAGATGCTCCCCAGCACTCCCTTCAGTTTCTAAGTCCTGTTCTGTGACCTTACCTAGCATGCGATCATGGTTGCAGGCGTTACGCGTAGGTTCGCTTGTTCATGGGAGCATTGTGACAAGGTGATATAAGATCTCTTGTCTTGTCATATCCATACTGAGAGTTACAAGTCCTTTGCCCGCAGAGCAGACCTCCACAGACATTACCGCATCCATACCAACGAGCGACCATACTCTTGTATTGTCGAGAATTGCAAGAAGAGTTTTATTCAGCGGAGCTCCCTGAAAGTCCATGAAAGAATACACACGGGAGAAAAGCCATACATCTGTGTCCATCCTGAGTGCCAGAAAGCCTTTTCCGATGTACGATCATTTCAGCTTGACTTTTGGAAGCTCAAGATCTGACACCTGCCTATCTTAGTCATCTAGTTTTGCTCGCCATCGGCGGACCCATCTCAGGGTGCGGCCTCACGAATATGGTACACCAACATACAAAGAAAGGTACATTAGAATTAGAAATTCTGCCATTATCTACTGAGCTCGCTCTTAGATTTTCAGTAATAACTCACGTCTCAATAGGCATCGACGACGGTCTCACTTACCAAAATCGAGGACCGACAGGGAGACCTCGAAGAGCTCAACTGATATCTTCAGCATTGCAAGCGCCACGCCAACCTCATCTGCAGACCGTCGTGCTCCACGCCCTGAGCATGTTGCTTGCCCCAGGACTTGCGCCTCTTCAATCTCTTCAGTGTCTCTTGAGTCTTGGCCCGTTCAAAATCAAACCCTGACTTCAATACCTGTTGAGCAGCTACCGGCTGAAACCCAGAACTTCTCGGGAGCGGACTCATACCTTCCGGACCATGATTTTCATCACCATCAGGTGCACTGGCAACAGGAGTCTGATTGCCAAATCTATGCTAGGCCTGTTTACGGGTATTCCACGTCTTTGTTCACTTGGTTGCCAGCTGCCGCAAGCCTTTCATGGGGATACTTTAGATGATTATCCTGAGATAGCATAGTTGGGAGACAATTGGCGGGCGGTCGTTCTGCGTTATGGAATTTCAAAGGGCCATGAGCTCGTAGAATGAAAAAGATTGACTTGAGCTCAATACAAGTACATGCTTTCACTCAGTACTAATAGCACTAGTCTCAGCCCTGAGGCATTGTAGAAGAGGGTAAAGTAGGAGAAGGTGCCAAAGTACATAGCATCGTGACCTGTCATGGTCGGCGCTGATCGCGGCAAGGGCCGTAGCAAGGCAAACGGCACTATTTATACAGGTGCAACCTTTCGCGGCACTCCCGCCACATAGCAGATATTTCATCCTATCATGTCTTTAGAGCGCATCGGTCTGATAGTCTTAAAAGGAAGAAGACATAGCTCCCCACTTCCTCTCCAAGACAACAGCACCGCCACACTGGGTATGCGGCTCAATAATTAACGTTCAAGTTCATAAAGGAACTAAATTACACCCTAGATTATCCGATAGTAACTACGAAGAGAAAATGAATGCAGGTGAGAAAAGGTTAATTCGTTTCCTCGTAGTCTGACATCTCATTTTGATCAACACGAGGTCCGATGACTTGGAACTCTCTACGGCCGGGTGGCTACGTAGAAGTGGTTGAGCGTTCGGTCACACCAATCTCTGACGACGCGACCATATTCTGCCCTCACCTCGCTTTATGGGAGAGAACAAGCGCACAGACTGAGCAGGCACCGGACAATAGGTTCTCCATACAACATGAAAGTGCCAACTGCGGGAGCACAGTGGTTTTTAGGACATCACCAAGAGAAGTTATAAATGGCCTATAAGCGGGTATGTTTCCAGCTAGAGTGGTTCCAATAAGCCCTAGCTTAATTCTAGTCGACTAGGTGGAGTGTAGGTCACATGTTCTCACTGCATGGGCATCCCACACTAAGCAGCTGATCATGATCGGCGACCACCAACAACTGCGACCAAAGATCAACACCTATAACCTGCCCGTAGAGAAAGGATCAGGATACGGCCTCAGTTGGCCACAGGTGGGCTAGGGCCAATCCAGGCCCTTCCGATGTAACATCGCGGAAGATGCTCCCATTTAGTGACGTTGACGATCTCTGCTTTCAGCATAATAAATGCATCTCCCACCGGATCTCCGGATGCTTACCAAACGCCACCTACCCGCGATATATATCTTCGCCTTCTGTCGTAGCAACTGTATCCGCTGCGTTGAGGGACGGTGATTCTAGAAGGATTTATTTCTTTTGCCCTTTTACAATCAGCGCATGGAATTGACGCGGTTAACGGATATTTCTCTTCGCCATGTCCGAGCAACCCCTTGGCCACCTGTAACTGATGGTGATCAGCTTGTGTCTGGGGTACGCTCTGGATAAGGTAAAAACTTGGCACATTGATGGCTTTTATCATGGTGCTGCCCCCGACTGTGTAGTCATTACCAGTTCACAGACAAAGATTAGCTTCATGAACCACTGAAGGCCGAACATGGATTGATTGGCCGAGATATCTTGGTCCGTTTCTCTCTGAACGAAGATGAGTTGAAAGCACCAGCGCAGTCGAAAGTATCAATCACATCCATGGATGGCCTATGACCTACACAAATCCACCCAATTCTCTGAAAGCTGAACTGAGCAGTTCCTCCAAAACCCACGCCAGTCTCCGCACCTAAAGAGTCTCAGAACCAAATCAACCATAAACTTACTAAGTGCCAAAAGCATCGGGGGAGAAACAACGGAAATCTAAGACTGCCCTACAGCACCGTGCACAAGATGTTCACCAGAGGGACTCCCAAAGTGAGCGCCACGCAGCTCAAGCGCTTGCTGTCTAGATAGGGTCACAATGGGACATTTTGGAAGAATTTTTTTTATTGACATTGCAGGCCCTGTATCCATTGCCATCCATACAAGCACCTTTCGCAGTAATCGCTCTGCGTGCATTCTCCAAGGGAAACGTAGATATAAGGCTGAAGGTACTCTAGTAGACCTAATACCCCAGCGTTATCTCTGCCAGGGAAATCTTCAAGGACCGTGGCGCGACATACTTTGCTGCAGGAGAAGCCACGAGAAGAGAGAAAAGGAGATAGTGCGACTAGAGCTACGCTATAGGGAGGGAGCCAGTGCAAAAAAAAAATTAGACAAAGAATTCAAGGCGCTCCAGAAAGAGCTCATTGGTTTTAAGAAATCAGGTATTAATGCATTCAAAGTGCAAGGACAGCAGAACAAACGTATACTTGGAACAAATTGCAGCAAGCGTCCATAGATAAGACAGCAATGGACCGCGGATCTGCCTTATATAATATATAACTAAGACACTTCTTGAGTTATGTATAACCGACAAGAACTTTTCAGGTCTTAGGTTTGATGATGACGAGACACCTCTAGTCTGTTTAATGGCCATCGTTGGGTTAGCACATCAAAACGTCTGCTTAAACCAATATATCATACCGTGCATTCCATATCGTATATAGCATGGAGGATCAAACCCCCACGAATTTTCATTTTCTCGGTTACATTCTGGACAGGATTTGCGAGCAGACAATGTTCTTTGTGACTCTGCCTTGAGAGGAAACGATGAATCCGAAAGTGAAGCTATATTTGGGGCCAGCGAGCCTTCATTAGAAAGTGATGAAGGAAGGGGATTTGGTCTATTCTCTTGCTTCGAGCAGACTTGTGCTTTGTCCGTGGGTGTTGTTGAGGGTGGCATCGAGTCAAACCCAAAGACCAAGTCATCCATCTAGCCAACAAGATTCGTCTTGAGCACAAGCCAGATATGAACAGATGCTTTTTCAAAATATTAACAGTAGCTGAGAGCCACACTGAGTGATGAAGTTGGAGGTGATTCTGAAATACCTGAAATTGGGGTGGCGCAAGCGACAAATGGATTAACGTATGATCGACCTTACGCTTTGAGCTTGTTTGTTCTGTTTGTAGCAGCTGACACGTGATGGAATTCTGAGGCCGATTAGGCCAGTCGAGCAGGTCAGTTTTATCGACTGCTGGACTTGCGCGGCGGGCCAGACACCGCCTTCCACGAAGTTGAGCGTTTCTTAGCAATCCTGAGCCTCATATCAATCAATTTAGACAGCGGAACTCAGCGAAACATATTATCTTGAGACTTCTCCCTCTTCAACGCAGCTCAGATCTGCAGCGGCTCCGTCGTCTCTGGCTGATGCACGTATCGCACGAACCGAAGCCGCGCACTGGAGACAAATGGACTCATACAGAAAGCCCGTTTGCAGAGGAAAGTTAATAAATTAAGAATCTCTACTTCCTTGCATTTTGCACAGGATGAGCTGTGTACAGATAAGGCTTCACTTGAGCTGTGCGTTCCTTATTTTCTTAAGGAACTAAACTTGAGGTATACTAATCCCGTGCAGTGGAGGAAAAGACACCGCAATTGTCTGCAAAGACGTTGACATTGAAGCTGCCGCAGCCAGGGTAACCCCCTTTCTAGTTTTCCCCATTTGGAATGCAGCATAGCTAACGGAAAGCAGCTCATGTTCTGGGGCTTCATAAACTCAGGCCAAGTCTGTCTAGCCATAAAGCGCCTGTATGTGCACGAAGACATCTGCGATAATTCCTCGCCGCGGCAGCCGCATTCACAAAAACCATCTCCGTTGGCGCCGGAACAGACGAGGGTGTCTTCATGGGCCCGCTGCAAAACGCCATGCAATACGAAAAAGTGAAAACCTTCTTCGAAGGCGTAACCCCTGACCAACTGAGCCTAACAAACGGTGGCTTTGACAGTCGAACCAGGCTGCTTTATTCGCCCGAAAATCGTCGACCAGCCAGCTGAAGACTCGCCCCTCGCGACGGCCGAGCAGTTCGGTCCCAACCTCCCGTTCCTCACGTGTAAGGACGAGAGTGATGTTATTGCCCGCGCGAACGGGACGCGGATGGGTCTCGGCGCGTCAGTCTGGTCGAATGATCTTGATGAGGCAGCAAGGATTGCAGTCAAGTTGCAAGCCGGGTCATGTGGCTCAATACACATATGGAGCTTGGTCGGCGCGCGTTATTTGGTGAACACAAGGAGAGAGTGGGATTGGCTGTGAGCTGGGAATCCATGGGCTCATGGGGTGGACGAATCTGCAAACGTTGTATTTGAATAAGGCTTGATGGTGAGAAGGCCATTTGGAAGGAGACTCGTGTTTGATTTTATTGGATAGCTGTAGACTGATTAAGAATGACCTTTCTCTCATACTCTAGTATCCAAAATGCAGCCCTTTCACTCCGGCCCCTTGACAGCCCTAACAATCCACCCGCCCATACCTCTCCTGTCAAGTCCTTCCCTCACTTCTCCAACCTGGAATTCCCCATTCCCATTCTCCTTCTCCTTCCTAACCTCAACCTCAATCACCAACCGTACACCCCTCCCCTCCAACCCCCCAAGCACCTCCAACGCCCCAACAATCCCCTCAAAATCCCTCTCGGCCCTCTCAGGCCTGAGCCCGGACCTCGACCTCCGCACCCGAATCGTAAACTCCCGCAAGGAAGCAAGGCTCAGTACATCCTCGCACGAGAGCCGAAAAACATTCGTGCGCGGATGGTGGCTCCAGAGGATATTGTGGGTGCGGACGTGCACGGATCGAATCAAGTTCCAATGTGAAGATGGGATCGAGGACCGGAAGAGCTGGATTATTTCAAATGCGATGAATGTGAATTTGTTTGTGATGTAGAGGATTGGGAGGGCTTCGGTGTAGCTTGCCTTCTTTTCAGTATACGAATCGTTCGGGGAAGGGAGCCAAAGAGAGAAACATACGCCCTTCGACATGTCAAAATAACCGCTAGAAGTCGCAACCCACCCTCCTGCTTTCGATCTTGACCTTCGTCTAGACCGTGGCCATTCATAATAATACACCCGAGTAGCGGACATGTATGTGCCCGTTTGTCGATACACGCACATTCATCATAGAAATAAGGGATAACACGCCTATGCCTCTGCGTCACAATCTCGATCTCGAGATTTCCAAGAACAGCAACCCATATCATACGCCTGATCTCAGGGGGCAATCTGCTAAAAAGCGCGCATTGGGTTTGCGGGTCTATAGCGCCGAGGGTCTTGGAGCGGGTGCCAATCGTCCTGCTGTCGGTGTCGGCGTTGGAACCGGAAGTCGGCGTGATGGTCGGTAGTAGTGATCTTCGCCGCCCCCGCTCGACTGTACTACCTTCTCGTCGCGATTGGTCCCGTCTGTATTTCCTTATGTAGTTATGGGCGAGCTTGTAGTATGCTTCTTCTTTTATGCGTGCCATCGGGCCGTTAAGTGTGATTGGAGATGCGGGGTGAGAGCCTGGAACAGGGAAAGAGTGCCAGGTGGGCTTGTTCCTGGCTTTAAGCTTGGTGGGGTTGGCTCGGTGCCAAGGGGGCGGAGTGAAATACGAGGTGAGGTTCTTAGTGCCAGGCCGCCCGCAGTATATCTGTGATGTGCCAATAGCGGAAGTCAAGAGATATTGGAGGTATTAGTGCTAATGTTGTCGGCATTTTTACTGACCAAGTGATTACGGTAGGTCTGCAGCATGATAGACATATGAGGGTAAGTGGTTTACGGTAGGTAGAGTCCCAGTTTACTCAGTAGTTCAGTACCAAGGACTGGCAAATTTAGATGTATTCATGGAATAAATGAATGTATAGACAAGTAAGTCTTGGATGCATGTATACATCACGTATGATGCTTCGTTGCCACTGGGCACCCACACTGTTCTAATAGCAAAAGTCAAATTCACCAGCCATACGTTTCACGGTTACACGCCGGCGCTTGTCTAATGTCTTGTTAATGAGACACTGTTGGCCAAACGCAGTGCAGCTAGCGCATGGCGCAGAATCCAGAATGCAGAGCCACGTCGATAGCTCACAAGCAAATGTAGCGACGGTCACAAGGGCTCAATGTCTCGAATCGACCCCCTTCCTAAGGACCCGTCGGCGACGCCGTCGCTGAAAGGGGGCGAAGGGAGGAGGGTTTGACGGCGCCATGCTGGAAAAGGGCAAACGACGGGTAACGCGGCATCTTGGAAAAGGGGGCGGTGCATCGGGGCGGGGTTTTGACGGACGGGAGAGAGAGAGGAGAAAGGAAAGGGAAGAGAGAAAGTGCGTGGTCGTTCGAAGGAGAGAGGCCGGGTTTATATAGATGCAACGGACCCGTTGAGGCGGCCAGGGACGGCGTCAAAAGCGGCGAGGGTTAACGCTATCCCTGAAGCGGTCAGCGCTATACCGTAAGGGGCAGTGGGATGCCCGGCGGCGGCAGGCGGTGGCGGGCGGCAGACGGGCGGTGCAATGGAAGCCGTTCTCAGCGCCCCGCTTGCCGTCTGTTCATTCAGGAAAAGGACATGTCTTGAGCTGCTGGACCATTTCAGGCATGACGGCCCAAATGGAACACACTTCTGTCTTGTGCTTCCTGTAATACTATTTGATGGCGAAGGGATGACCGTGAATGGGAAGCCTCACCAAGCCAGCTCGAAGAATGAGCCTCGAACGGGGAGACTAGTACTGGGGCACTCGTATTAATATATTACTCGTGCAAATCATAGCTCTCCCTTTGTCTGGTTTTCGAACATGATGTGCTCGTATCTACTACTAGGGTCATCTGGTTGACAATACGATGCGGGGCGGGAGCTCAGCTTCATTGTCACGGGTCCGCCAGTGGAATTCCCTATTCTTAAAGATTGCCAAATCCGAAAGAAATCGTACGCTCATTTTGTTTAATCTTGGATCGTCACATCTTCTTGGATCTGCTGGCTAAGAAAATGGACCTGTCTCCGATTGCAACGACCCTGGCGCCCGTACTGGAGTCGAATGCGAATGTAAGTAATCTCTCTCTCCCTACAATTCGTGCGACACAGCAAAAGAAAAGCTAACGGCAGTCACGAAAACCCGACAGATTTTAGAGAATCTCCAGACTGCGATAGACAACGTCGAATCTGAAAAAGACAAAGAAGCCCTAAACAATCTCTACCTCGCGGCCGACCATCTCAGCGACCTGACGATTTTCGTCTTCATCAGTTTGTCCGTTAACCAGCAGGCGCTGAGACGGTCGATCTGGTGACGGCTTCCTGGGCGGGTTAGCATCGCTTATCGAAGATATCTTGGAATTCAGCCACGTGCTGTGCGGGAGGGCAGACGACGACGACAGCGACGATGATGAGACGGTCACTTTGGAATCCATCCAGGTAAATCCTGATACGATTGTAGGCACTCGAGAGGGCATAGAGCGGTGTTCGGAAGTGCTTGATGTGATTCTGTGTCTGACACAAGTGTAAGATTCCCCCGTGGCCATACCCATACTCCTCCAAACACCAGATTACCGGACCATAGTCATCTGATTCGCTTGATAGGTGGCTTGACGTGGCGTACAAAGCAAGCCCCTCTGTGCCGGGCCACTCCCTCGCAGCATGACACGAATCCATCTCGACCCTCGACAAAGAAAACACCTTCTTCCCGGACCCCGATAAACATACTGCCGCCGCACCTTTATCCTTCCGTCTCTTCACCGTCGCACAAGCCGTCTACTCATCCATCTCAACCGCCCACCCACTGGCCGCGACCACCCCGGCCACAACCACCACTATGACCACCGCACCCGCACCAACGACCAATGCCATAAGTCTCAAATCCGGCGCCCGAAACTTCTTCCACACATACGTCGGCATGGGCGACTACGACGAAGTCAATGCCCTTCTCGGCCCCGGTCCCCAAGGCCTGTACCCAGTCCACTATGCGGCCTATGGCGGGCATTGGAGATACTGCGCCTACTTGTGCGGTACGGCGCGCAGGCGTGGGCGGCCGCGGGCGCGAATGGCGAGACGCCGCTTATGTTAGCGGCGGTGTCGGGGAATCTGGAGGTCGTGAAATTCTTGATGAATATGGAGGAGGAGGGGGAGAAGGAGGAGGGTGCTGATGTTAATGTCGAGGTTGACGTTGATATTGTGTCGGATGCGCATGGCGCCACGGCGCTGCTGTGCGCGTGTGACCAGGGCCATCTGGAGGTCGCGAGGTTCCTTGCTGTGGAGAAAAAGGCGTACCCGTTTCTTGCGGAGAAAGAGGGGTGCTCGCCGCCTATGAAGGCGGTTAATGCGGGACATACGGAGGTTGTGGAGATGTTATTTGAGGAAGTTGATCTGGAGGAGTGGGCGGGAAGTATAGATGAACGACAGAGGGATTTGGCGGCTGCCAGGGAATTCTTGGAGAAAGGGGCTGATAGTTCAATTGTCTATGGAAAGGAAACGACACCCGTTCAGGCAGCTATAGGGCGTGGTTTTCATGGGGTGGCCGAGTATCTGCTTTCAGAGGCGATGAAGCTGACGAACATGGAGTATGTGGACAGTGACTCGGACGAGAGCGATGAATGATTCGAGCTCCCAAGGATTACTAGCCATTTATTATGTTTTCATAGGAAGGTCTAAGCAAGTAATCAAAGTTTATGGAGGGATTGGATGATTTAAATTAGGGCTGTAAAAAACAGAACATCGATTACCTGGAGAGCCAGAAGTAGGTAGGCCTTGCTGGTTCTTGATTTCACCTTTGCTGGCACCCTGTTGATGTATCCACAGCGAAATCACGCTTGTAGTCACCAGGACATAACGGATATCGGAGCAGGAAAGCACATACTTAATACATGCGTTGGTCATCTTATAATCTAGAACGTGGTAGACACGACGTAACCTGAAAAGCCTCGCTCCCAGGGGGGTCTCTGGTCCCTGTTTCATCTGGCTAATTAATATTAGACCAGCTTCCAAGTAACGTAATGCCCGACCGAAGCGCTCAGCCCATCGATGTTGAGTACACTTAGTAAATTTGATGCTATCGCCAACAGCTAAAACCTTTATTAAACCAAATAAATTAATTATTCTGACGATTAGGACATCTAACTCTTGTATGTCCCTGAATACCACATTCAGAACACCTTGGTGGAGCGCGCTTTCGTGTAGTTAAAGGTTCTGAAGCAGAAGAAGTATATACATTCAAACCGCCACCTTGCTCATTCAACTGCTCATTTCTCAACGTAATTGGATCCCTTACCACTTGTATTGATAGGCCTTCATTAGGGGTCATCTGGCGCTTAGATCGACTCTTTTCCCGCTTACTTTTCTCATGTATTGCGCGGAGATCATGTAATTTCTTTGACATAAAGGCGGCCTGGTGCATTATCGATTCGCAACCTTTAAGTAACTCATTATAATTCCTCTTTGAAGGTGAAGAGGGGCTTCTTGAGCCCCTCCTAAGGATCTTTTTGTCTGATGATGCCTTCTTGAAGAGTTGGCGAGCTGTATGAGGTGTTGCTAGCATGGAGGAGCTAGTTGAGTCTCTCCCCCGGCTCTGAGGAGGGGTTGGCGTTGATATTGAGATATCCAACTTGTCAAGCACCCGTTGAGGGTCAAAAGGAAGTATTCCAGCTGCAGCAAAACCGTCACGAAGCTTCCTCAGCTCGCCAAGCTCCACCTCCAGCCAATCACGCCACACAGAGCGTTTTGTTAAAGGTAGGGAATATCCGTTGCAGCGCAATTAAAGACATCGTCTCCCTTTAAGGTACAATTGCCGGATGATCTTCGCCAGGAGGAAAATAAGCTACAACAACGTCACCCAAACGAATATCGCGCGGAGGCGAGCAGTCCAGGTTCGGGAGACCCGCAGCAACCCCCACAAGAAGCCCAAACCAAATGTCCGGGCAAAACTTTCTTACGTGACTTTGGAGAGATGTTACAGAGTTCGTGCCATACTGCTGGCCGGCAGCAAACGTGGTGATCATGATGATTTTCCTGTGGATCCCACTCGCGAGGAACAAATAGTCATCCCCAGGGTCGACAGAAAATCCTCCCGAACGTACCTTATCCAGCATATGTTTCGCACCCTGTACTTCAATCTGAATTGGAGACATTCACGCGATGGCATAGAAGTTCGATCGAGGGTGGACACTGTGGGCTTAGCTTACCGACGAGCTGAGGGCGAGCTGAGGGCGAGCTGGACGGCCGTCTCAGAGAGCGGGGCTTGGAAGAGAGCAACGTGAAGCTTAGAGGGTCAAAGAGGGGATTGGGAGGCTGCCCAAAATTCAATCACACTGACATCCACTGCCACAGGCCTCTTAGCTGCTGCTGTGCTCCACAACACAACTATATATATCTAATCATGCTATGTAAAGCGCGTCAAGATGCTAAACATGAGTTTCAGCATTCTCAATTGCCCCGACGGGCTCCCTCTTGCGCAATCGGTCCATCCAATGATGCGCCGCAAGGCCATTCTTTTCGAGCGACAAAGTGGCCGGTGCAGGAGCTTCATGTCTCGGCGATACGGTGCGGCTCCGTCTTCGTAAGAAGGTTACCATGTGACCACGACCAGGGCCGAGTGAGAAATAGACGGGATTTGGTTGTGGGTCTTGTGCAAGCTTGGAGTGCACGCTTCCCTGGCCTCGATGTATGCCCACTTTCTGGACAGAGTTCAGAGCACTCGCTGACAGCCCGCCTGACGTGCCCAGCGTCCCGGACCAAGATGGCCTATCAACCACCGACGCGTCACGTACGTGTCACGGGTCCCTGATTCTAGGGTCGGCTTGGCCCAATCCCGGTCCCGCCGAGGCGCTAACGCACCGGTCTCGTCGGCTGCACCGTCTGGCCGGTTACATACCAACGTTGCAGCGGCCTGCGTTCGCGGACCTACCATTGCCGACACTACCGCGATCCAATGGCGTATCCTACGATAGGAGTTCGTTCTCGCCGTCGGACGGGCTTCGTAAACGCGAGGAGCTGAAGGAGCAGAGTACTGTGGACAGTGGCGCTATGGAACGATCGATTACGGAATTACCGGGCTGGGGGAATGCGTTGGGCCGGGGGTGACCGTTGTTGCGCGAGGGATGGAAGTCGATTATGTTAGCACGGGTGTTCGTCAAACAAGGGGCCATTGGTAGATCGGTCATCGGGAATGACCACGGCCTTCCGCTATCCTGGAGGCGACCCATTGGACGTGGTTTCTGGATGGTCCCGTAGTGTCGGCCGCCGTTGTGTCAGTGTTAGACCACTGATGACACGGCTCAACGACAAGATCCAGGAGCCGGAGGTCATCGCTCAAGTTGGGCTGAACGATCGCCTTGACCTGGTTGCGGATCGACTGTCGCGCACACGTGGAGGCACAGTGATTCCTTAGTATGGCTTCATCGGACGCATCTGCCTTTCCCCGGCCTCGAAGAGGGTTCATACCGCCTACCAACATGCTCCCCCGACGCGTATTTAGGTATGTCCTTATCGTCTGTGCCACATCTACAGACCCTTTCATGAATCGAACCCTCGTGCCGGGGTTCCGCGAGGGCTCATTCTTGCGGTTTCGACGGTAGTAAAGGACGAATCGGAGGATCTGTCATGGTCAGCACATGGATTGCTGCCTGTGCGGTGGTCGTGGTACCTTGAATTCTTGGCGATCGAGGTCCAGCAAATGCTGCATGTTCACCCACCGACGATTGTCTAGAGCGAGTTAGCTCAGCTTACCGTTCTACGGGCGACACGAGGGGTTGCTGCGACGCGCGGTACCTAGGTCCTCCATTTGCCAGACAACGATGAGCTTCCGGACCATGGCGCGGTGTTGTTCACTCGCGAGGACCAGGGTCTGGATGAGCGAGAAGACCCGCGCAATCCCGATATCCTCTACGATCAGGAGCACGATGCCGAAGCGGGCTAGATCCGGCGGTCTCCCATACGGCCCCAGCACGAGCGCACTGTGTCGAACGCTGTGTCGATGTTCGGCATTATAGAGTGCCGCCACCAGTGCGGAAGACTGCGGGCGGGCCAGCACACGTAGCGTTCGGTGGCCCGCAGTATTCGACGAGGTCCTGCCTCTCGATATGTGCCGTTGGCTGGTAGTGTGTACGACTGCATTCCGTCCTGCCGCTGTCCCCGCCTGTCTCCATTCTCCCGCGCGTTCGGCAGGGCGCAGCGATGCACCGTCTGGTACCAGGGTTTCTGGCTCACTCAACGTGTCCTCTTGACCGGCCGATTGCTCAGACGCATGGATCTGTGCGCGATGACCGGACAGGTGTCCTAGTTTAGAGGTCGGCGCCCCGGTGTCGTTGGCCCCCGGCGTATCTTCCCAAGATGAGACATAAAAAAGCGGTAGTTGAGTAGCAGTTCGCAGGCCTGCCTGTGGCAGCCAGAGGTACACATATTGGCCGGCCTCGACTTTCCACGCAGAGGGGACGGCGATGTCTATACGGAGAAGCTCATCGTGCTGGGATATGACAACAGAAGGCCAGGTGTGGCCCCAGCGTCTTCGTAGGGGAACAGCCAAGGAAGCCAGACTCAGGAACATCCACAGAGCCGCTGCCGCCACCAAACACCAGAGGCTTTTTGACCGGCGCATCCAGACATGGTAGGACATCGAAGCCAGTCCGGTTACTGCCAAGAGGTAGTGATACTTCATCGCCAGCTGCGGGTAACGGCGAACCACGTCATGCAGCGTCACGGGAACGATCATGATCATCGAACACGCTGCCTGATTCTGGTTAGCGGACGACCGATATCCGGGGAAACTGCACATGGAATCCTCTGGGAATCAGAGCAAATGCCTCACCAGAACTGGAACGTAATGCTGTCGTATAGCTTGCACCGGTTGGCCGTCACCCAGGATCGCGATCGCTCCGTGGAGGACGGAGTAGATGATGACCATCCGGCCGACCCATCGATGCGTCCAGGCTGCCGCCGACCAATCGATGCCTAGAAGATGCGCTGGAAACCCAATGGTCCAGCCCGTCCACAACGGAATGAAATTAATGACCGCGAGGTTGGCGGCGCGGCGGTGCACGGTGGCCCAGGATCGAGCCCGCAAGACTAGTGGCAGGATGTTCGCCGTAAGCAGAAGCGCGACCACTGAGCCCTGTTGGACAGTGGCCATATCGAGGTGGCCGAACGGTCTCGGCAGGGGATAGGCAAGGAGTCGCCGTAATTGCATCACGTGCCATCGTATCGCCCACCGGCCACCACGGGACGCCAGACTCCATACGAGCCAACTGGCCAGAGCGATTGCGGCGCATATTCCATACCAATCAGTCTGCGATATGTGGGAGATTCGGTCGTACCAGGGAGATGTCGTTGGAGGCATCCTGCAGGTCAGGATCGATAGTCTGGGGAGTGGAGGAGTATTTGTATCCCATCGGGTGTCATGTCATCTGGACCCTCATCTAGATGCTTGCAGCCGAATGTGGGGGGTAAATAAACACGGTGCGTGGTAATATGGGCGAGTTAGCCCGTCTAACTCAATTTTCAGATTCCGACCTACAAGATAACGGCTGGGTGCCGGGCAAGTGACAGGGAAGAAGCTGATGGCCTCTTAGCCAGCATGCGGGTGCGTTGGTCCAAAACAACCCAACTTTCCTGAATTATCGACAGACGCTGTTGCTCCCACTACGCTACAGTGATCTCAGGTTACCATTCTCTGAACTTTTGTCGACCGTCCGGTCAGTATTACGCGTAGCGACGATCTACCCTCATTTTACTCTATCACGGGTTGGGCATCAATCCCTTCATCATGTAAAATGAAATTGACCATTTTTAGGCTACACCATTCCTAAGAAGCATATCCCATCACGAAAGAGAGGACATGCTCCGCAAACCTCCCTTGTATCCTGCGAATGACGCATTGGTCCGCTGGTGCCTTGGAGCGAACACCAACGGGGAACTATCGCTTCTGGCGTCTTCTTTTCGTTGGCTGCCGCAGGGATCGGCTGGGTGTGACCAGAGCCAAAAGCCCTTCTATCTCGCGAGACAGTGCCGTGTACTCCCCACTGCTTCGTTGACCCGCTCGATCCAACGCTTGTTGTCGACTTCTGGCATGCTCCAACTGGCGCTTCAGCTTTGGCGCCTCCGCGGTAAAATCAATATACGGGATGCCACGTGAGCGTGCAGCCATTCGCCTTGGGCGCGCTCTGGGAGCTAGGGTGCTGCCACGAAACTTAGTCTTTCGCCGGCAAGGCATCGATCAGGGCATGTCCGCGGACGGAGGATTGCTGGCACTCACCCGACAGTTTGTCGTTTGTATCCCCGAGAAGCTGTACAGAAAAGGACTTCCGAACGAGGACTTGCCTGGCTGAGGGCATCTCGGGTGTCCTGGGGTTGTTCGCGCTGGGAATCTTTTTCGCCTCCCATGTCAGGTCTATCATCTCCATCTGACTCCAGCTGCTGGTTCAGCCATGATATTGATGGCATGGACAGCCCTATCGCCGTGAAAGGAGGTGCCGACAAGAGCTCCTCGTCCGGGCTGCTGCTGTCACTGGGCTCAGGACGGTGTTCCATGGGCGCTGAGCGTATGAGTGAGCGATCCGCGAAGATTGTGACATGCTTACAACGTCCCTTCAAGTATTGCCGAATATGTGCCATCACATGACGGGCGAGTAGTTTTTGTTCCACAGAAGGGGGCGGACAATGACAAACATGCGCCCAACGGGATCACTTTGTCTGCCTTTCTTAACATTATCGATGGCCTAACCGCGCAGGAAGGCCGCATGATCATAACCACCAACGCCATCGAGAAGCTGGATCACGATCTCCGCCCAGGGCGCGTTGATTTGAAGGTTGAATCTGGCTGCGCAGACGGAACACTTTCTCGTGTTCTTCATGCAGCCTGTAGCGGCGCATGTCATGGGTGATCTGGACTCTTGTGGACGGATGATAGCATACTCCTCGCCAGCTTGCTCCGAATGGACGTCAGATCATATCGACCGCCTATCGATTATGTTCGCCGAGAACGTCCCTCCTGATCGGTACACTGCAGCAGAGGTTCAGAATTACCACTTGCAATCCAGGAGTCGTCCTTTCGAAGCAGTCGACAATGTTCCTCGCTGGGTAGACAAACCGCAAGCGCCTTTCGATATCGACTTCGCAGCACCACTTTCGACATTCCGGATCGCAGGCCTGTACGCGATTCATGGTGGAGCGTACAATATACCCGTCAGCGCTGTCATCTTTTCATGGCCCAGAGCGGAAGACGCGAGAACAGGCGAGGCGATTGAGCTCCGGGCGCTTCTTCTCCAGGGTGCCTCAAACGGCAGCAAGGAAGGATATTGGGACACTGGCCCAGGCGGTTGCGTTTAAATCAGATTATCAGGCTTCTAGACTGCCTGGGGAAGAGAGTCGGGGAAGAAAGATCGCGGTGGGGGCTCTTGCAGATCACTGTGAGGCGACAGGAAGTCTTCCCCCGGGGCAGATAGGGGTCCGCAAGCAACGCTGCGCAGCGGATGCCGTGACGTTGCCTCCTCTGGAGGAGCACTCACGATGCGTGGAAATGAAAGCAGCTCATGGCAGTGCTCTCCAGGGATATTGCCGGTGTCAACGACAGGAGGCCTGTGATTCGCATGCAAGAGCTATGCTTCGACGGCGATTGGATTCGCTGGATACCATCATTCCAGAGCGGTCAGCCAACCCAAGGCTATGTGAGTACGGGAATGTTAAAGACCACGCTAATAGGTCTCTGGATAAGGAAGCGGGACCGACTCTGGCCAATATCCTCCTTGAAGACCGTCAGCTGCGGTACACAATTCGGCCTACTGGACGACAGTCCCGCAAGACTAATCCTTCTGGTCATTCTTCGGGGTGTTGACCAACATGCGCAACCCGAGAAGTATATCTCCAGGGATCAACTCTGACCCGACCCGCACCGCCAAGCACCATGGTCATGGGGAGACCATCTGACTCGATAACTAGCCGACATCATCCTCGAACATCTCCTGCAAGATTTGAGGGCGCTCGACGCGCTGACGTTAACGGCTGGGCAGGTAATTGTTTTTGGGGTAGAGGACGTTCTCACCGCGACGAGGGTAACACAACCAGGCCACGCGACCTGGTCAGATGGGTCTAGCCATCCCACAAGTTGATGTCACGGAACTTCCCACCTGAAAAGCCCAAACTGAAACTGGTTGGTGGCAACCCAACCGAGTACTAATAAACTCCTAAGCCGCGATGGCGCACGCGCAAACCGGTCCTGGTCGAAAACTGACACTTCAAGCTCTTGCAGCAGGCGAAGCTCTACAGAAGCGAGGCCAAGAACCTATCCGCTAAGTCACTGGTTAACTGTTTCTTCCAGTTGCAAAGTAGGCATGCAGCTATCGAAGCTCACCTCGGATTCGCGGTCTGTTAATAGCGTCAGGGCTCGATATAGGCCACGAACCTGATCAATAGGAAGAATACCCGGAGTTGCCCACCCTTTCCAATGTTAAAGCTGGGAAAGTGAAGAGAAGAGACAAGGTCAATATCAGAGAAACAGTCCTCAAGATGCTTCCGAATTAGAGGACAATTTGATAAAGGAATAGCATGACTGCTTGCTTTAGTTAGCGCTCAGATGGCCCACTTTTCTCAGGGATCCTCTGAAAAGGTCACGTTGCAGCGTCACTCAGGAAATCTAATAAAAATAATTATACACTATCCCTGGAATGAGTTTATGGTTGTCTAAATGAAGGAGGAGGAATAAGGAGAAGAACTTCCAGAGCGGTACAGTATCAAGGTGGCAGCACCGACAAGTTTGTGAAGTCTTGTCACGGCCTGTGGGATGAAGACTCTTCAGCGCGACGCTGGTTTCATTTTACGCCTCTCTATTGGATGACACCTGATGCCCCACTTCAGCGCTTCAGCACCCTGTCAGGCAGACCTTCAGCCTCAGAAGGCCAACAACAGAAGAAGTCCATAGCAAGATTGGCCTCCGCGCTTATCTCCACTCCATCAACAAGCCGACACCGACGCCTGCCAATGCCGCTACGGACTCCAGACAACGCATCCTGCTCGAATGCAGGAACTGGATGGATGAGCGACATCGGATGCGGGCAGGCGAGCAACCATGCATGGACATCAAGCAAGTCTTGTGTAGCTTGTCAATGGCAGTATAAGCAGCCAAGATGATTCTCAGGACGCGGCGCTTCTGGAGCAGCTCCAGGCAGTCCCATCCAGAGTACTTACACACTCATAGCGCAGACGAGTAATCATTAGTAAACAGAAGTAGAGGTCAGGATATCGGCGGAGGAATTCAGTACAGAGGCGGGCCGCCTATAATTAGCCCAGCAGTACTTCAGTGTTGTGGTTCGCACCAGGCCCGGAGGCGACGTTGTGATGGCAGCACAAAGGAGGGTTGGAAGCAGGGCGTTCATTGTCGCACAGGATCCGACTGGAACACCACCGCTGGAATTTGTAGGATTCTTGGTTATGCCTTCGGAAGATGTCGTCGAACCAACCGTGGTTGATATGGGATATGGAAAGTCGGAAACCCACAAGCACATAGCCGACCATATAAATTTACGGTTTGGCTCAACCCACCCTTTCGCACCTCGCACCTCGCACCACGTCACTCACTTGTCGATATATAACCATCGCCACCGTTGCTTCTCCTATCTCACTTTTTCTCACTACAAACGTCCTCCCTTTTCCCAAAATGGCAACGGTTAGTAAACTTTCCTCTTCGAGCTCTAGTGCTTTTCTCGCTATGCCAGTGGAAATTCGACTCCTTGTTTACCGATTTTGCATTCCACAAAACAAGTGTTTTAACTGTTCGCACGACATGTATTATCAAAATCGCGCACCGGAATGGGACGAGCCGCTATCGAATTCGACCGAGGATGTGGGCCGATACTACGCCGATGAACTCTACGGCCGCCCCAACGACAAGCGCTACGTATATGATCTAGAGGATAGCTCGGATAGTAATGGGAAAGATTGTGTTAGCGGTGATGAGCCGCCTAGGTCTCCGTGGAAAGGGAGGTCGAAAGCCTGAATGGGTGTGGAATGTCGTTGAGCTATTGTTTCTTGATGGGAGTCAGTCAATATCTTAGGGGTAGGTAAATGTACGCGGTTGCAGAGCGTCAAGGAAGCCTTTGCGCTCACGCTTGTCACCAAGCTTTTGCCTTGATCAAGTCATGCCGGCGGATGCTGCTAATGGTCTCACAGGGCTGGCTCACGACAACGTCGCCTTGCCGGACATCGTATCCCTCGTCCGGTCGAGCAATGCGGCGAGCTGGCCAAGGCTGCTGCTCCAATGACCTCTTCATGACAGCGACAGACAACCGGAAACTGCGAATGCGACGTCCAATGCGACCGCCTTGGACTACCAGCCCATTTTTGTCTTCCAAAATAATGTGAGAGGTAGCGGAGCGACAGAAAAATTTGCCGAGCGCTGGTTGCTTCCCTTCTTTCATGCAGATCTTCAGCGGCAACAAATACGCGTAATTCCCGACTTTCCGTGTCCAGGCGTTGATTTTCGTCAAGTGCTGAACATCGCCCAGCAGTGAAGCGGATTGAAGCTGTGCGTATCCTTACTCCAAACTCATTGGAATCAGCTCGGAGAAGATCCACGTGATTGTGGTCGCTGAGTTCCCTGCACATGATGGCCGGGGTTTCCTGCGCGAGCAGGGTTTTGGGAGAGTCAATATCCAGAGCCTTCTGGTCCTGGGAAGTTTTTAGAGTAGATAAGCAGCTTGTGGGAGGCCATCCTCTGAAAGCGGTGTCGCGGCAGTATCCTGGAATGCTGCCACGACTGAATGAGTAAACAAGTCTTCATCTTAAGAGAAATACAAGAAGTTGCTCAAGAATATTGTACGAGCTTTAGGCTTAAAGGCATCAATAAGTAGGAGAACTATGACGACAAAATCCGCTAGAGAAGTAAAACTGACCCTCCTCTACGTAAAGGTCAGTTGCTCTATATAAGAACAGCCGTGGACATCCACGCGAAATTTCGACTTTGTGCATGGAAGAATGCTGGCCGGGTCAATTTGTGACGTGTATGGGCTCTTTCAGCAGGTGTACAACAACCTTACACCGGGTGGCTGGCTTGAATTACAAGACTTTGCCTTTCCTGTTAGGTCCGACGACGGTTCTTTGAAGGGATCGGCCCTTGAAGAGCTGAACGAGGTATTATTGGAGGTACTCCGTATTCTTGGGCGAGATGGTGGTTTGGCCGAACGATATAAGCAAATTATGATCGTTAGCGGGTTTTACCCGCTCTAAGGGCACTGGTTAACTCGTGCGAGCGATGATGGTCTGCAGGTACTCTGTCCCTGTGGCGGCTTAAGGGACGTATGAGGAAGAAGTGTTCGGTATGATTCTCTCTCTACCTGTTACATAGACCAAAGGTCTTCGAGACGTACATGCCTGGCTCACAAGCCAGCGAGGGCACCTTCTCCGCCAATCAAGCCCCGCGGCGTTCCGATTCTCGTGTTAAGCGTCGAGCCAAGACTGCAAATATTCATTTGTTGGGCGGTCATTCCAGGTTAGTTGTACTTGGCGTGCGCTCCCCTTGTCGAGCTTTTTATCCGCCGTGTATGGTATGAAGATGAGGTCAAAACGCGTGCCGGTGTTCGAGGCAGAGTTTTCCTGAGCGAGGTCAACAGCGTGCGATTTGATTTCATAGAGCCATTACCCCCAGTGTCAGGAAGATATAATCCAGAGTGGTGCTGTCGTTGAAGGAGCGCAATGTCGCGCTGGCTTCGCAGCCAACTCCCCTGTCCGCTGGTGTACAATTCAATATCGTCTCTCTTGGTTTGAGGCATATACCGGCGAGATTCCCCTGTTTAGTATCCGCCAGCATCGTGGATAATCGGCCCAATAGCTCCTCAGCCGCGCAGACGGCGTGGAGATTGTACTGAGTAATCGTGGATACGAATCTCGAATCGATGATCGATTCCGCATTATCTTTCGGTGTCACAGCAGACGAATCCTCCGCCGCCGAGAGAGACGCCAGGCTCTGCCTTAGCTTCCTTAGCGCAGCCTGGCTCCGCTGAATCTGACTCCTCAGCTCCTGCTTCACCGAGACTCCACCCGATCCTTCATCATGACATCCACCGCCGGTTCCCGTCTCAAGAAGCCCCCTCACCCGCACCACCAACCCAGGCATCTGCACAACCTCCCGATACGTGCGATCAATAAGACTAACAAGCCTACACCCCCTGCCCTGGCGCTCTTCCCTCTCAAACGCCCTCTCACTAACACTCACCCACTCACTCTCCGCAAGAAAACACTCCTCACAGCTCGCAAACGCCTCCACAATCAAAAGTGCCCGACACGAGAGCACAATCGTCCTAGAAAACCCAGAGAAATGCGCCGTGGCCCCGCGCCGCCGCAGAATCTCTTTCACGCCGCGCACATGCACCAGCCACGCGCTGGGGCTGCTCCCGTCAAACGCCTCGTAGAAGCTCAGCAGGACTGCGACGACCAGCGTGACCTCGCTCGCGCGCTTGCGAGGCTCGTCCAGCGCGCTGCGCACGTACCGTATCAGCACCCCGTAGATGTAGCGGCTCCGCGCGAGGAGGCCAGCATCGTTGTGGATGGAGGCGAGGTGCCAGGTTGCGTAGCAGCGGACTGTCCATTCGATCAGCGGGCACTGAGCGCGCTGGTCGTCCCGCACGAAGGCGATGATGTCCTGGTCGACGCGCTTGGTGAAGGCGGCGAAGGTGGCCGGGATGAGCACCGTGCAGAGCAAGGTGTTGAACATTTCGCGCGTTTGCAGGTCAAGTGATTTGGCGGCGAGTGTCGGGGCGCGGATCGCGTCGTTGGAGATTTGCCAGATTGTTAGTGGGGGGCGGGATTGGGGCTGGGGTGTCGGTACTGGGATCGGAGTCGAGATGAGGCGCGTTGCACGGTTCAGGTCATGGTTGAGAGCAAGAGGGATACGGTTGTGGCGTTTATCCTTCCGACTGTGGCACTCATCGGAGATTTCGGGCTCGTATTTGGAGGTCGCCTGAGGGACTGCGATTGAGTCGTTGTCGAAACAGGGGTGTCTCTGGGCTTTGGACCTGGAGCCGAGCTCCGGCTCGAGACACGCGGCGCCTCGTTTAGAGGGAACGACAGGTGGATTCATATTGAGGCGGGGTGAGTATGTTGTTGCAATGACTGACCAGTCTGAGGAACTCAAAGGGTGGTGATGATGGCTCTGTAAGTGAATCCAAGTTGACGTACGCGCAAGTGACTGATTCCGCAACCTCGCTTCGAAGGCCAAGAAACCCCCGCCCGGAGCCCAGATCCGCCAAGCGCCAAATCCGCCCTCCTCACTGTGATCACTTGCAAGTTCCCAAGCCTTAACCTGACCTTGGGATCGAATGTTGCTTCGCTGGAGTAACGGCCATTTTCCACTGGTGGGCCATTTCTGCTGGTGTTATACTATCTAGCTTTGTAGGAATAAGCTTTAATTTCCACACTGGCAGAGTTCAAAGCATCCTAGTCCTACCAGATCATGTGCTAGCGAAATTGTCAAGATCAACCGGAATATATTACAATAGTGTCAAGGTTCTCGGAATTCCAAGCCCAGGACCGTCACGGCATACTCATCAACGAATTTATACAATTTTCTTAGGTCAGATGTGGCTACTTGATCGATAAAATGATCCACTGGAGGTCGACATCAGGGACATTGAAGCTCTGATCCCCGCTAGAGGACGTATTCCGACAGAAGGAGAATATGATAATTTAAAGGTAGACACAGAATCAGTAAACTCTTGAACTACGCAAGACGCACCATATATAAGTGGGAATCACACTAAAATAACCAAAATAAATAAATAAATTCAATTGTCATCAACTATGATTGCTGCCCTAAGCCAATCCCAATTACTTGCGTGCGCGCAAGTTGTTGGGATGGTCGCCTTCGAAGCCGAGTTTGATAGAGCTGATTCCGTTCATTGTGGATCTGGAGGCGAAGTCCCAATGCATACAACGCGAACTGATCCATCTCCATCACCTGCGCATCACTCAGCGGCTCCACCTCTGGCGAGGGAATCAGCTTCTTCTCATAGGCGACCCGCGCGACCTCCCGCTGGATATTCCCCCGTACAAATGGCCCATTTTCCGCGAGATAATACCCAGTCTCGTTCCAAGCGGCCTTACCTCCGCTGGCAGCGGCGGCATCACCCAATAGACAGTATATGTCGCTCAAGTCCTGGACATGCACCTGGCGCCAGATGTTCCTGCCCTCGCCAATGATAAGACCCTTGCGGCGCTTCAGCACACTGCAGCGAGCCAATAGGTCTGGACGATTTTAGTGTTGCTAGGACCGCGACCTCGGCCGGGCCGTAGATGGTGGGCTGGCAGATAGTTGCGGTGTGCACGCTTGTTGGGTTGGCGGGGCCAGCGGCGAGGATGATTTTGTCCAGACTCGTATCATCCGCATCTACCAACTAGTGCACAGGGGGCGCCGCAGGCGACGAAGTGCGTGGCGGTTCTGGCGCGCTGTCTCACGTTTGCGGGGGAGGGCAATGTGCCTCTTGCGGTATGCTGCCCATGTTATACTCCAGAAGACGAGCTCACGGGGATATAGACGCGAGTATTCGAAAAGCTCCGCTTCGACCGTGTGCGCAAATGCCAACGGAACGGTCAAGACGCCTAAGACTGGTGGCACGGGGCACTGAAGAATCTGGACGCTGGGGAAACCATCAACCCAGAGGACGTGATGATGAGGGTAAGATGGATACCATGGAAACTACCAGATACAATGGCCAACCTGGTGAATGCAGAACCGATGGCTGTATCCGTTCGACGCCGAGGCCGACGCGATCCAGAGGTGGAAGGAGACTGCTGCTCTTGTCGAGGCTGAGCTGGTGAAGGGAGAGATCACGCCCTTGTTCAACGTGTCTAGTGGGGTTGCGGTTTGAGGGGTCGTTCATACTGAGTTAGGATAAATCATCAAGAGTATTGCTTTGCCGTAGGACCATCTCCGGGTCCTATGTTCAGGCGCTGATGATGATCGATGTTGTGGCACATACTATAGAAAAGAAATCTCAGAACATCACCTCATAATCGGGTTCCCATCATAAGTCCGGAGTTGTACGATATCGCCTTCGTACTCGGTACTGTTATAGCCAAAATGCGAGAAATAGTACACACTCAGGCCGATACTACCAGCGGACATGTACAGCACCTTTATAGCTCCATCTGTCGGTATAACCTCCTCCTCTCCAGCCGGTTCCTCGCTCTCTTCCAGATCTTCCTGCGCGGGCTCAACAACGGCCGAGTCCATCCAATACCCCAGCTCATTACACTCCTCCCGATAGTTCCAAAAAATCCAACACCCACGCCTCCTTCTCAGCATCAATGCACATGTAGCACCCCCTCAGTCCCGATCGTTACACATTTATGCTCCTTAGGAATGATTGGTCACCCGTATTGTAGCGGTGGATCCTCCCTCTGATCCATCATCCAAACGTGATGAGTGAGAAAGGTGATTCGTTTGCCCGTGTTAAACAGGTCACGTTTCTTGGCACCATGGCTGTGCTTCAACCCTGACGTTGTAATCGAACTATACCTAGATAGTCCATATGTACGAGGCGACAACGTACCTATGGAGATCTTCGGATGCAAACGTTCCGAAGTTTTTAGTTTGATGGTCGATCAGATAGCTCGGGCCTGTTTCGTTGGCGCGTATTCGAATTCGCCGAGCCAGTTAGGGTTTTACTATGTCGATTTGATGCTGTGGCATGACTGTACAATATGTTGGCTAAGGGAAGTTTAAGGTACGGTCCAATAATGCAAGGGGGCTGCGACTAGCTGTCCATCATCTATGTGCTTAAGTATGACGAATGAACGCAGTGAAGATGCGTCCCCACTTCACCATGCTCTACAGCACTAAGGTAGATACATAAGCATACTGTATCAAGAGGAGGTAATTTAGTCTCTTCGCCTGTGCTGATTGGGCGGCGCGTGTTCGAGCTCGCCAAGGCGATTGCTTATCCTTGGATCAACGGTTGATGTCCATATAGAGTTGTATAGAGTGGCGTTGAATATACCACGATGACGGGCCGGGATGGGTCTTTCTGGTGGATAGTGGTCCTAGAAAGGGGAGTTTCGTTCGCTCGCTCGTGTTTAAGGGGGATGTTGATGAAGGAGGTCTTCCTGATTTAGAAGGTATCTAGGATCTACAGGTGGGAGCTAGAGGACTGATAGAAGTAGGCTCTGTTGTATAGAGAAAGTGAAGAGATAAATAGACGACCTGTTCAACACGAATCTATGGAAACCATAGCAATAGACACAGAATCACGAAGTACAACTTCAACCCACAACATGTCCACCAAAACCAACAACACCTACACCTACATAATCGCCGGTGGCGGCCTCGCAGGCAGCACACTCGCCTCCCTCCTTTCAACCACTCACCCATCTGCAAAAATCCTCGTGATCGAAGCCGGTCCTGATGTCTCAAAACACCCACTGACGTCCTCCCCGCTCACGTGCTTCGGCGCGCACAATTCACCCCTCGACTGGGCCTACACGACGGTCCCCCAAGCCCACCTCAACAACAGGGAGTGCTACAATGCAGCGGCCAAGGCGCTCGGCGGCGCGTCGGCGATCAACTACGGCACATGGACAAGGGGTGATGCAGCGGATTATGATCGGTGGGCGGAGGTCGTTGGGGATGAGGGGTGGAGTATGCGGGGCTTTTGCCGTATTTTCGAAAGACTGAGACGTGTGTTGGTGCGAGGGGGGATGACAGCGGGGATGCGCATGGGGTCGACGGGCCGATTTACAATGGATGTGTCTCCGGGAGTCATGCGGAGAGGAAGTATCCGCTTCGCGAGCCATTGAGGAGGGCGTGGGAGAGGGTTGGCGTGAAGAGCATTGCTGATATGAACGCGGGATCACCGGTGGGATTGGGCGAGTTGGTTGAGAATTGGAGAGAGGGGAAGCGGCAGATTGCAAGTGAGGTGTTTGGGATTCGAGATCGGGCGAATGTGACAGTTTTGACGGAGTCGATGGTACAAAAGGTTATTGTTGAAAGGGTGGGAAGAAGGTCGCAAGAGGAGTGCAGCTGGTTGGAGGTGAAGTTTTCCATGCGGAGAAAGAAGTCATCATATCCGCGGGAGCATATCGCACTCCGCAGGTTCTGATGCTCTCAGGTATTGGACCGCGTGACGAGCTCGAAAAGCACGGGATCGAGACAATTGTCGAGGCAGAAGAGGTCGGACAAAACTTTCACGATCACTTCGCCTTTGTGCAGTGGTGGAAGCTGCGCAACCCAGAGAAAGGGTTGTCAATTGGTACACCACTGTGGAAGAGCCCGGCATATGCTTTGGGCCTTCCATGCGACTGGATCGCTACCACTCAAGTTCCTCGCGACCAGCTGATTCGCGCATTGCATGAAGACGGCGAAACCGATATCGAAACCCACCCGTACCCCGTGCCTGGTGCTGGCCATGTGGAGACCCTCGTTGTCTATGCGCCAGCTGGCGCAGCTGTCTCGCGCGTCAATGTTCCTATGGATGGCACGCACATCGCATCTTCAGTGTTATGCATGTCATCGACCTCGCGAGGCCGTATCACTCTAGCCTCCGCCGACGCGACTACATCGCCGCATATTGATCCGAACTACTATGCGACAGCGTTCGACCGCACGGTTCTCCGAGCTGGTATCAGGCAGGTTGCGGACCTCCTCCTGAAGACGCCAGTAGGCCAAGAAATTGTCGATTCCGAATCACCACGCCCTGGCTTCAAGCCTCTTGGCGCGCAGCCTACAGACGAGGAGATTGATGCGCAAGTAAAGACAGGCGGCAACACGTTCTACCATCCTGCCGGCTCAGCTGCAATGGGCAAGGTTGTTGACACGCACCTTCGGGTGAAAGGTGTAGAGGGTTTGAGGGTTGTGGATGCAAGTGTTTTGCCGCATCCGGTCACTGCGCATTACCAGGCACTGGTGTATGCCATGGCCTACAAGGCAGCGGATCTCATCTCCAGTTGATATCGTCGTGTCACTTGTCATATGTAGTTAGTTAGTTGCGAACCATCACTTCAGTCGGTTTCTCGTGGATAAAAGTAGTAAAAGCATTCTCTGGCAGAGGAGGCAAACACGGCGCATTGGGCGAAGAGTTGAGTGTGCCGGCCCTAGCTTGATGAATTGCTCGGACACAGGGCCAGCGCTCTGCATTTCGTAGAGTCCAAAGCACGTTCCAGCGAAAAGCCACTGATCTCGACGCCCGCCCATCTTCCCTTTTCGGCCTTGGAATGACGGCTAGATGACTCCGTTGGCGTTCTGCAGTCTGAAAGGTTGGACATGATCTCGGCCTTGATCTGCTCCGAGGCTATCCAAGGAGCCCACTCGGACTCGAACGAGCCTTCGCGGTGCGGCCACGATTTCAGGACTGCGATCGCGCGGCGTCGCACACTGTGATCTCGGCACCACATGGCCGCCGAGTACAGGGATGGAATGATGCCAATGTCGAGGGTCACGCTTGGGCGGTCGGGAAACCGGCTCATGATCTCCTCCACCATCGAAATATGCAGCTCATGCTCTGAGGTGTAGTAGTTTAGCGCGGTTTCATCGCGGAGGAGACATGTCTTGACGGTGAGGGCGTGACTGCGCTGCACGAGCCGTAACATATCCGCACCTCTCTGCTCCTTTGCGTTCAAGGTTCTGACGCACAGAACAAGTCAAAGCTCGTTTCGAATTCGCTGTACTGGGACAGAAGCTCGAGTTGCTTCTGGTGTAGTGCTGCGTAGTCCGAGAGGATTTCCTCTTCCGACAGGCCGCCGCATATTGTAAGGAACCGGAACACCGCGCCCAGGATAGAGTCGAGTAACCGGCGTGCCTCTTGCAAGCTGGAAAGGACTTTGGGAGCCGCAAATGAGAGTACTTGCGGCTGGACTCTGTTATTCCCCAGCCTAACCTCGCAAGCCCCATACTGAAGGGACTGAATTTCGAGGTTCGTAAACGCTGCGATGATGCACTGCTCAACATGCGTCTCGAGGTATCCTCCTGAACCCCATTCAGAATTCTCAACCCACACTGCAGATGTCGAAATGCCTCGTCGTATTGGCTCCGCAGTAGCTGTGTAAGAACGAACAATAAACAGCACAAAAGCATAACCTCGCGGAACCGCGGATCCCGCGACGCCTGCCGTCGACTGAGCAGAGAAAACGAGCGTGCACACTGATCGAGCGCGAAGCGTTTCCATTCATTTTGCAGGTCCTTCCCTGGTAACGGTATGCCGTGTATCTCTAGATCCTGGTGCACGGCGCTCAACGCTACAACAGAGTGGTAAACTGCGGGGTCCGAGAGACTTCGCTGGGGAAGAATCTCTTGCCAGAGGGGCGAGTCAAAAAATCCAGAGAGCGTGGAGATAGTCTGAGACGTAAAGTACGCATAGCATCGTCGCTCATCGGTGGTTACAACCCAGTGGAACCCGTCCTCGATTGCCCGAGGTATAAGCTGTTGGACTGCGGCCTCCCTTTCAGGGCCGGCTCGACCCATGCGGGGAGTCGTTGGAGGTCATATTCGCAAGACCGACCGGTACTGGTGCAGTTTCTGCATGATTCAGGAGCTTCGTCGCATTTGATGTGCTGTGCTCTGGACACGTTAGTATTGGAGCTCCGCGACTGAATTGTGTTGCTGCACTGCTGCGTACTCACCTGCAAGTGCGACAGCCGGTCCTCGACTTTTTCGTGCCAGCGCGTTTTTTTGGTCAGCCCCCTGTGTCCGCTGTTTTTAGCCCCCAAACCCCCGTGACCGACATGCGCGACACACCGCTTACCTACTGATCGTCAACATTCTCCGATCATCGGCACCGAATTTCAAAGCTTCACCCTCCGCAAAAACTCTCCGACACCAACTCAATCACACCACCTATGGGCGTGATCTGCATTGGAGAGCACAAGAGCGAGAGAAATTACCCATCACCAATACGTCTTGCATGTCGCAAGGATTCACCACTCAGACAACATCGCTGGTCAATGAAGGTAGATGAACGGCCAATATACGCCAGGCTGACCATATTCAAACATAGTTGCATATTCCCGCACTGTGCTACCAAGTAAATCACTTTCGAGACATAGTTTGATCTTCGCCCCCTTGAACTTGTCCCGTAGCGTCTGACAGGCTTCATCAAATAAGACATCGGTAGCATCTCGTCGCGGTAATCCAAGCATCCCTCCAGGGCAAGTAATATCACTGCGCAGTGAAACAGTCTTCAAGTTAGGGAAGTAGCCGGTTAGCGCGAGTTTGCCTATGTGGGTTAGCAATCCCGCAATCGGAGTTGGGCAGTTCTGGATTGCTAGGTAGGCTAGCGTTGAGGGAAGCTCTGGCGCGTTGGCAAGATAAAGTTGGTCGATGGTTAGGAACTCCAAGCTCGCAAACTCCTTGAGCGAGCCGCACTGAAACGCTGACAATATTGGTGAAGCGCATATCCCACAGGGGTCATCCTGGAATGACAGCTGCAGAATTCGGAGACTACCCCGGTGGCATGAAAGGATTGCGTAGAGTTCCTGAGGGTCCAGCTGCTCGGTTTGGGAGTAGCACTGCTCGCAGTTAAACGCTTCTAGCTCCTTGCATGATCTCACGAGCGTACTGATCCCCTCCGCTTTGATCGAGTCGAGGCATAGGGTCGAGAACGGAAGCGATCTGAGCCGCACGTTGACTGTATCTACTCGACCGCACGGATGCGGTTCTTTCGGGTATGAACAGCAGTAGTGGCTAACTTGGACCTTTTCCAGATGCAGGAGAGACAGGAGCAGAGTGATACAGCTAATATCGATTTCAATGCCCTGGGAATTCCGCAAGCAGCCTACTTGCAGTGTTCTGCAGCGACCTAGGCATGATGGCGACCCATACGTATTGTCTTTACTGCGAGCTTGTAATAATCCGATGAGAAATGATAGCCCTGCGGGATCAAGAGTGATAGATAAATCTCTGAGGTTCGGAAAGCGTGATATCAGTAATACAGGGAGAATGATAGACTCGGTTGCCCATAACTCTGAATCAAATGATTCTAATCCATTATCTTCAGGTTCTGGGCTTCAATCTTCAGTAGCCTCATGTCCGCCCCTGATAACCCACGCCTGTTCGCAGCCTCGGCTGTAACCGCAAACCCCGTCTTCTGGGTATCAATATCGAACAGTCGCACCTGCGCCGCGATGCGAGGACACGTAATAATCGTCCGACTGAGGAGTAATAATGACTGTGGTGTATCCTCAGCACTGAGAATAATTTTCGCGGTAGATGAGGGGTTGGGCGATTCCGGGAAACTTCCTCGAGAGGAGACAGAAGTTTCTCAAAATTGTGACTGTGTCAATGCCGTCTAGGATAAGAAGCACGATCTCCGTGGGGAGGCTGTTTAATGACGTGTTCCAGTTGCATCCAATGGAGAAAGATAGATAGTGAATTTGGATTGATGCGGAAGATGGCCAGAAATCTTATGTGTGGGGCGGTGAGGCAACCCCGCCCCTCGTGACAGTTCGAACATCCGGTGATCCGTCCCAACCATAAGAAAGCTGCAAAGTCATCGGATATCCAGGCAAACTCCATTGTCATCATGGTCGTCAATGTGCGGCTCATATAACCCCATCCAGGCCCGGCCCAGGTATGCAAGGACGCGTGGCGGCCGTCGATCAGGCGCTCAGGCAATAACGCCTAATAAAAATTCAGCCTGGTAGCTCTAATTCGTGGCTCTGCAATTTAACGAGAAGCAATGATCGCGTCACAAGGGCCTTCTCGCGAACTTTCCGCGATTCATCGATGTTCTAAAGTTGGATATTTCTTCTGAGGCCTTCTTAATGCGTTGTCAGCTAGTACCTTGAAAAAATCTCCAACGACTTTCCGCCATGTATTTCCCCGACACTGTTCTCCACCTTCAACACATATTGTAAAGCAAGCTGGCTCAAGATGACAACATCTCCAGAATAATCTTGTGGTCTCTCCCTAGCCTTACGTTCGACAGAGATATCAACTCGTCAAGGCTTTCTAGCTCTTTGCTGCACAGCGCTGTCGACCATTCAATACCGGGAAAGATTTCATTGCGTACGAGGTTGAGGGTGATCGACAGCTTTTTCAGTACTGAACTCGGCGATGATAGATGGCGTGGAAGATAGTAAAAGCCGAGCCTCGGGTGGGGCCACTTCAATGCGGCGAACGACGATTCGATTACCTACCCAACCATCTCAGCCGAAACAAATTACTCGCTGGGAAAGCAGCTGGATTATCATGTCATACTGTAAGTCCGCAGCCGCGCTCTTTGGTTCTCTATAGAATATGGCCCAAAGGTGAGGGCTGGAGGATACATCACGTGACGATAGCTAATCCGTAATGCAGCACACGAGGAGTCTAGTTAGGAGGGAACAAGGCTTTTAGAGGCTACAAAATCACATGAATCCGAACCGCAGAACCAAGCATAAAGGTCCTAAGAGAATGGTCAGACAGGTCACAATAAGGACAGATCAAGGTAGTTAGATGCAATCGAAATCTGCCTGGTGCCCCTTCAAGCGAGCCGCCTCGGTTCCAACAAGATTCTAGATTCAGGCAGAAGGGCCAAGAGTAATACGAGATGTGGAGGGGACGGAATATCTCATTGGCTCCTGTCCACTTCTTGGCCAGGAACACGACTGTGCAATTAGGGTCTTGGCCATGGCCTATCTTCGTGGCGCAGGAGCCCCGGCGTTGATAAAAGCGTGCTTGAACACGAGAGCTGCATGGGACGCGGATGGAGCATAAAATGCGTAGAGAGACTTTGGGGAGCTGGTCGCACAGGTCATACCAACTTCGAGAGTCTTCGCGTCTAAGAAGTTCAGATAAACTGGTATCATGGAGTTAAACCTCACCGTCGGACAGGTTTCTGGTATCATCGCGGCAGGGGCAGTCGTTGGTATGTCCACTCTTACTATCCACTGCGCAAATAGCGCCACTGTGTCACTTGTGTATTCTTGCTTACCTCTGTAGCAAAAATGATCCTGCCAACTCTCTGCGCCTTCGTCTTTATCGGAACCCTGCGCGAACGAAATAATGTAGCGACGACGACAGCCGTGGCATGGTCGTCTGTCGGCCGACTGCTCCACTCTTCCTACTGGCCGACCATACTGAGCAGCGACTCTGCGGTCTTCACAGGCGTTCCATTTCGTGTCCTATTCTTCCGGTATGCCGCTATGCTGTGCACGATGCTTATTTCAATAGCAGCTATTATCACTCCGCTCGGTCTCTACGAATCGATCGTCCCTGGCGCTCAGACACCAGAGCAATTCCACTATCTGCCCGACAGCGGGATATTTGGGACAGGGACCATGACAAGGAATGAAAGCGTACCGTGGAGTCGAGCGTGCGGTAGCGATGTCGAGCCCTTTACCTGTCCTGATTTGACTCGGGGCATATCGTCGGATAATGAAACCATGGATAGGAGGATACCAGAGGAGACCATTAATCTCTTCTCGAGCGGCCTTTCAGCGTCCAGTATTTCTATCTCAAGCATATTCGACATCCAATGGCGCCAGTGGACGTGGACACGGCTGTCAAGCCGCAACCGCAGCAATTTCACCATGCCGATGCATTCATCGTATTACGAACCGTATCCTATCGGGATATATCGGCAGATTTCGACGTTAGTCCTGGAGGATGGCTACACACTGATTGACGGGCTCGTCGTCGACACAACGCGTGGAGGCGTCGGTTTTCGAAATCACAGTGCGCCTCCACTAACAACGTATGGAAGCACCTGGAGCGAGGACTTGCTCTTCGTCCAACCTGTTTCGGCCTGCGTCGATACCAACTTAACACTGGATTACGCAATAACAGACCACGAGTCGTATAACCTAGGCACAACGATGACTCCAATAAACTTGACGGACCGAGGCGGCTTCTCGCGGCTCAACACCACGTACCCGACGTGGGATCTTGCCGATGTACAAAGCAACCCGCAGCTCTGGGAGCGCGCCTACCAGGCTGCGTGGTCATCCAACGTTTTCGCACTAAGCAAACTCAATATCAGCAATGTGACCCTGGGCACCGACCCTAGTCAACCTCTCCGCCTGCGCGACAGCAGTATCGTACCTGGTGCCGGAATGTTTCCAGTCCAGCCAAGGGGTCCCGGAGGGTGTTTTATCGACACACAGAATGCAGCGGCTATCGTGCCCAATGATTTTGCATGTTACGTGACCGGCTCCCAGGAGATCCCAGAAGATGGGACCTTTGATGCTGCTCCGCGGATGATCAGTAAGCCCAGCCGTTATTCCGGCCCCCTTCAACCCTTGTGCGTTGCTTGATCGAGAGTGGACACTGACCAGTACTTACTGCAGCAAACCTGTGCGAAGGGGGCGACTATGACGAGAGCCGCGGCACTCTGGGAAACATCGGCGCATACTGTACTCTCATCCTAGGCGCATCACAACGATCCGATGGCAGTGGTGATGACGAAAACCACGACTGGCCCCTCCACACACCAAACACGGCTTGGTCGCTCCCAATGTACTCATGCGCAATGGCCGTCGAGGCAATCATCAGAACCGTCACCTTTTCCTTCAACACAACTGACGACCTTACCGGCCTAACCGTTCTTAACATCACAGACAAGACCTACGCCAGAGACGCCGAGCACCCACTATGGGCTGTCGAGAATCTAGGCGTGGACATGGACCCGTTCTGGATGCGTCCACTGTGGGGTCTCGTCTCGCATGAAGCCGCAGCGAATTATTCCACCGAGCAGCTCAAAACGGTTCAGAAACCATCTCTCCTTCTGCCCAGGACTAGCATGTTCCCGCGCGGCACCGGCGTTATGACCGAGGACTCGCAGAACCTCCCGGGAGTCCAGTTTCCCGACTCCGGGATGAATGCTGTGAGTGGCATGGCCTACGGGTCCATTGGACTGATGGATTACACGGGCGAGGGCAATCTTGCGCTCTCGCGCCGGTGGAATACGCTGTCCCGGTCGCCCGAGTCGATGGCAAGAGTGATGAATCTGGTGTGGACGGATTATGCCGCTAACGCTGTTGTTGGGACGAAAGGGAGTCCCCGCGAGCCTCAGGCCAGCAGCAGCAGCACCATCCTCCGCCGCGTCACGACCTATCGAACCGCCATACGGTACCAACTAGCCTATGCAATCCCCGCCGTCATCATGCTTGCAATCCTCGCACTCACCTCGTTTCTAGCCCTAACTGCCTTCCTACTCGGTCGCGCAACGCTCGGCAAAATGAAGCGATACCTCAATGCAACTTCAGCAGGACGGATCATGGTTTCTGTGCTTCACCGTCCGACTGTTACCGCGAGGGGTGTCGACAATGACACTCCGACTGATGAGTGGGTTCACGTGGAGGGGACGGTTGAAGTTACCACGGGGAAGATGCTACCCGTGCCTGTGCTGGCACCTGGGCTGGGGAGTGCGGAGAGGAGTACTCTTTTAAAGGGACCAGTTGTGGGTCAGGAGCCGTTGTAGATGTGATCCACATCATGGAAGCTCATGGAGGACGACATCCTTATGGTTGTTGTTCTGCTTGAAGCCAAGACGAATTGGAAGGTCGGGCCGACTAGTCAGGAATATACGAAGGCGGACCGACTCATAATCCTGCAAAGTGAGTAGAAGGCGAATGATTATTAGCATATCATCTTCTCGGTCACATTCATCCAGTGCGTCGATAACCATCATGATTGTTGTAGGTTGGTTTGAACGTAGCCTGCCCAGCGGCTGAAGAAGGAGTTTATTGAACTGTTCGCTGAGGTTTCTGGAGGAGATATTTGGGTCATTTTCAATTGCGGCCAAAACGTCAGGTGCTAGCTGCCGGTATGTGGCCACCAGCTGTCTTGTGATAGTTGAGACCAAGTATCGGGCATTGTCACGACCGCCTTCGCCTCTCTTGAAGAAGAATGTGGCACCAAGCTGCTCTTTATCCTTGAATGATTGCGCGACTGTCCGAGCGATGGTCGACTTTCCTGTCCCAGCCATCCCATTTAACCAAAACATAGGCGGATTTTTTTGCTTACAATTCTCTCGCTAACTCCTTGTTGCTAGATAGATATCGTATCGTCTTACTAAGTAGATGTGAATATAACGGATGCATTTAATTGCTTGACACCGTTGATTCATGAACAATCGCAGAGTAGTGGTAAGAGATGTTGCTTGTGACTGGGTAGGCGGATGTGGACACAAAGAATGGAAATGGTCGCACGCCACTGTCAGCTCTACATCGGGAGGCCACAGAGCCGTGGTAGAGATTTGTTTGAGAAGATTCATGCTAACAAGATATATGGTAATGACGCAATACTTAAGCAGGAACCCAATCATGAACATCATTTCAAACCTTAACCAGGGCATCCCTTTGTGCCCCAAAAAAGCTGAAAGGCCTCGTGCGCTGGCGGACGTTAGAGAAACACCCCCATGCTCAAACTAACATATGATCGCTCTAGATGTCAATAAATCAATTGTCGGTTTGGTACTGTTACACAGAGATTCGTGATACATTACACCCTGCGGTCTCCTGAAAGGCGGGGGTTTTGTTTTTGTTTGACTTGCCTCTGATTAATCCGTACTTCTGCGAAGAAGTTGATAAATAATAAGTGCAGCTTCTAGTTGAGGCGTCATCAGAAAGTTCTGCCTCACTGCCTTGCTGCTTCTCAGTCACTTAATATGGCCAGCCCTGCTATGAAAGCTCCCTTACGACCGCTACTGCCAGCCGCCACATCTTGCTCCCCTGATGTCCCAGAAACGACCCAGCGAAAGCGAAAGCGCCAGACGGTCGCCTGTACCTCTTGTCAGGCAAAGCGCATTAAGGTAATACTTGAAATCTTCGTGTTTGAGCCCAGCTAAAATCTATAACCTAGTGCTCTGGATCATCTCCGTGCGATGGCTGTGCAGAAAGAGATTCTGCCTGCTCCTATGATCCAAGAAAAGACAAACGTCGAAAAGAAGCTCTAAAATACGCTGAGAAAACAAACAAGGCCTTGAAGGCGATAATTTCTATTCTTTATAATGGAACAGAGGTTGATCTTGATGAACTAAAAGCCAAGATCAAGTCATTTGCTTCTCCCGAAGCAGTCATGGAGGAGTTGCTTGAGCATGTATAAATTTGGATGGAGCCTCTAGTCAACCCTCATGAGAATGAAGAGAAATATTACAAGAGGAGTCCTCGTCTTTGTTCATATTGATCGTTCTGACTAACATCCGGGTATGTTCAGATTTCAGTTTTGTTGGATTCTCAATCGTTGTGGCCAGCTCGCAGAGGGAGGGGATAGCCGGTAATATGATATTCCGTTTCCGGTCGCGCGGATTTCCTAGGAAATTGCCGCGTTATCAGTAGGCGGTCAGGTAGGCGTCGCCCTCGTGTCAGCATGAGTTTTGACCGCCTGTTGATGGTCGCGATCGAGTTCTGGGAAGCCAACGCGACTGGGAGTAAGCAAACTCCTTGACTAACTGCTGAATCCATGTCCAAGGAAATTGACACACCGGGTGCATTACCTCTTATCTTCCTGTCTCCGACGTGCAGTCATGAAGCTCAACAAGTCTACAAAGCTTAATCCAGAGGCTCACTTGATATATGCGCTTCGCCTGTGCACCAAACTACTCGCCAAACATCCAGATCTAAGACTCAGCAACAGAGTTGTTAACATTCTTAATGAGATAGATAACCTATGCAACGACAATCGCCAAGGCGGGTTAGCGAATCGCAAGCGAAAACAGAAAGATCCTGCTTACCGGCCTACAAAATCGTTTAAACGCGTACGCATGGCGCCCGCAGCTCAACGTGTTGAGTTGGATGCTTCTCGCGACCCGACAAACTTTTGCAATAATACCTCTGGCGATAGTACCTGTCCTGAAACCTTTCCACAATCCTCTGGCGGAACCTCTGACTGCCCTGCAACATCCTGTGATGTTACCTCTCATGCTACCGATGCGACAATCGGTCCCTCTAGAACTTCGCCTGAAACGTTCGGTCATCCATCAATAAACAACCATCCAGCCTCACATGGCGCATTCAGTCACCCACAAGAACCCGCAAGTGAACCCTCTTGCGATGTGATAATTCAGTCGCATGCAACCTCTCTGGAGGCCTCGAACTCCTCCCGAGAAGACAACTGCGAGACTTCTCGCGAGCAAGCAGCTGTTTTCCACGCAGTCTCTCGAGAATCAATGGTCGCCCCACAAGAATCTGCTCGCGAAACTTCTTTCGACTCACTAACACGCTCTCGTGAATCCTCCCACGACGCCTCAACAGACGATGAGAATACCTCTTGCGCTCACCCAATTACGGTAGCAATGGCGATTGATATAATCCATCAGTTCAGCCAGGAGCTTTACGAAACGCCCCAGCATATTTATGCAGAGATAGTACGATCGGTTCAGGAGGACCTTCAAATTCAATGGTCCGATGACAGATCGTGGAGGGATACTATTGAGAAGTCTTTTTTCAAGGCTCATAGATATGTGATCTTCAACCTTCTTGAGTACATTGGGGCTTCGGATTGGTTTGATAAGCAGGTATCAATAGCCCAAGAGTCCTTCCTCACAAAGAAGTGTCAGCCGATCAAAACTAGTACTGCTGCTGGCAAAGTCCTGGATAACATCTGGGAGCGATGCAGTCCACGCCTGAATAATGTCTCAAGCAAGTTACAAAAAGCTCAGCGTCAGCGTATATGGCTCCAACTTCACAGGGGAAGGGAGCTGCGTAGCAGACTTGCTAAGCGTCTCGGCCTCGGAATTCTTTTTAGTCCAAGAATTTGGTAGGTAATCGGTCTTTCTGATTATATCAGACTGCTAATAAAAAACAGGGACCTCCTTAAATTGCCTTGCGATAAACTTGACAGCACAATCAATCTTATTCTTGCAGTCCGCGAGCAGATGACACTGCTTAAACTCCTGAGCACAACAACTGGAGTACTTGGTCAATACTGGGTCTACAGATCTCCAAATCTTTTGCAATGGCCTAAAAGAGCACCATCTCGTACCAGAGCAGGAAATTAAGGACTTACTGGTAACCCTGCTAACAGACAAGGAGAACGGTTAGTACGCTTTCCCTAGACATTATAACCTTATCTAAGTTTATTTCAGACGCACAGACACAAACCGAGAACATAGAAAGCTTGCATGACAGCAGCCAGGCAGGCCTAGCATCAAGCGACCAACGGGCCGGAAGCGGCATTGCTTAGTGAATTCTGATTGGTCCATTATTTGGGTAGGCTAGCACTCCTGAGTATGATTTGAGATAGCCAGGCTGTAATCCTCTACGTCAGTTCCGAATTCAACCTGTCTTAGACCCTACAAGGGCCACTCATCCAGCTCCGGATTCTTTCCTACTATGTTCGCCACATTATTGCCAGGCAATCACCTACAGTCAAGGAGGCAAGTTATCGCAGTCTACGGCACGGAATTTGGTTGTTTGCTTTGCCCTTACTTCTAAGTACTTCCCACTAGCCGTAGGAAGCCGAGTGGTGATGACATTGAAACCGCAGGATAGATGTGCCCTGGCTTCAACAATATGGATGGTGAAGATATTAAGCTGAAAACGTTGTAGTTTTTCGGTTTGTAAAGGTTGCTACTACATGACCCTTATCTATGATGATGTGATTGGTATTGGATACAACCTTACTCCCGGGTGACTTCGGAACTTGTAGCCAAGTACACGTCATTCAGGTTGATTGTTGGCGGAGTGAAAATCGGTAACCTAAAATGCACTATAATTTCGACGTCGCTAAACTACTTGGGTTATTTAAAATGACACATCCACTTCTCATGCAATTGTCCTTCATTTGTATGGGGAAAGAACAAGTGAAGTCTCTCGACTCACTCTGGAACAGCAAAAAGCCCGCTCACAACCCGTAAAACCAAGTCAATTCAACCCGAAGCCAAGAACCCATTATCTCAGACAATATGGGCACCATGGGATCTGAAAAGTGTCCTCTTCCATACACACGCTCTGACCCCGTTCCCATGGATGCAGAAATTGAGTGCAAATATATCTCCCGTTTTCAGCCTCGGGTCAGCAAACATGTGGCTGTTTCCCAAGACGCCTGTATAGAGTGTCATATCGATCTGTTTGGTATGGACAAGATTGGGAAAGTGGCTGGAGGCATGAATGCGCATACAGCAGATTTTACGGCCCTGTGTGCTCCAGAGGCTCTCCCAGAGAGGATTGTTCTATGTTCTTATTTCATCGAGTATGCGTTTGTGCATGATGGTGAGTGCAATAATATTGATTCCGTGTTGCAGCGGATTGGCTTACCATGTTGTCCATTTTTAGACGTATCTGTGGATGCTGTGCAAGGGGCCAAAACTGTAAGTAGGCGTCACGGCCTCGATATTGAGATGATACTCGGCTTACCCTTTTCCCCTGGGAAGTGCCTTGAAGGGAACAAAACTCTATCGAAGGCTTTAGGACCAGAAAGATATGAAGACCTTCGAGCAATCATGGATGGTGGGTTAAAGAGAAAGCAATCTAGAGCAAAGATCTGGTCAGCCCTGAGGGAGATTGACCAGGACTACCTTAGTCGCTGTCAGAGCACTTTCAAGCAGTGGTATGAGACGGGCCGGCAAATGAGGGACCAAACATTTGCGAGCTTGGAGAATTATTTGGCTGTTCGGGCCCTTGACTGCGGCGCCAAGTATGTCCTACCCATTGCAAGTCTTATTTATTGTTCTGCAGCTAACTCACGCACTACGAAGCTGGGTTGTTCGCATGATTGGATGGGCCAGCGGGGTTGAACTCACACAGGAGGAAGAAATCGAAACCGGGCCAGTGACCTATCTGGCCTTCGTGGTTCTAGCGGTTACCAATGACATTTGGTCATGGGAGAAGGAAAAGAAAGTAACGCGGTATTCTGGGGAGTCTCTTCCACTAATCAACGCCGTCCAGATGGTCATCCAGATGCAGCAAGTCGATGAGGATACCGCGAAACACAGAGTGCTCGACATTATTCGCCAGAATGAGAAGCAATACTGTTTCCTGCGTGACGAACACTTGAACAGACCGAATACTTCGCATTCCGTGAGGAAGTGGTTCCAAATTCTGGAGTTGTCCATGGCAGGCAATGCGCTGTGGAGCATTCATTCTCCTCGATACCACCTTGACGTCCGAAATCCCTACAACTCCCCTTCTGTGGTTCCCTCTGTCTTTAAAGGATTGCAAATAATGCAATCAAGATCTGACGGTGGAAAGACAGAGAAGACACAGATGCAAAGTACGGAGACCCTATCCGATGTCTCTCCCCATCCGAGGCTGGCAAAGGCAGGGACAAATGAAAGGAAAAATCCACAGGCGGTGCTAGAAAGACTGGATGACTCGGTAAGCATCCTAAAAAGACCCTAGAGCCTATTCTGAATGGTGTAGGTCCTTTGGAGGCCGTACAACTATATCACGTCTCTGCCATCCAAAGGTATTCGGCAGCACCTGATAGACGCTCTACAGACTTGGTTTAATGTACCAAGGAGCTCTTTGGCGGCAATTTCCGGTGTAGCGTCCCTACTTCATGAGGCCTCTCTGATGTGAGTGTTTGTACTCCTTTACTGCAGGATTCTCTTAATCTCTTCTTAAACCAAGGTTGGATGATATCCAAGACGGTAGTCCTCTCCGCCGTGGCCAGCCAGCAGTCCATGAAATATTTGGCGTGGGGCAGACCATCAATTCTGCGTGCTACTGCATTAACAATGCGTTACGTCTGGTCCAAGAAATCTCACCCAGCGCAGCCCTGATATTCTCCGGTTGGTTTTCATTCTTCTCTGAAAAGTTTTTATAATAGGGTACTGAACTCCAGCAGAACAAATGGGACATCTATATATAGGGCAAGCCCATGATATCTCTTGGGCTGGTCAAAGGGCCATCCCTACGGAGGAGGAGTATTTTGAAATGGTTGATGGCAGTACGTGTTTCCAGGTGCCTCTCCTGCACTACTAACGTGACCCAAGAAACTGGGGCGCTCTTTGTTCTTCTATTCCGCTTGATGCAGAGTGAAGCCTCAGAAAACAGGTGAGATACCCACTCTGACGGAGGAGATTATTATCTCACAAAGTCAGGAACCTGGGTATGTGCCACTTCATGAATAAGCTCGGACGGTGTTTTCAGATCCGGGACGACTACCAGAACCTTGCATCCCAAGAATATACGTCGCAACGCGGGTTTTGCCAGGATCTCGATGAAGGGAAACCCTCGTTTCCATTCATCCGCGCGTGTCATGAACTGCAAGATAGCACGGCGCTCACTGAATGGTTCAAAATGCCGCGCAATGGGGCTGGAGCTTCGGTAGAGGTCAAGAGATACATTCTCAACCAAATACGAGGCAGCGGGAGCTTCGAGTATACGAAAGAGCTACTTTCGCATCTCCTCTATGATCTAGAGGATATGGTACGGGACATGGAGTCTGTGACTGGACAGAAAAACTGGATACTGCGAAATATACTGGTACAGATGCGGGTGAAAGAAGAGAGGGCCATGCAGAAGAAAGAGACTACCGTTGGTGAAGTTATGCGTGTTTGGGGCCAATATCAGGAGACAGCTTGGACGTCAAGCCTCAGTTGAGCACCGGTCATAGATCGAGGAGACAGTAATGGACTTCCAATGAAATAGGTTGGTGCGCTTTCAAATGCTGCTTGAGGGCAACGATCGCCCAAGAACCAAATGGCCCAAATAGCTCGGCCAGAAGGCCCTAGATCTCCGCCAGTGAAAACCTCCCATGCATAGAAGAGAGTTGAGATATTGGGCGACAGTCCTAATAGGGCTGTGAGGTTCAATCGCTCCCTTTTTGCAGCTTTTTGTCTCATTACGGGACACCAGAACTCAAGTACGTACTTTCCGCATTTTATGGGACCTCTCCAGGCCTGCGCAGTTTTGTTCAGTGGTCTTGCAGACGATCCCTGTGCATTTTAAATCAGAACCAGTGGTCATCTGACGATGAACTTTACACGCCTAATATCCAGCTGCATGAATTGGTTCTTTCTCGCTGCAATGCAGGCTTTGTGGCGTAAATACGTGACAGGTCATTGAGACCTCAACATCTTCCTGATCCTCGACCGAGCCACTAGTACTTCATCATTGTTGTGGCAGGAGCGCTACTGCTGGTGGACGTAAGCATGATGCTTATCACAAGGCGTGTCGAAAGGGGAGATACCAAGTCTTCCTTCGGTTGTGATGGTCATTTATTCGCAAATTCATTTTATATGTGTGAAGAATGGTTGTTATCTAGCGGCTTTTAGCCTGCAGTAACCTCCTCGCCTCTTAGCTTGCCCACAGCGCACTGGCCAATATGCTTGTTATCATGAGGGCTCATAGAGGTGATGCACACGGTGTTGAAGCCCAGGCGCTGCACTCTATAGACTTGGGGAAAGCGCGACGCTGCAAAAAATATTTTGGAGGCTTGACTAGAAACATGTGGACTGGTATGTGCGTGGTCTTTACGTACGACGGTGGTATCACTGAAGAATCACTTAGTCTCCCAGCCATCTTCACAGCCATCTTCACCAACAGGGAATAAACCCACCTCCATCAGCGGTGACGCCAATTGCCTCGTTGACACTGACGTCGAGTAATATCATAACGCCCACTAAGATTGTAACGGTTACAGATACTCGCGAGCTATCCAGGTATTCCCCGTGATTAAAGACTCTAAACAAGGGTGGCTCGAAGTACACTAATTCCAAGGCAGACTAGTTCGTTTGTAACCCTTCCATGAACCTGCTCCAGCCATGGAGCCCATGCTTGTTTTCAGCAACGTCATCGGTATTTGCAATTCAGGGACCTGGACAACATTTACCCCCCTGCCCTACAACTTCCCAACAAATATAACCCCGTATAAGAAGTTTCCCGAATACCAAGATCGGTGAAATATTGACGCGAGTTGTTAAAGTTCTAGCATACCGGCAAGGTTTGATTTTTCCTTGCCGCGACTCTTCATTCCTTTACATTGCGACATGTTTGCTATAGTTACAGGAACTAGACACAATTGGCCACAGATAACCTTAGAGACCCATCGTCATCCTTATGCCGAGTATCTTCGAGCCGTGATGGCTTTAGTATAGCATCACCTTTGCACTAATTATCTACTTTGTTCCGGCGGGCTTCTGCCGGAGGAAGTGAAATACATAGCCATTTCCACAAGCTGGGCTGTTATTGGAGTCATCATCATCCCCACCATCTATCTTGACTATTATTTTTGCTGTGCGTCATAGACTCTGATGTAGCGCTGAAGGCGGCTGTGAAGATGGCTGGTAGACAGAGCGATGATTTAATGATACCACCGTTAAACGTCGTACAGAACCAACGTTGCTCAAGCATTATAGCAAGCGTATGATTCATGATAGGCGCCACTTTCTAATATTTGGCCCACCACTAGAAGAATATGAAGGTCTGATTCATCGATTCTAGCGGCGATACTCCACTAAATACACGAGAAATAGGGGTAAGCTAACTAACTATAATAGGCAATAGCGCTTCAACCGCCTGTACATCATGACTTCCTCGGGATACCTGTGCAGACCCTTAATAAAACAAGCATGTTGGTCAGCGTGCTATAGGCAAGCATGCTGAAAGCAGCAAACGGCATCTGGCCTAGAATCTCATCTTTACTGGACCCCAGGGGTGATGACGCACAGCAGAAGGTTTATTCAGTCCATGTTCTAGCCCACGTTTAGACTGGTCTTCAGAATAATGTGTTGCAACTTGACTATCAGCACTTGTAAGCTAGAGTTTCTGCGTGATGTATACGTGGATTTAGATTGTGAGGTGATCCTCGAGACATACAGATACAGTTCTACGTCAAAAGTTTCCGTCAACCCCACCACAACCGAAAAATATATAATCGATCGCTCTACTTTAAATTCGAACCACGCAACCAGACCGACGTTAAATGACATAAAATTTAAATAATAGCTCCTTCCAAATCCAGCGAGTCGATAGAAGTTGAAATTATTACTTAATATTTGGTATACCACCCTTGCGCAGCAATTACTCCCTCCACCCGCCGTGGCATCGATTCAATCAAGTTGTCAAAGTAATCCTGCGATATCTCTATTCACGCTTGCTCGATAAGACCTTTGAAATGCCTGATCTCCTCTTTAGTACCTCTATAGCTCTCGATATGAGGGTCTAGCTGATAGATAGTCTCTTTAAGCCTCATCTAGGCGTGTTCGATCGGGTTCAAATCAGGCGAATAAGGCGGCCAGTTGATTGACTCAATTACCATCTCCTGCAACCATTCTTTGACCACGATTGCTGTATGCACTGGGGCATTATCTTGCATGAAGGTCATATCTGGCTGCTAAAAACTAGGTAGCTGATCCTATAGGGTCTCGAGATATGACCATCTAGAGAAGCCTTGTCGATTTGACTCCAGATCACGCCTTAGAAGCGAGATATCTGAATGACCTCCGCCCCAAATCACTACCCAGACCATTATACTAATTCCTTTGGACTTCTGGTAAGGCTATATGTAGTCCTTCTTCCATTTCTCGCCGTGGTGGTTGATTCTGAAGACCCATTTCTGGCGCTTCCCCTTGCCAATTTCAACTGAACATTCATCGCTCTATACAATCGCTCGCCATTGCTCAATAGTCCAATCACGGCGCGCGAGAGCCCATTCTAATCGTATTCTAGCATGTACTTCAAGTAATTAAGGTCTCCTTTTTGCCCTCCAATGACCATATCCAGATCGACGAAGCATTCGAAGTATCGTACTATTCGCAACAAGAATCGAGGTTTGAAGGCGGATTTCAGTATAAGTAATAAAGAGATTTTGCTTGATCGCATGTAGGATTGATCGCTGGTCTCTGGCGCTTAATTTAAGTGGTCTGCCACTTCGCTGCAATGATTTACCATCATTTCGTTGAGGATCGTGATCGAGGGTGTATTGGATTGTTGATGAAGGTAATGCGAGCTCTTTGCTAATCTTAGATCTGGTACAGCCAGCAGCAGCCATTCCACATATAAAAGCACGTGTATATGGGCTTAGCTCACTTCCACGCGCCCTATTAGGGTCTATTTGGGCCAATGGCTCGCGTGGCGTGGACATCGCGTAGTTGAATACTGGAAGTTTTGGTGTTGCGCGGCGCGCGACGCGAAATTGACGGAAACTTATGCACGTGACTGTATAGCTAGTCCCATTAATAAACGATTAGAAGAGCCTCACCAAACCCGACCTTACATCCTTTATCCATAGCCTTCAGTTTATTCGATTCCCACCATTTCAATTCCAGATAATGCTTAATCACCTTGCTGTCCATCATGCCTTCAAGCTCACCGGTACACTCTCAAGATAATCCAGACCCTCGTCCACAGACATGGGCAGCCGAAGCCAATCCTCCAAGTCAAGCGAAGTTTTTGCTCCGTCGGCCATATCTGGCCATACCAGAGCTTTTTCTCTAGCGATTCCCAGCATTCCCGCCCCCGTCATCGCCGCCAATGCAAAGTACATATTCGCGGCGGCATCCACACACCTCAGCTCCCAGTGCCCCGGGTTAATCTTCCGAACAGGCATTTGCCGATGTTGTGTGCCCCAAGCCACAACATTACCCGCCAGCGCCGGCGCCACTCGGCGATAAGATATATCATAAGGCAGCGTACACGCGCATAGCCCTTGTAGACGATTTAAGATGCCCGCTAGAAAATATTCTTCCCTGAGCGGGGGATTAAGCGAGATATACGTGTGCTGGCCGGTTCCCTGCCCCGTTCCATGGCCTGCAATAGAGACCGGGGACATGTTTGCGTGTAGGCCGTAACGCCCAAAGACATGCTTGAGCGTGTCATGGACGAAGACTAAGGTGTCGACGGCTGCGACAAGGGGTAAGGGGGGGAGTGTGATCTCGTATTGACCGATGGCACCTTCGGAGTGGAATTCTTGAATTGAGATTCCCGAGTCGACGAGAGTGAGGACGGCTTCCTCAACATATACACAGCAGGGGTCTCGGAGGGCATAGCGACCGAAGTCTGTGCTGGCAGAGGTGATATCACCACTGCGAGATTTCACCTTCACCGCCTCAAACTCGATTTCGAAGCCAATGAGGAAGTGCACTCCATGTTGGGCCGAAGCTTTGGCGATGGTGGATGCAATGGCAGTGCGAGGGCAGATGTCTGCACTGGGGGTGGGCTATTGGAGGCAGCTGTGGACCACAGAGCACATGACGGTTGCGAGGGAAGGGCAGCTAGTCGCAGTGTGTTCGCTGCTATTGATGGGCTTTAGGGACGCCCATTCGGCGACGAGGTGGTGCATACCTCCGAGATCGACCCAAAGAACAAAAGTTGTCAACGATGCAGTGGAGTCTCAGGGGGGAGACTCGAATGTGTTTATTGTCTTTTGCTAGTTGCAGTGCGTAGCTGAGCGTGGACACGCGGCCTCGCAAGACACCGGAGAGATCCTGCCATTGAAAACGGACGAAGCGGATGGTGGGGTGGAGTATTTGAAGAGATTGTAGTGATTCCAAGCCGATATTATTGATGTCAGCCACAGTAATTGGGGCCTTGACGGCGTGTCCGTTCATTTTCGTAAGAGCTAAACAATCTCCGTGATGTTGCAGAGACGAGACATGCTGGGGAGACAAGTTGGGACTAATATAAGACTTGAAGTGTAGCTTGCCTAGAACCCAGAGTCAAGGGTGATGATTTCCGGGGGTACATTCTACGCCGCAAACGGAACAACCAGGTTTGGATATTACTGGCCAACGTAGTAGCCGGGGCACCCAACCTGAACTAATTGCAGACCTGCTTATCCGCCAGTTGTTTTCTGTTCCTATCAAAATACAACGTGAGACCGCTTCATCTGAGAGTAATTGTGCCAAGTCCTTTGGCCCATAGGAGTATATAGCATGACCGTGGATGATCATTCGACCAAAACATGCCCTTTTATACGCTGAGAATAAGCTAGAGTATTTATAACCTATAGATCAAGCGACAATTCATCCCGGAGCAGACTCCCACCTCGCGATGGGAGTTACCAGCTTCACGCGTTAGCTAGTTAGTTAGTGTCGAACTTTAGTGACCGCTAACGTAATTCCCAACCGAGTCGGACACCCGGTCGACCCGGACACCCCCACCAAAATTGACCACACTTAGAACTTTTGAAGCTATTCACCACCACCAAAATACTAGTATTCTCATTATATTAATTATTCCGACGTGTAGGACAGTTAGTCCTTGTATGTCCCTGAATATGGCATTCAGAACATGTTGGCGGAGCGCGTTTTCGCGCGATAGAAGCAATTGGAGTAGAACTAGCAGATGGACCACCTTCTTCAAGTAATTGCTCATTTCTCTGCGCAATTAGATCCCTTGCCTCTTGTATTGAAAGTCCTTCATTCGGAGGCATTTGACGCCTAGATCGACCCTTTTTCCGCTTTGTTTTCTCATTCTCCGCGCGGAGATCATGTAATTCCTTCGCCATGAATGCTGCCTGGTGCATTATCAATTCGCAACCCTTCAACAACTCATTAAAGGTTCTTTTTGATGGTGAAGAAGGACTCTCAGAGCGCTGCCAAAGCATCTTCTTGACTGAGGATGCCTTCTTGAGGAGTTGATGAGCTGTATGAGGTGTGGCTAGTAATGAGGAGGCTGTTGAACCTCCTCCACGGCTTGAAGGGGGGGTAGGCGTTCCCATTGATATATTCAGCTTGTCAAGCACCCGCTGAGGTTCAAATGGAAGTATCCCAGCTGCTGCAAAGCCGCTTTGAATATTCTGAGGCGTGAAGACTGTCTGGTGAGCTGTAGGATATGTATTTAGGAAGTCAAGCTTGTCAATATGGTTGTATCCCAAGCGCATCTTTGCCTCGACTAGACCTCCGTATTCGCGCTTCAATGGCCCAAAGCAAACAACATCCAGAGGCTGTAGAAGATGAGATGAATGTGGAGGCATGCAGATGGCAATAATATTATTATCCACGCACATCTTATCGAATTGAGGCGTGAGATGACTGCCATGGCCATCTAGAACAAGTAATTGATATCCCCCCACCTTTCGTGTAGCTGTTGCAGGAATAAAGACCTTTTCAAGCCACCGAAGGCCTATTTGATCTGTTGTCCAACCATTCGCGCTTAATTCAATCCTCCAATCAGTTGGTATCCCATATTCTTCGAACCAACCCTCGATGAATTGCTTGCCTTTGAAGATGATGCAGGAAGGCACCATCCAACCACTTGAATTCATGCACTCAATTGTAGTAACCCATTCTCGATTGCCCGGTTGAACAAGATGAGGTTTACCAGGCATACTAGCTCTGGTAACCACCTTTGTAGTTGCAATTAGGCCCATGGCAAAGCCAGTCTCATCAAAGTTGAAGATATCATCATCCTGTATACCCCACTGCTTTCGAACCTCCTCTAGCTGCTTGAACCATGCCTCTATAACCCGGGGATCTTCACATTTCGCGCACGAGTAGTTGTATCGTCTAGCAAAGCGAGGTTTGACCTCATCATGTCGATTTATAAAGGAAGAAACCCAGTTCTTTCCAACTGGTCGGGAGGATGTTGGATCTGCCTCTTGAAGAAGAAGACTAGCCATTTCTGCCACATGAGAAGGCCTAGGAGCGACTCCACGTGCATCTCTAGATAGAATCCATTCAATTAATGATGCTTCCTGGTTCGCAGTAAGCCTGTGGCCATTGGCGCGCTGTTCAATTCGATATTGCTTCCCACTGAGTCGATCATGCAATGTTGACGGAGGCACATTAAAAACAGTTGCTGCGCGACGAACTGACGAAATTTCTTGCTTTTTTAAAGCAGATATTGCAAGTTGAATCCTCCCCTCTTGCTCCACCAAGTTTCGAGGCGGTTGACGCGCTTTTGGTGGCATGGTTGTTGTTTTAATAACTTCGCGTTGAACGCGCGTTGAATTTTGGTGGGGGTGTCCGGGTCGACCGGGTGTCCGACTCGGTTGGGAATTACGTTAGTAATCGCTTCAAGGCCGTTAGTCAGCGCCCGCTCGGTCATATTCGTCATTTCGCTGTATCGCTTTCATTGCCATATTTAGTTAGTTAGATTACACCTATTTCGACTGTCTTTAGTGCAGTATCGTAGCTAGATTCAATGAATCATGAATCAGACCTTCACACTCTTCTGGCGGTGGACCAAATATTACGTACGCCACGAAGTTCGACAGTCAGTTAGCAAGGGCGAGCCAAATGGAACGCTATCTTACGTAATAATCCTATTGCTTGGCAGGGGCACGAAACGCACCGACGACTAGGTGAGATGCAGATGGACGGCAACAACCGCATGCAACCGCCCGTCGGTCAGTCCCTTGGGCTGCAGCTCTGTGCTTGTGGGAATTCTCCGGGCAAATGGTGCCGTGCAGACTCGTAGTATCTGTGTTTCGGACAGCGTGGATGGGTGCGTCGCTGATAGAGCTTTACTCTGCCGGTCTTTGCAAGCCCATTGCACACAAGATTTTACCGCTGGAGCACAAGATGCGTCTCAAGACGACATCTGTTTCTGTCCCTCACCTTACCCTGTGATGTATGACGAACTCTTCGCCTGTCTTCAGGCAGATGAATGATGCCCGGATTGACCGGCCAAGCGAAGTCATTCGCGCATATGTAATATCAGGTGCTGAACACCGAGTTTAGAGAGGATTGTGAAATAACTCAGAACCAAAGTGCAAGCCGATGAAGATGTATTTGCTCCCTGAGCATTGGATTGAGGGGAAGGGTGTAGCACGTATGGTGCTGGTCAGTCCTGACGGCGGTCATTGTATATGTATCTTGCTTCCATCTACGGGAGGCAGTACTTGGACGCATCAGCTCCTCTTCCTGCAGGAAAAGCACCGCATTAAGGCGTAATATAAGGTAACAAGACGAACAGAAAGTGCTGGAAGGGGATCATAAGCCTCATTCTTCCTGCATCGGGGAATAACTGTTGAATGCAATGTCGTAATTTTTGTTTCGATGCGTTCGAGTACCGAGATGACCCATCTCACGGGTCCAGGAAATCAAAGATGGTGGAAGCCACAATCGGCGGCTATTCCGTCTGCTTTGACCGGGATGTTTCCCCGTTTACTACTCCGTACACATAAGATCTCCCTTGCCGAATAACCAACAACAGGGCTGAATGGATTCTTTGCTGGTGACGGGTCGGGGCAGAAGATGTTACAATGACCGGTCAATGTGGGAACCCGAGTGGAGCGAATTGGCCAAAGGCAGGGGACGTCTGCACATGGTGGTGACATGTTGGGTATGTCACCGGGAAGTGTTGTTGAAATCACCGGCACCAATATGTGGACTATAAAAATACTAGAGAGTCGGGGGCGGGGATGGGAGAAATAACTGGGCATCATGAATTTGAAGATGTCGAGTGGATCCGCCGGGCTTAAAGCTCGGGCATGTCTCTGCTCTGGATCGTCAACACCGGTCCTACTTCAGTGCGATCATTTTCCGACCGGCAACATCCATCGCGCCAGAGTAGAAAAGCCCAGCCAGATCCGTTGTCCAATGGTCAACGGAAGGAATGAGAATGACGCATGGAAAGGAAATCGTTCCAGACAACCCGGAAATCCCGATCACGATGAACGGCCACGACCCTTGGTAATGCCCGGATAAGATGGAATTGGATCGTCAAAATCTCCCTCGTTAGCCCGGTTATATGTACTGTCTTTCGATTAGGAGAGACGGATGCTTGCGCGCGTCAGAATGCCGCGGGGATGAAACTGTAGACTCTGGTTGACTACCCGGTTCGGCGGCGAGACAAATTCGATGTAATTGTGGTTGATTCTCTGCAGAGAAATAACCCGCTAGCTAGCATGATCGGTTGGAGTGAATCGTTCGAACAACAAAATGATGCCCGGGCAACTCGCGCCCACCCGTGCCCGCCAAAGGAAAAAAAACCGCAGATCCATTCTATATCCATGGGACAATCACAACGACATAAAATCGGATTATACCGTATAGGCGCGACGAAACCTACGTATAGGATAAATCACCTGCCGGATAACCCACAGCAGAATCGGAGGGATGATTTACTGCTCATCGACTCAAAGCGAATAATTGATTGACGAAAGGAGACGGTGAATTGAAAGCCGTCGGTGACTGACTAGAGCTGTCAGAAAAATGCCCGGGCAAGACCGCAGAGCACTGCGATGGCCGGTTATCTTGTCGAAACACGGGTCACGACACGTGAAGGCCACTCGCGTACGGAGAGATAAACAACGCCTTCAACAGAAAAGATCAATGTATAGTCGACTCTAGATACAAGACGTAGTGCAAGGGAGCAAGAGGAAGGAGCTTCCCCGCGTTCAGGAGAACCCAGATAAGCTATGTGGGTCCGACGCTCCGTATCTCCTCTGCTCATCCTTGTCTTCATGTACTCCGAAAATCCGTGACAGATGGACGCGACTTACCCGGGCATCATTTCACCCCACGACCCACTCTGACTTACCCTTGTTAGCTGGGCATCTATCCGGTCATCCATGACTTCTTCAGAGACATTAGATGACGATATATCAAGCTCTGAACGCTTGACCAATTTTCATCTCGCCTGCGATCCCGATACGTCACGAAAGTGTACATACCAATGAGATAAACTCTCACGCCCCAAATACCGCGTCTGGTGGTCAAAGGACGGCGGCGGTCGAAATTGAACGCGACCGACGGGCGTTTCTGATTATCTCAACAGCGCTACCTTCAACTTGCCCAGATACTTGCCCCGGTCGTGGCCATAAGGAAATGGTGAAGCTGTTACTTAACACAAAACAGGTGAAATAAACTCGAAAGATGCTCATGATTTCATGCCTTTATCGTATGCTGCATCAAAGGGAAATGCAGCAGTGGTGAAGATAATCCTTGAGAGCGGACAGGCGGATGTGGACTCAAAAAGTGCCCATGGTCGCACGGGTTTATCTTATGCTGCATCAAGAGGCCATCTGGCGGTGTTGTTGGAGATGTTGCAGAAGAATACCACGGGTGAATCGGGACTCAAACAACGGGAATGGCCGCACACCCTTGTGTCTTGCTGCTTTGGAAGGCCATTTGGAGTGGTAAAGATGCTGCTCGAGTCTGGAAAGGTCGACGTGGACTCGAAGGACAATTATGATTGCACGCCGTTATTCCATGCGGCGGCATGTGGCCACGGACAAATAGTGGAATTCTTTCTCAAGACGGACCAGGTTAATGTGAATTCAGAAGATAACAGCGGCCGGACTGCCGGTGGACAATCGATCTCTATCTGGACGGTAAATCTTTGTGCGAGGGACATGACTAATTGCCCATGTAGATACTGGTGAAGATCTGGCGGCCTCTCTACCAGAGGAATATGTCAACCAGAAGAAGCTCACGGCTTTTGGCCAAGCGGGATATCAGTATGCTTTACCAGCTGATCGCCACCTTCTTCCATTGAGATCAGCGATTATGGGTGGGTAAATAGTCACTGGGCCACTTTGAATCACAGCACTATTATTGGTCCTGTCAGCTTTGATCACTTCGGGGGGTATGATGCAAACTTTGGTTACACTTACATTCTCCGCGGCTTGCCTTTATATCTCACCGGGATTGAGAAAGATAGACATCAATCTGACGTGGTAGTAAACACCTTGTCATTCCCAGCTAATGACTGCCTCACTACTGGCCATGGTCCACTTTCCCTGAGCCACAAACCTCACAACTCCTTGAGGGGATGGTAGCCCGTCTGCGTCTCGCAGAGGAATGTGAGGACGTCGATATCAACTCGACCGAGGTAGGCGGCATATGTAGCAGGGAAGAGTGTTGTGGTGATGATAATGTTGAATGTTTCGCGGGTTTGGATCTAGGGATTTGGAGGCGAGGGTGGGGGCTGAGAGCTTGTCGATTGGATTGTGGCAAATCAAGACCGGCCGCTGATAATAGGAGTTGGGGAGCTTCTCTTTATCCATTATCCGCTGACCCTGGGGTGATGGCGAGGTCATCAAGTGGGTGGTAGGTGGGGTGTTGACTGTGTAGCCTTTGAGCTCATGACCTTCAGCCGCTGCACATGGCGCTATGCATAGGCACACACGTTCGAACCCAGGTTGCAAACCTCAAAAGTTCAATTGACAAAAAAGGGTCCTGCTTTTCTTCAAGTCGAGCGAGCTTCAGCCACGTCAGCCAGGCGCGAGGCCGTCTCAGCCGCATGGCGAAGCGTTGTCCGTAGGACAATAGTAAATCCAGCTCCGAGCTTTCGGAGCTCTTCAAGAGCGCCAGGTCCACAACTCCTTACCTCTCACAGGACAAACAACTTCTTGTAGGCTGACGTGGGCGAGAATCGTCAAAGTCTGGCCTTTGATATTATATACGGTGTATAGTCCCTTCGTGTGATTGGTTCGATGAGATGACTGGCCGGTCAAGCGTGTCATCTGTTGATTTTCCCTCTTTCCCAACTTGATGACTTCCTCCACCAGTCCAAGCGCGGATTCTATACCTAGCCTCGCCGAGATTTAGAGCAACCTTGGCCTAAATTCCTCCGGCTTCGTGCTGTATCGACGATGGCTTCACTCACGCCTGAAAATTACACGATCGCGTGGATCTGTGCCTTACCTCTGGAAGCGGCAGCGGCCCGCGCCATGCTTGACAAGATCCACACCCCCCTTCAACAGTCTAAAGATCCCAACGCCTACGATTTTGGCGAACTGCGCGGGCATTATATAGTCATCGCCTACTTACCAAACGGTGTGTATGGAACAGTGTCTGCAGCGGCTGTCGTATCTCGGATGCGTTTGACCTTCCCTCGGCTCCAGTTTGGACTGATGGTGGGGATTGTGGGCGGGGTTCCGAGCAAACGCAATGACATTCGATTGGGTGATGTCGTCGTCAGCAAACCCTGTGGAACGCATGGTGGCGTAATACAGTACGATTATGGGAAGGCAGTTCAGGGTGGGCGCTTCGAGCGAACAGGATACCTAAATAAACCACCACAAGCTCTTCTGACACATATGAGTCGAGGTCAAGCAAACTGGATGGTTAACGGCGAGGATAATATTTCAAAGTTAGTATGCGAAGTGCTGGAACGAAACCACAGCATGAGAGAAATATTCTCGCCTCCGAAACAGGACACAAATCTCCTATTTCATTCCTCCTATCACCATGCCGACACTCAATCTGACTGCGAAAAGTGTGATAAAGGGAACCTAGTCAACCGACAACCGCGTCATACAAGGGCACCATATATCCACTATGGCTTGATTGCATCCGGGGATCAGGTAATGAAGGACCCGGAAACACGAGACCGTCTAGCGCAGCAACACGAGATACTCTGCTTTGAGACGGAGGCAGCAGGCCTTATGGATGAGCTTCCAACTCTCGTGATCCGAGGAATATGTGATTATTGCGACCCCCATAAACATAAACAATGGCAAGGCTATGCAGCTTTGACAGCAGCTGCCTATACAAGATCATTATTATCCATTGTGCCTGTTGAGCCTAGCCTGAAAGCTGCACCACAGTCGAACTATTGTTAGTAGAAGATGACAATTGTCCATTGAAATAATGGCTGTTTGTGAAGCGCGCTAACTTGCCTCAAGGTTATAGCAGTGAAGACCAACGCTGCCTGCAAGATTCACTCCTTAGCCATCTGACGATGACCTAAGACGCATCGAAGCCACTAAGGGTGGACTGCTTGACGACTCATTTCGATGGATCTTCAACAATGCCCAATATAAAGGATGGTTCAATAACCCAAGGAGTCAACTCCTTTGGATCAAGGGAGATGCTGGGAAGGGTAAGACCATGCTTCTGGTTGGGATCGTCCGAGAACTGCAGCGGGAAATACAGCAATCGTCAGATATGTTCGCCTATTTTCTGTGCAAGGGAACGGACCAAAGAATAAACAACGCCACTGCCGTCCTGAAGGGATTGATTTACAGTCCAAAGACCACATCTTCTTTCACATTTACGAAGAAGATACGATCCGGAAGGGAAGAGCCCGTCAGCCTCCATCGCCCACCTTTTTCGTAATATTCTTAAGCTCCTGGGTCAAGGACTTCTCCGTATAATCACGCCGTGGAGAAAGTTGCGTCGTGACCTACAATCGAATATCAGTGCCAACAGCCTGCTTTCCAAGGGTAGGCAATTCTGCTCTCCTATTAAAGGAGGAATGCGTCGTCGCAGAAACTCGGATTCAGGTCGACTGATACAGAGCATCTGGATATGGTGCAAGTCTGGCTGGAAACCATGTCCTTGGTCCAGAGTACAATATCATGCCTTGTCGTTGATTCATCCAATGCATCCAAAATGATGTAGATTTTGCTTTTGGCTACAAGCATTTTGCGAACAATATCCGAGATTGCCTTCGTCTCAGGTTGGTCACTTCCATCCTGGTGCGATTGATAGAAAGCATCAAGATGCACTGCAGAGCCAACTCCGCCCTGGTACAGTTGGACGGCAAGTGACCGTAGCATGCCATCCAAAGGCTGCTTCGCCAAAGTCAAAGAAGAAACGAAGGATAAGACCGTCATTTTTCTGGCTAGATAATCAGGCATAGTCACACTAAGAACCGTCTTTCCACATCCCGCCAGCCCTTGCAGCCATAAATGTCGAGACGAGCCCGAGTGCCACGACTGGAAGACAGGGTTTTCCAGGAGCCACGCGCCTGTCCCGAATCATGCTGGAGCGTCCTCGCGTTGTTGACATTTGTAGACGGATGTGGTGGACTCAGCCAGCGCCTGATCTTCTCGGTATGAAGGTCCGACCTGATAGAATCGGTGGTCACTTTTGTTGCAACAGTGGTCTGCTGCACGCCATCAATCTGATGGTGAACTACTTGCGGTCAGGATGTATGCCAAATCATTATTCTTCAACCTTGTGTATCAGCTGATCCGTACGTCAGGCATCATCATTGTCCTCACATAGAGCAGTGATATAAGAGCCGAGAGAACAAAATTCTGGTAGACCTTCGGTGGATAAATCTCGTTAATGCAGACAAGGGTGTCGATTATAAGCTGCCATTTCCACAAGGTGCTGCATACTCAATGAAATTGCGCTTCAGCTTGTGGTCTCGCAGAACTAGATTTGCGCCCTCTATTAAGAGTGGCCGCACTGTACTGGTGTTTCCAGTCGCGGCTGCATAAATTAGAGGAGTATTACCTCGCTTATCTGTGACGTCCGTGTCAGGCCAGCGTTGAGTAGCAGTCTAAACTTACCAGAGGGCCGTGCCTGGAAGCGGCCAAAGGCCTCCCCAATTCGCGACAGAGGAAACACATGTAAAGGTGTCGGAGGCGCAAAGGTTTCTGACACGACCAGCTCCTGGACACAGGCACACACTTCGGCCATCCTAGGAGCTTATATATCGATTAACCCGCTACTCGAGAAATAGGTGGATTGGCACAAGAGCACATCCTCATACATACTCATTTAATGCTCTCGGTTCTTCAAGGATGAATTCCCAAGTCCCTGAAGCTGAGATTGACCGGGGCAAGCAAATGGAGAGTTCATTTTGGGGGTTTGACCCCGTCACTGAATTCGACTCTGGCAATCCAAGCGAGCAAATGGAAGCAAACAGTCTGAAGAAACAACGATCTGCATTAGCATCATCTAAGTACCCAGCAAAGTCGTCTCAATCGCCCCAGCTGCCTGTTCAAGATGTATCTTCCGCAATTCATTCACAGGAACCTAAGACTTGGGCTACCCGCAGCACAGACCGTTTAGCTACCAAAAGCGAGCAGAAGGAAGATGAATACTGGGGTTTCGATCCCGTGTTGCGATCTGCAACAAATCTAAGCATGAAGAGCGCTGCTGTGGAGGGGAGTTAGTACGTATTGTTAAAAGTCTTGCCTGGAACGTCGGTGTACTGATACGCATAGCAGCAGTAAAGAAGCTCATTGTACTGAGACCAGCCGTTTGGGGAAGTAAAGAGAGTGAGAAAGGTTAAAATAAACTAGGTCTTGGAAGGCATTCACGGATTGCGCTAACAGTTTCGAATAGTCTCAACCCACCATCAAGCCCAGCAGATTATTGCATTCGATCGCTTGAGCACAAGAACGAAGGAAGTGGAATGAAACAAAGGAATCAATTAATGGATTATAGGGTGTTAGAAAGTATCAGGCGCTGTTAAACTATCTTCCTCATGAATGTTCAAAGAAGAATATGCATACGGAAGCGAGTAGTGATGGTATGGTTCCGAAATGTTGACCTGCACGGTCAATGTTACTATATAGGCGCCTGTGGTATCGGGTGCATCTTGGTGAGCTTTCTGCTGAGAGCTACCACCTTGCTAAACCTGACAACTTCCAAGCAAGGCGTGGAATTAGGGAGCTCAATGATTTAAAGGGTCTGTAATAACTATTCTGAAAGTCATTCGCGTCTTTAATATTGAACTATATTGTCAACTGTGGTGCGTGCCTGAGGCACGTCCGCGAGCGAGCCGAGGTCACATGGATTCCCACATCCGGTTCGTGGCTCCCATGATTAGAGAATTTTAAGCAGTTGTTCCCATTAATATATATATAATGGTTCCTAGATGCTTTAATATCTCATACTATTCTTGCCAAAAGCTGACCGCAAAGAAATCAAATACTAGTATAGGTCGGTACTGATGGAGTGTCGTTACTGCAATTATACTAAAAGGAAAGAAATAACTAAAGATCGAATGTTGACTAAGCAAATATTTGGTGGACATAGCAAGACAGCAAACAGAATGGCCGATGGTGTATATCAGAGAGATGAGTTTAACGAGTGACTCGACTAACCCACAGGCTTGTGCTTCCACTACCACAATAATCTGCTTCGTCCCGGCTCTTCAACGCTCGGAACAGCTTCAAGCCGACATTATGCTCCTCTCTCCTGATATCAGCCAGCTCGGAGCTAAGTCTGGCGGTAGTCTTCTTTACCTCTTCTCTCGCGTTCATGTCATAAGGGCCAGGGCATGGCCCCGAAGGCCACATTAAATCGTAGATGGCTTTCTCTATAGATTCCCTTCGGCAAATCAGGGAATATCTCTTCGTTTCTAGTACTTCGATACGATTTCGGTTTCCTCGCTCAGATGAGCACACAGAGGGAGGTACTGAGAACGAGCCAGTATCGGACAGTAACGAATGAGTGGATAGTAGCGAATGAGTGGATCTTCGAGAAATTATTTTGCCAATAGTGCCGGGAAGTAGTTCGTCTTCGGCCACTATTGTAGAGGAGGAATGAATAGTGACGATGGTTCCGTTTCGGTTTGGTGATGTGGTGGGACGGTCCCCGGCGCCCATTATCAGATGCAGGCCACTTGATGATGTATGAGAGTCGTGTATGATAGCCTGCTTCTCTAACCAATTTGCCCATTTCATAATTCTGCTGAGCAGGCTGGTCTTCTGAGCTGGGATGGCAATGTCACCACCAGTGATTGTTGTGACGACTGACGGGGCCACACAAAGGGGTCCTTGCTCCGGAGACGGACAGTCACAGGCCTTCAAGCGGTCTTCACTGCGTGATAAGTGTATCCGTGAAGAGGGCTGTTCCATTGCCTCCTCGTAGGTGGCAGTGTCCGGCAATTGTCTGCTAACTGCTCTCCACGGCTCGAAAATATTGGAAGGATGGTCATCGCTATCGGGCGATAGCCGGCATTGTTCTTTGGACAAATGCCTTACCCACTGAAGGTGGCCTCTACCCCGTGCAACCATACTCGAACGCCGAGATACTTTCTGTTGGTTTTTTGGATCCCTATAGAGACAGTCCTGCCTGGGTTTATGCTCATCCGACGAGAGCGCTTGCGAACGTTGATTAATCATCAAGCTGTCATTGATCCAAATGTGAATGCGACTGGGCAAATTGTGCGAGTGACTGGCCACCTTAATTCTCACCGTTCACCATCTATCTCCCAAAGCAAGACGTTGGATAACCGCAGCCGCAGCACTGTAGGAGTGTTTGGAAGATATGAGATTAAAATTCAACTTTGGCTGATACGAGGGAGTGAAGCGTGTGCAGAGATGCGCTGGAATGATTTCCTTGAAAGTACGTTGCTTTTTTTTTTTTCAGCGGTTCTTGATAGACTCTTATGATGAGGCGGCTGCTAAGGATTACAGACCTCGGTGGGTATGTAGAGGTGTCTTCCTCCGCACGGTGGGCCCAGGGGCAGCAGGTACATTTCCAAGTGAACTAGAATGTGGAGTAAGTGGAGCGTAACTATTCCAGTGGCACTATGTTGGCGGTATGATTATTGCAAGCTTCACCTAGCAACCGCTAGACACCTCCTGCTAAGATGGAGACCATTAAAAACAGGTGTAGTTGAATGAATTCTTGATTCTATACTTTCTTACTTTGTACGTTTCTGCCGCTGCTCCTTCCTTTGCCGTTGTTCCCTTCTTCCTGCCTACCAACGCGGCTACGGCATATTCTGGGGTCCCACTTAACAATTCTCCTGCTCCAAAGTACACTAACGAGTTGATTGCAGAAAATTAGTCGAGAACACGTGGAGCCCTGCGCCGCAGTCACAGTCTGGCCGAAAGTAGTACGCTAATCAACAAGAGCTATGTTACAGTGGCATGACAAGAGTTTGAGTCGCCCACTTTTGCTGAGCCAATAAGGTATTCAAGAATACGTTTACTAAACTTAATATCGTAAGCGGTCTTCAGGGCGGTGATTCAAACTTCTTTCATGCCACTGTAATTACAAATGCTGAGGCGGTTCAGCCGCGCTGTCCTGTTGAATAAGGATCTGCAGTATGATGCGTCTTAGAGACGCCACTAATAATTCCTTTAATTATAGGCCCTCTAGAGCGCGTTCCAGCCACACCACCTAATTATAGAGTCATAAATAGTTCAGGACATGAAAAAGCTGCAAGAGATATTAAATACCTTATTCTTTATTATTCTTCGACAAATCTGAAAACAATTTAAGTATCAACTTGGCGTTCGCAGCTGGTATGCAAATAATGCCAGATGCCACGAGCAAAAAGTTCACACCCAGAGTAAAGTTCGGCGGCCTGACAAGGCGTAGATCTTAATAAGTAATACGTCCAAACGACGGTCAGCCACAAAGTGGCAGGATGATGTTTACACTTCCGCCCCGAATAGACTATAAGGTGCCCCTAATCACTAATACGGCTCTTCACGCCTGTGATTTGCGTTGAAAAAGATAATAAGAACCGCAGTTAACTACTTATATGAACTCCCAGGATCCCTGATTAACTTGACTTCGCTCTTATAGGTGTTAGACAAGGGTAGAAACGTATTATACTCCGTAAGCTTCGTTTTATAGCCAATTGGTTATAGTAGTCTCTTGGAAAGATCCGTACTCCATTATTCCCGAATAGAACTTTTGACTTCTTCCCGGATATTTCTCGGAGAACCAAAAAACAATCTTGTTATATCTGATAGGTTGAGAATCTGATCCGTCTTTAACTTCGCCGTAAGCTCTTCTTCCTCGGGTAGCCATGGCGATCCTTTCCTAGAATTCTTCAGGAGCGTTGAACCCACGAGAGAAATGAAGAAGCGAAGGGAGTATCTCAATGAGTACTTATAGAAAAGCAACCCTCCCACGTTGCTGAGCAAGGTTGATTGCGAAGTGGGAGAAGTTCTTCTGCCACTTAACCTAGCTTCAATTGTCAAGCGGTCGCTGTGGGCGGCTTTCTCCGCGGTCGCCCTTTCGTTCAGCTTTCATGCAGATCACGGGGCATGTCTGTGTGCTAGTCCTTGAGGACTTGGTAAGTCCGTATAGGTACATAAGGGCGGCTGCTGTACTGATGGGAGAAGTGAGAATGCTCTTGATTTCCATGATTTTGCGGATTGGTGGTCAGAGGCCCAGCTCCGGTCGCGTCGATTTCCTAGGAAATTGCCGCAACGTCAGCGGGCGGTCAAGGCGGCAACACAGGCTCTTTTAATTTTCTGTCGACCTTTAGTGACCGCTAGTATTCCGCTTCAACGCCGAACTTACCGTTAGCCAGCGCCTTCTCGGTCAGTTATCGTATCGTTTCTCTTTACTTATTTGGTTAGTGAGATTACCCCTCTTTCTCTTGTATTTAGTGCAGCTTCGCTGCTATGTATCAGGGATACGCAGCACACACATGAAACGCGGTCATCGGTTCCCGTTGGCAGAGACCCTGCGGACAATGGACCCCGCTCGGCTACAAGCCTTGGAAACAATCGACCCAACTCCCCAACCGCCATGGCAAGCGCCAGCCTTTACAGAAATCGACATCGAACCAGACCGGGACAAAGCCAAAGAGAAAGCATCTGCCAGACAGAAAGCAGCCGGTATCACAGTCTTCTCTGATGCATCAGGCCAACGTAATTGCCTAGGAGCTGCTGCGGTAGCTCTAGATCAGAGCCAAAACATAATCCAACACCGGAAAGTCTGCATTGGCTCAATGGAGCACTGGTCTGTATATGCAGCGGAGCTCATGGCGATATACTATGCCATTAGCCTCGTACTGAAGATAAGGATGGAAAACCAAGACAGCCCAGCGAATAAGCAGGAACCGGCAACTATCCTAAGTGACAGTATGTCTGCATTACAAGCCATCTCAAATGCGTGGAACAAGTCAGGCCAGAGGATAATCCAAGCGATTCGGCAATCAGCCCAAGAGTTAAAAGCGCGAGGGATCCCACTCCGTCTTCAATGGGTCCCAGGGCACTGCGGTGACCCAGGCAACGAGGCAGCTGATCGGCTGGCCAAAGGAGCAGTTGGACCAGATCAGGAACACCCCTTTCAACACCTCCTCTCACGGGAAAAGGGATTTATCCGCAACAGAATCCAGAAAGAATGGGGACAGGAATGGAAGGCGTCCAAGAAAGGTGGCCATCTCCGCCGGATAGATAAGGATCTACCGTCAATTCGTACCCGGAGAATGTACGGCTCGCTGCAACGGAATAGAGCCTACCTGCTCACCCAACTCCGGACCGGCCATTCATGGCTAGCATCACACGGCAAACTACACCAGTTTAGAGAAGATGATAAGTGCGAATGTGGAGCAGCGGAGACAGTAGTCCACGTCCTGATTGACTGCCCAAGGCTAAAGGTCATACGACAAGAGCTACGGAGGAAAATCGGGACCGCATTCAACGATATATCAGGTATGTTGGGAAGGGGATCTCAAGGTAAGGAAGGTAAGGAGGATGATATGCAAGGTGGTAGCATCCTAGGTGCAGTACTGGACTTTGCAGAGGCATCACAGAGATTCCAAAGCCGCGCGCCACAGGGCCGCTGAACAGAACATCAGGCATGTTGGCCACTACAGGCCGTGACGAGGCTCCAAATTCGTCTGGAAGTAATGGTTTACTGTATATAGACATAGACATAGACAAGGATTAGATAGGGGTATCCTGCATATTGCTTCGGCAGTTGGATTCTAAACCATAACCCACTAGGCTGGGTACGGATTCGTATTTTAGTCTAGTTGGGAAATCAACATCGGCGAGGGGTCAGGGTATGAATACACCACCACCACCACCACCACCACCACCACCACCACTACGACTGTATCAGGGCAGTGTGCCGGCTTTGCCTGTTGTACAGTATGAAGACCCTGAACATAGAGATATTTGAACCGCGCATTTCCCCTGAGAGTACCCCAAAGTCATGGGAATATTAGCATACAAGTGATAATCTTAATATTCCCTTAACAGTATCTCCAGTGGTACAGTAGAACAGTACGACTACCCTAGGATACGATAAGAGTGCGTGTAAATCTATATCTAATGTTACGGGCTGAGCTCGCCCCTTGGATAGACTCGGCCTATGGCCTTGTAACCCTGGTAACGCAGAATTCCTCCTACTGGACATGTGAGCAACATTGTTTTACACTTCAACGCAGCCCCCCCGCCCTGAACTTCCTGTTCTTCAACTATTCCTTCGGTACGTAGAGGCGTAGCTAGTTCGTCAATCGATACGCTGCTCCTAACATCTAACCCTGATAACTATATTTCCTCTTTCTTGTTCGCTTCAGTATCCACCCATTGTGGTCTTGCTTCGATGAGAAAGCTGGCTCTAGCATATTGATAATTCGCCTGGTGATAGCTTTGTCAATTTTGAGCCTTTTATCAGGTCAACATTGTAAAATCGAATACAGTTCAGAGTAGTCGAATGTCGGTTTATAAATTCCCCAAGCGCGCCTGAGTGAACGGACAGATACCGCATATCAAGCTTGCAGAGCTTTGGCAAGATAACGCCTTCTGAAAGTAGATTTATTGTTGCTTTGTCACTTTGCAGAATTACTATCTCAACGCCACTGAGAAGAATTTGGATAATAGAGGTGGAAAGGCAGTTATATGATTCCAAACCACATAGACTGAGTGATTGTGGATGGTGCGCCTTTCCGTAGATTGCTTTTGAGAGGGTGGCCAAGTGTCGAGTTTTTGACATTCCTTCGCCATTAGTAGGCAAATCCCAAAATTTCTCCAGCCACCAGCTAAAGGCGTCTGTAGATATTCTCAAAGTCACATGTGATAGGCGTGGATAGGCCTCGCCAAAACCCGCCCATCGCCCAAGCCCGCCCACGAAAACCCAACCCGTGGGTTGGGTTGGGTCTTAGTCAGCAGACCCGTGGGCGGGTTGTCTTCTGGCAAACCCAACCCAAGACCCAAATGGGTAACTGTTGAATAAAGGTTGACACATTGTGTTGATTATCTTGGTTGACTTGATTTTCTTTTACAGGGGTGGGATGCCTCATATATATGACTCCCAATCCCAGTTATTCCAAGCTTTCCTCACGTGATGTTTAACAGGCGGGTTCATGAAGGCCAAAACCCGCGTTGGGTTACCGTGGGCGGGTAAAGAAATGGAAAACCCAACCCAAACCCACGTTTGGCGAGATCTAACTAGGCCTGTAAAATGCTGTTCTATCGCATGGCGCACGCCACAACATGCAGGGTACCAAACGCGTAGGGCTGATGCTGATTTGCGGAATGTTGTCCGCGGAGACGCGGAGAAGCGGCAACGCAACCTATTTCGGACATCATGACGCAAACCACTCCCTCGGGATCCAGGCCACCAGTATCATCTGAGAGATGGCTTCAGGCTCTATTCGTCGGCGTCTATTTGGCCCGCATGATGCTTTCCATTCTGTAATATGGTTATAAAACATCCAAAGGCTTATATTATTCATGAAGCGCGCGTCCAACTACTTATGTTAGGATAATAGACGGATTCTCTGGGTTTCTAAACAAATATGCATGATGTTCCCGCAATCAAGCAGTATAATTCAGATTGTTCGTCTATCGCCTTGCATATTACGACAGACTGTGAGGCACTATGCGACCTCTCATGCCCTAGGCACACGCCACACTGGAGGACGAAGCTTCAACACGTTACTTGTCACCTTGACCTCGCCGATCTATACTTCGAGCAGGTTCGGTAATGTCCGAATACCTCGGTCAATATCCACCAAGAGCTGTCATACACACGACGAGAGTACGATCACGATCTGGACACGATTGATGGTAATCACAGGGATTCTCACGGCCAGCTGGCACCTCTATAACAGAAAACCGGGGGTTTTCCTCATCGGTGAGGTAACGAAAACCGAACTAGGAGTCGCTGAGCTTCCACGGGATGGGAATGAACCAAAAGCACAAGGGTCAAGGAGTATTTATTTCATAGACGCCTTGAACAAGGAGGCGATTCGCGACCTCCCAAAAGAGACAGCCCTGCTGACCAGCGCGCCAAATGTGCCTCCTCGCATTACACGAGATTACCCCGTCCTGCTTCAAGTACCACTAGAAACAAAAACAAAACTCGTCCAGTTAATAAACAGCCACAAGTACGAGCAGTGGACTTTCAACAACACTGTCCCGGGCCCATTCATTCGCGCCAGGGTAGGCGACACACTCGAGCTGTCCCTGACAAACCGCGACGAGACCGGAAACCCGCATAACATCGACTGCCACGCTGTCCTCGGCCCCGGCGGAGGTGCCGCCCTAACGACCGTCTCCGAAGGCGAGACCAAAGCCGCCCGTTTCAAATTGCAGTGTCCGGGGCTGTACATGTACCACTGTGCCGCGGCGCCAGTCCCCGTGCACATTGCCAACGGGATGTACGGGCTCATCTTCGTGCAGCCGGAGAAGGAGACGCTCCCGCCCGTGGACCGCGAATACTACGTGATGCAGAGCGAATTCTACCACGAGCCGCCGGAGAGACTCGACGACGGGAAGCCCAGCCCTGTCGTCGAATTCTCGTACCCGAACGCGCTCCGCGAGGAGCCCGACGTCGTCGTCTTCAACGGCCACGAGGCAGCGCTAACCAGGGATTCGCCGCTCAAGGCGCACGTGGATGAGACAGTGCGCATCTATTTTGGCAACGCGGGGCCGAACCTCACGAGCTCGTTCCACGTCATCGGTTCGAATTTCAACCGCGTCTATCGCGATGCGGACGTGATCAGCCCGCCCGCGCAGTTTGTGCAGACGGTTGTCGTTCCGCCCGGTGGGGCGACGATTGTCGATATGGCCATGGTGGTTCCAGGGACGTACACGTTGGTCGATCATGCGATTTTCCGGCTTGAAAAGGGGGCCGTGGGGTATTTGAATGTCGCGGGGGAGCGACGGCCGGAGCTGTATAAGAGTGCGGAGCATGACCCCCCTGCACCTTGCGTGGGGTGCAAGCTGCATCCATGAGCTACGGTTTGTTAAAACCCAACCCGCTCGTTCCACCCCGATTTATCGTGGATGGTTCCTCCTTGATATCCGGTCATTTTCAAGCTTCACGATTTTCCTACACCACGCGCAAGGTAAAATTAAATGGCCAGCAAGCAATGTTCTACGAGTACGATAAAGTATTTTGCCTAGCTTCTTTGGCTATATAGGAGAACGGTAGGCCTAGCCCTTTGGTTAGAAAAGAACTCGTTAGCTCAAAGCCATCGCACAGTGTCCATATAACTTGCAAAGTTAGCATACGGTTTTTCATGTCTGCCTTGTGTGGTGCTTTCTATCAAAAGAAAGCGAGATCCAATCCCTTAATATATTCTATACTACTGTATGAAGATGAGAGAGTTCCATCCCAGGTTGCTTTGGTTACGATGCTCTGATGTCCTGGCGATCCGCCTCCGCTTTAGGGAGGAGAAGCCAATCATCTGGAACCTTAGTAATAGCTCAGTCATAAACACGGGCCCTTGGCGTTCTGATCAGCAGCTGAGTCGGTAGCTGCGTGGGGGTTTCGAACGATCTACCCATCGTTGGCCTTCTTGTAGTTCAACTACTATTTTAACATACCCCTCTAGTTATTGTACAACTACTATTTTAACATACCCCTTTAGTTATTGTAAAGCAAGACTCCGTAACCAGAAGACGAACCGACATATTGCTACAGTTGCCTCAGTTGGATATCATCGATACAGATTATTCAACCAGTTATCCTACTCCGGAGCCTCACTGGACTATCTCTCTTCGAGCTTTGTTTTGTCACACTCCTCTCCGGAACAGTCTCAGTGCAATGCGCGTTTGAAACAGGTAGAACCTAGTATTTGCATAGATGAACAAGAGATATTTCTTTTACTTGACCTTCCCACCTCTAAGGCTCATATACATATTCTTTTGCGATATCGATAGTCGCGCGACGGACAATATCCGCACTGGAGTGACCGGAGTGACCAACGGAAAACTCATACTTCCCTGCCCGTACCACCCAACGCTCAAGCTTCTCATCGAAATATGCTAGCTCTTTTATCGATACAGACAGGATTGATCTGTGCTTCTGTCCAGCCGCCAGCCCAACCTTTTCGAATACAACCAGCTTTTTCAGTGGATGCGCAGGATCTCTGTCAGATTGACCTGCGTACACCTGTACCACGGTACCGCCATAACAGTTGCCCGTATTCTGGAGGCCCACAGATATAGATACTGCATCTTCAGATGGGCGATCCACCTTGAGGTCATCGTAGTCGAAGATCGCGTAGGAAAGACCATGTCCAAAGGGGTAGTTGACCTTCTCTTGTGCTAGACGATCGTAGTGGCGATATCCGACAAAAACACCCTCTTCATAGGGCACGACTGAACGGTCGCCCTGGTATGTACCAGGAAAATTTCTAAACGCCGGTGCATCCTCGAGAGATTTTGGAAATGCCACGGGAAGATGACCTTCAGGATTCTGATGCCCAAGAAGAACATCAAAAACCGAGATTCCAAGCTCATGGCCGGCGAACCATGCTTGTAATATTGCCGCAGCTTCGTTGACCCACGGCATAGCAATCGCCACGCCCGTGGAATTTACAACTACAGTGTTAGCATATGCCGCAGGAACTGCAGAAACCAGCGCATTCTGAGAGCCTGCCCTAGGCATCTCAAACGACCGCTGATCTTGCCCCTCTGTTCCCCACTCTTGCTCATGACCGGTGAAGACTATTGCAAAATCTGCTTCCTTAGCCAAATTGACTGCCTCTGAGAGGAGATTTGAATCACGCTCAGAAGCAGGACATAAGCCAAAGCGCAGCCAGGCCAATCCTGCATGAACCAAAATCCTGGAAGTATAGCGGTGGGCATCGACTTGATCCGTATCTCGTAGCTTGTTGCTTCGATGAAAGAGTAAACGCATTCTATGTCTTCCTGGATGTTGAAAAAGAACCCGAAACCATCCGGAGTGGAACCCGTCTGTTCCAGAATCAGTTCATTGTTGATGTATAATTGGGTTGGTCCAAGACCAGAGACGCCGATATAGTGGCGGCCGCTTTCCCGTGGCGTGAACTGAGTTACATAGTCGACAGACTTGCGGAAAGCGTTCCCACCACCAAATATGGGAAGGCGTACTGATGGGACGTGTACCGTGTACTGGCACGGGCTTGAACTGCGCACTGTCTCTGCCGTCAACAGGCCGGCCACATTGCCTTCACGACAGAGGCTACCCGGTTGCCAGAGAAGGTCTACAACTCGCTCGAAGCGTTTGGGCGGTACCGAGTCTTTATCACGCTACGATTCAACTATGGTGGTGAGGTTGTGTTGCGTCTGGTATCCATAGACATGTTGGTCTTTAAAGACTGGCTGATACGACCAAAGTATCACCCTGATTCGCTGGTGGTGATTGATTCTTTCAACCGGACGGCATATATATCTTCAGCTCAAAAGCCAGAGGAGGAGTATTCAAACTCTAGCTGGACCCTCTGGAGCTGCCCACTTGTTCCTGCAGATGATTCGGCTTTATATAACGCTGCTATGGCGGCAATTCCCCACGTATTGAGGGACACCAGGTATACAGAGGAGCCAAAGGTGGTGAGACAATGTTATATCCTCGCTAAGGGGAGTAAGGTCACCTTGCCCGCGAACCTGAGAAAGGGGCGAGATAAAAGTAAAGCGCTGAAGTCACCAGATCCTAGTGGCAACTGGTACGGCCGGGTAGCGGGGGGTCAGGTCTCATTGTTTCTGGAGGAGGAGTGCTATGTTTTGAATTTTGTTTAGCGAGGGTATGTTTGTGGAAAGGCGCCCATAACGCCCGTGCAACCAAGAACATCAGGCAATTAGGAATAAGGACTTGCCAATTACACAGTGTTTCTGGTTTGGACCAACAAACGTCAGAGCCCATTGAAGCTGCCAAAAACGCATCACCTAGGTGATATGTTTGTATCGTCGACCAATAGATTGCATGTTTTATTTCCGTTTCCAGCGCTTTCTGACGCGAAGTGAAAGAGGTTGCCGAATGGTTGGGCTCTAGGATGTGGGATTGTCGATTGCCAAGCAAAGAGAATGAGGTACAGAGATGTATGATCGAAAGCAGGAACCCGAAGGGTAAATAATCAGGTGTGTACCACCAATTTCGACAAAACAATCGGTTCTCGTCTGAGGTGAAGTTGGTGTGAGATAGGTTGTTTGCCCACCCTGTTAAAAACTAGAATTCGAGTTCGTTGTGAGAGGGATGACTATGAAGATCTGCACCAGTGGCTGCTAAATTACGGCGGAATCTAGTCTTTTGAATATGCAAGGCTCGGCTTCTTGTATCCTCCCCTTGAGTCAAATCCGCATTGACTTATCCATTGTGTATTTATATTAGGCTTTGAGATTTAAGCTATCTCGCTGGCTGGGAGAAAGTCAAGGTGGTGTTAGGTCTATTTACTCCTTTAATCACAAGGAAGCTTTCAGGAACGTCTATAACCTGAATGTATAGTAGTAGGAATCCAACTATGACTACCCCAGGAAAGATTCCGTGGATTTTAGAGTGCCAGGAAGGCACCACGCCACCATTTCCGCACGTGCGGGGATCCTTAGCATTGATGTACTTTACTGGCTCCATCCACGCTCATGAAATTGAACGCGGACCCCGCCTCATCCTTAAGCCAAAGTCAAAGACATAATATGCATCGGGCTTCGTAGTATCACGGAATGTGCGATAGAGTATCCGGTCACCATCCACAAACTGAATAACCCGCGGGCCGTATTTGTCGTCGGGAATAAACAGACGGCGCTTCCTGTGGTGTGAGCATTTTGGGGGTAATGTAATCTCCGTTACAGCACCCCGAGACAAGACTTCGACGGAGGGGGCGGCAAGCTCATCACTCTGTTCTTCCCCGGAAACGAGTCTTCCTTGAGTGCCAGAAGACCTAGTCCCCCTGCTAACAAGCCTGGCTATTTCAGGAATACCTCGGGAGGCGGTAGGACATGCTGCGACAAGATTTCTGAAGGGGTTTATTATAACGAGATGGGGCACTGTATACCGGAAATCTAGTGCAACCTGGCTCGTTAACCGCAGATAAAACATCCCATCTGGTCCGCGGGAAAAGCGTTGGATCTTTAGCCCTAGTCCCTGCGCAAGATCAGCGCTAATAACGGCGAACTCCCCCTGAGTAGCAGCAACAGAAATGTATGGAAACCTCCAAAACTCGACAGCGAGTTCCTGCACGAGGTTGCCGTTCTCGCCATTAATAAGCTGAACACCTCGGTTCCATAGGAGAGGAAGCATCTCACTATGGCCATCGGATAGAAGCGGGAAGTACCTTGTGTAGTGAGCCCAGGTCATCTCTACCGGACCCCCAGCGGAAGTGTGACTGGTCTGTGCGAAGCGGGTGGCGTATAGCCGAACACCAGAGAACAGGTCATATGCGTGAACTGCATCCCTCACCAGGAAGTATATCCGCCGCGTACCTACGGCTATGGGTTCGCCGGCGGTCCGTGGATCAAGACCGGCCGGCTCATTGATTGTATGTAGCTTGTGGTTTTCTTCAAGGGAGTAGACATCAATGCTACCAGATAGATCAACGTATTAGGTTAGGCCACCTGCTCGCCATAAATAGAGCAAAGAGCTGTATGGGGTGCATACCTCATGGCTTCATCCCTCGGCGAACGCTCACGGCGCTCGACGACGAGGTAGCCGTTTGCATTGAGGAAAAAATTTCGGCAGTAATAGGGCGGTGGCTGGCACTGCAGTATTTGAACTGGAAAGAGCGACCAGTCTTCTTTGAAGGAAAGCCGCTGCCAGTAGAAGTCGCCACCGGAACGCCATGCTGCATAGTCGCCTACGACCACAAGACCATCTCGCGCCACGATCCTGCGGACGCTTGTTGGCTTGCCGGATTCAAGATTTGCTTCGACGGCCGCTGTGAAAGTATTAGTAAAATTTTGGGAAGAGGGAACAGGTACCGACCTAGTTCTTTGAACTTTCGAAGGCGCATGGTGGGTTCCTTCCCGGCTTCACTATTCCACAGCCCGCAAAAGTTGCTAGAGAGGCCAGATGATACGATCCATACCCGTATGAAATCCCTCCAGCCTTTACTCACACGCTCACAGCGGACCACTGTCCGAGGATCGAGATAGTACAGGATGTTCCCAGCTGACTCGAAGCTTAGAAGCTGAAAGGGGTCTCTGGAGGTCATCGTGATGGGGATATAGCGAATTATATGGAGAGGAAGCATTGGGCCTCATGGCTAGTTGTACATCGTATTTCGTGGGCTTAGCGCGTCACGGGGTGCTGAGCCATCTTCTTGGCGTGCAGGAAACCACTACCGAATGACTAGTATTATGGTAAGCCTGGAGCGTAGAAGGGAAATATCTGTGAAGAGACGGGTGGTAAGCTTGATACATCTTTCGATGATGAACTCACTGTCCATACAAGATCGTCGCACATATTTATATCCAATGAGTAATCTGCGAACTCTCTTTAGGACAGTGTGGTGGAAGGGATGATTTCCCTCATCTTTCCCGCAACTATGCCAAGCACCTGGATTGAAATCTTTCTCATGTCAAATCCATTCCATCACTGTCTTCACTTGAAGACCACCTAGCTTTCAATCCAATGAACGCAGCGTAATCCTCCAGGATATTTAACGATTCCCTACTAACTATGCCTATATTCCTGCTGCAAACGTTATGCTCCACTTCACAGAGACGGCGGTAGTCAATTCGGCACTGCGCAGGCAATTCAAGTGAGGGAAGTTCGGAATTCGGAGGCGCAGGTGGCACATCCGTCATGAGAAGAACCTTGTGAGGCCAAGGCTTAGGAGCTATAGGAGCAATGTATATGGCCGGGTATATCATCCCTGTTTCCCCAACAAAGTCGGCAGTTTGCGACCTTTCTCCTGTGCAAATAACGCCGTAATTCTGCCGATCCTGCTGCTGAGAGCAGCCCTGGTCGTTGAACGAACTTATTGGTCTCATGGGCGTCAGCATTAGAGTTTAAACACCATCTAGAAACCTTACATACAGGCAATACGAGGATCGGACGCCTTGCGCAACGACAACAAATCGCCTGACTGTATCTAGGCCTGTGTATGGCCCCGAGTAGGCACTCTCTATGGTCATTAATGCGCGCCGATTGGCATGAACTGTGGGATCATCATCAGTGACCTCCTGAAGATCCCTTCCAAGCGCGATTACATCCCATAACATCATAAAGACACGGCCGACAGTGAAGAACTTGGTCGCACTTGATGGGCAACGGGACCAAAACACTGATTACTCCTGATTAGTCTCGAAATAATTGACGTACCGGGTAAGAGCACGTACTGGGGTCATAGTACTCTGCTCCACCGCTTTTAAGGCCGATATGTTCAAAGATCCCAACATTTCGATTGGCCCAGACTTCGTGCAATACAGCGTTCTCATCCTCATATTCGCAACCGGAGTCCAGCTTGTACCGATCCTGGCCGTGCCTCTGGCAGACAAGAATACCATTTCCCTTATTCCATGCTCCTGGGGGGCGACAAGGCTGGAGATGAGCATTAGTATACAGAATTCAGGATTCTCCGGGAGACCACATACTATCGAGTCAGGGCCAGAAATCGATTTAGTGCCCATAGCGCAGAGTGGGTCCATTGTGTCACTGTGCCGTCATCCACAACCTTTTTGTTCAACTCTCCGAATAACCCTTCCATCGCGGCCTTTGCCTCGCGAATACAGTGGATTCCTTGAGACATTAAATCATCCCGCCATAATTGCTCCCCTGTCAGCGATCGCAATTGCCAAAGTGTCCGGACGAGGCAGCAGAGGTCTAGTATCGTTGGGTGGTATGGGGGACCGGGCGATCGGAGGTGATCGATGAGCTGAATGAGGCCGTGAAGTACATTATTTTGATGCAGTGGACTGATCTCCGATAATAAAATTTCGCGCAGGCCGTCCATCGACGATTTGCGCTTCTGGTGAGTTTTGAATTTGCGTCCGTTTACGAGCAAGTAACAGGATAAACGTGGGAGAAGAGAAGGCGTGATCTTGTGATCTCCAGCTCTGCCTCTGTTGGAGATCGCGGCGTACGTACTCTTCAGTCCAACACATGCTCTTCACATCGAGTGCCAGCTACAGACACAACAAACAGCTCAGCCTCAATCAAAATGGGCGATCGCACGCGTCCAGAGATGATATTCCTTCAAAGGCGATGCAAATTCAGATTGCGGTTTTGACTGTGTTGGGGCCCTTTAGGCACCAACGATTTCTCCCAATGTCTGTGGCTATGCTAACTGCCAAGGGCACCGGTGTTTTCAGTGGCTGACCCGAGAGCCAATCGCTGAAATTTTTATCAGCTAGCGGATCTTGAGGATCCCGCAGGGGGTACAACTCTTCACAATTGAGTCATAAACTCCTGTTCTTCCCGCAGCAGCAGCCACTCCTTTTAGGCCCCGTGAGCGATGAAATCGCTCTTCCACCGTAGCGAGCGTGACTGCGGCGCTAAGGATTCCAGATCAGAAATCTGAGCCCTCCACAGGCCATGACACAGCTCCAAATTTGTCGGTGCTACCACCTTGATGTTGCTAGGTTTTTTCTTATTCCTCCTTAACTGGACAACCATAAGATAATTAGATCCAGCAATTTAGCCTCCAGGGTAGATTCACATTAACACCTCGAGGTCAGGTACTCAATGTCCATTATTTCACGTGCACCACCAGGTTTCGACTGTCTTGTATTTTTTGGCTCAAGAGAGCTTTCTCGGTTCAATTCAGTCCCTGATGGTTCTTCGTTCTTTGAATCTCGCGGCAGAAGGTGCTGGATATGCTCCAAGAATGCCTTGATCCTCATAGCAGCAACAAGCCTCTGAGGCATTTTCTTGTTCCCCAGAGCCTCCAAAATATCAGTAACTATAACCTTCAAGGCTTTCAGCTTGCAGCTTAGGAATATTTTCCGCCGGCTATTGGTCTCGATGTCTTCAAGGCAGATAGGATATAGTGATATACGATGCGCTATAGATCCAATGTCATCGGACACTGAATCCATGGATTGTGTTGGGGCTCGAATAGAATCCATTGTTTTTCTATTTTATTTTTTTTTTCTTTTGTTTTGTTTTTTTGCATGGACTACCTCCATGCAAGTCGACGCCTCCCCCCTGGGGGGTTCGGCAATAATATTTGCCTTGAGGTGCTGACAAATGTCTTCAACTGCCAAGGTGCTCCGAATCAAGCGGAAATATTCAAGTGCTCTCTCTTCATCAGCCTCGCGTATTGTCTGGATAAGTCCAAGGAGCATTTCGTTATCCTGTTCTAGAGAATCAATCTTGCGCTTTAGTGCGATTTTGCGACGCCCATCACTCTCTTCGTCAATCACGCAATGTTGCCCGCTGCGACGGCAGAAAGAGCATGGACTAGCTCCATCACACTATATAGCAATTAGAAGAGCCCCACAGGATAAGTAAGAAGTCCTACCCTTTGTTTTCGTTTCCGGCATTCTAGACAAGCACTGGATGCCTTCTGCTGCAGCCGAGGGTGGAAACTGATATCTGTTCGAAAAATGCTAGCTCCTGGTTTGGGGGCAATCGCCCTTGGTGGTTGCTGGCTGCCCATCTTTTTATTGCCTCCCCGGAATTCAAGTGAAGAATAAATACAATCCCCTATCGTTCAAACATAGGCTGCTATTCTTCAAAAGTTCAAAAGGAGGAGATGAAGTGGGATCAGTAGCTGGTGGGTCGCGTCACACTGATAAAAAACAAAAAACACACGGATTCAAGTTCCACCAGTCGCTATTGGTTGTCCGCCACAATATGGTAGTTACGGTAGCATAATTCAGTGTGCCGTCGGGCTAAATTAATCCGACGGTTTCAACTCATCCATGTTGTCGCGTCACCTTGGCGTCACCTGGGCGTCACCTGTTGATAAAGTGTTGAACTTCGGGGCGTACGTAATATTTGGTCCACCGCCAGAGGAATGTGAAGGTCTGATTCATGGAATCTAGCTACGATACTGGAATCGAAATAGGGGTAATCTAACTAACTAATATGGCAATGAAAGCGATACAGCGAAAAGACGAATATGACCGAGCGGGCGTTGACTAACGGCGTTGAAGCGATTACTAGCGGTCACTAAAGTTCGACATAAAGCCTTCCGCTTTTAACATTTGGATTCTTGATAACGACATAATTTGAAAGATCACTTGCTCTCTCTAAAGTAAAGGCTGCGTGGGACGAATTAGAATGGGCTTCGACAGAGATAATGAATCACATGCTGAGGTAAGTCTATTCTTTTGCGGTAGTAACAAATGTGCGCTCACTAGATTTGACTCTAGCTCCTCTCAGAGCATGAGAGGCATATCCTTAGCGCCTATGGAAAAGTCCCCAGAAGACACAAACTTGCGCAACAGGTATGTTAAGATACCTAGCTCATTCGAGTTATTATTAATCGTAAACAGAAACGTGTCTATTTTGACCCTGGAGACATTGCTCTTTCTGCGGTAAAAAAGGTAACTGATGAAGGTGCTATACAAACTGGCACCAGTCATCCTGTTCGCGAAAGCATTTCGCATCCCTACGCGCCAGCACCTACCACTAGTAACATCTCAGGTGATGAAAGCAAGAGATTGGACGTCAACCAAAACCATAACCGAAAGATAGCGGATTCTCCTCTCTTCCAGGTCACCGAAAATAGGGATGGCAAAGGCAGTGAGATGTGATATTTATCGCAGATAGAATTTGGCAGTAATTCTGCTAGCCATAGTATGTCTTCTCTGAAGAGATCGCAATTGGAAGAGGCCACTGATGATATTATCATACAAAGTTTAGAAAATCTAGCGCAAGTCCCTACGAATCAACCCGAGCCGCGCAGCCAAGAGGGTGCCATGGAGCGTGTTCTGGTTCTTTGGCTGGATGTCACCTGTGCTACTTCCACATGCGCATATTTGGCGAGGCAGACCTGCTTTATGATCTGCGCCTTCGTTTACGCAGTACGGAGCACCCATAGTGGATGGTTAAAATTCTACGCGAGAATATAAAAACCAAAGCTTGCATTCATAAATTGCTACTTGATGATGCTTTTCAGGATGTAGAGTGAAAGCTAGTGAGCGAACCCAACTCGAATAGCCCTTGAGCGTCTGCAGCTCAGAGCTGGTCTTGGCATCCTAGAACTTGAGGGAGCCACTGTTATCCGACCTACGCACCTCTTCCACCCTAATATTACCGCTGAGTACCCAATCCTACCAAGCAGACGGTGGAGGTTATTCAGGCGCAGCTGATCCGCAGATTAAGTCTTCCGTCGCACCTCCAATGACCGGGAATGCGATAGGGATGCCAGAATAGCGCTGCGGCAGAACCTAGAAGCATTCATCGTCCCTGAGCTCCCGCAGATCATCAATGATCATTGCAGGGCCAAGTCCTGGCTGGAGCTCACTAGTACACTAGCTTTCCATGAATGCTAGTCGTGATATACTTTACCAAGCCCTCGTATACCAATAGGAAAAGATAAAGAGTTGGCGTCATAAGATAACTTTGCGTATCAGGATAGAGCATCAACATTCGGATCCGGTTCGAGAATCTGCACGGGACTTGGTCTGCTAAGAGTATGCCTCCGCTTACCTCTCCTAAAGTGGATGATCAACGGCGGAGAGGTTAAGATATGCACCAAAAGTGGCCCTATAGGACACCGGATAGCTCTCAAACAGGGCCTTTCAAATCAGGCGGAAAATCTTGGTGGGCTTTGCAGGATTCGTCATCTGCTGATATTGTTAAGAGCCTGATATATTACTTCAAGGAGGGTTGTAGGCTATTTCGAACTTAGAATTTAGATATACTCGAGAAATCACGGCAAAAGGCTCAAAACCCCCAAAGCCTGATTTGAGACGTAGTCTCCCTCCCGCACACTGATACCCGCGTTCCTGTTTGATCCACACAAACGCCTATATGACGAAACTTCTATTGAATCTGTTGTTCCTTTTCCTTGACCTTTCTCTCTGCCTGAGCTTCTTGCGAAGCAAGCAACAGCCGGCATTAGGATACTCCGTTCCAGTCGCGTCGATATCCTAGGAAATTGCCGCGTCATTAAGGCGGTCAAGCAGGGATCGCCCTGACCGCCCCGTTGATCGTCGCGATCTGTGAGCCGACTCGGCTGCGAGAAGCAAGTTAAAAGGAACTCCATGACCAACCGCTGAATCCATGTCCAAAGAATCTAAAGCAGCGTGCGTATTACCTCTTTACTTTCCTGTCGACCCGTACCACCCAATAACAGTCTTCATTGCCAATCCTGGACATCTTTTCAAATGGTAAGGGTCGAAGTTCGTCCTTTGCCAGCCAGCAACGACCAACATTGGCAAGGCCGGGTATAGCGGAGATTGCGCCTCGGCCAATGGGGATAAGGACCAAGAACGCTGTTGGGAAGAGAAAGATCATCTTCTTGCGCTTCTCGGCTTCAATTTCCTCCGCAATGTCCAATACCTGGATTGGCAATAACAGGTGACCTCAATGTGGTTTGTACGACTGCCAGAGTCGGTAAAGCAAAACCTTCGGGAAATGCGAGAGTACAGGATGGCTTCTATCCTTTGGGGCGAAGCAGGGTGAATCTAGAGCCAGAATCAGGATATATCATTCCACCTACTTGCTTAAAGCAAGGCTTCACAAGAGTGATGTTTTCTAGGATCCATTACAAGCTATACTGGACTTTTCTTCCCATTCATAGCTCTTGGATCTCCTTCTTTACTGTAGTTGTGTTTTCTAAATCCGACATCCTCCGTATTGTTCGGATTAGCACTCAACATCATCCTGCTCAACATTATCCCCGATCACTCATACGGACTCTCTTAATATAAGGGGGAATGCATCATAACTTATCACTCGATGTTCATCCTGTTAATAAGTGGTTACTTGAATACAGTATGCAAGGGCAACCTGAGCGTCCCTGCGACAAGAAATGATTATCTGCATTTCCTTTTGGTTTTTACAGACTGATCACAACCAGAGCGAGTGTGACTACACCAGCCATCCCCATTGTCACTGGCACATAGCGGGACGCATGGTTGGGGTCTGTGGAGTCGCTGCTGGAGTTATCCGACGAGTCCGCGCCACCAGTACTCGTACTTGAAGTCGAGCTACCGGTCGTGGAAGACTCATCAGATGACTCAGTCGGAGTAGACGTGCTAGATTCCTCGATGTTGTCGGCATTGTTGCTCGCCGCAGTGAGCGTGTACGGGATATTCAAGAATGTCCCGCTGATGATTGTCTCTCCTCCGGGAGGCGTGGTCAACGGCCCCGGGCCTTGTGTTGTTGTCAGAGACTTACTGCCAGGATTAGGCAGATTAGCTGGATCAGGATACACTCCGTTGTCTTGTGACTCTATTCCAAAATTTCCATCACAGACCGAGGACGTGAGGTCGCTGCAGGTTCCTGACATTGAAAGTGTGGTTTTAGCTGTGCTTGCAATCGCTGCTAGACCGTAATTCGAGAGATCGTATCCTGGGCAGGCTCCGTAGAAGCTGTTGGAGACAGACCATAATTAGTGGTAGCTTACCAAGAGTCGAATATGCAGGGTTTACTCACGTAGAGAGACCTGAGCTCCATGCACAGCACTGGCACGACTGCAGCGAGGTCACCGAGCTCATGTACTCGTTGCAAGTAGACGTCAGATGATTCAACGAAGACGAGAGATTGTCCCATATAGTTCCAAAGTTACAGACGCAGCCGCCAGGCGCATTGTTGGGAGGCGGCCAAAAGGGAATCGGGTCCTCCGGTGGTGGATATTGTTGGGAGAGGATATCAACAACGACAAGCTGGTACTCGCAAGAGTAGACCTGCGACACGAGACTTGTCAGCAATGAAGAGAACAAGGACGAGTAGAACGGATGAGGATGGCAGACCTTGTTCCAGCAACTTTCAATGTAGCAGCCGAGGAGTGTGATGTCGTACGTCAACATGCAGCCTTGGAGTTGTATATCATCTTGAGCATCCTGGCCACAGTCCCCCAGAGCGCTTTCGGCGTTGTTAACACAGGTTTTCATGCTTGAGCTGTCCACACATCCTTCAGAGCTGGCAGTGATCGCATCAGCAGCGCCAGCGGTAGATACGCAGAGCGCTGCGAGGGCAGAAAGAATTGCCAGACGAGAAACCATCTTGGTAGGCTCAATTACAACGGTGAATGGAACAGAGTCAATGAGAAAGAGGGTTGTGGACGGAAAAGGGGAGAAGGGAATGGCAGCGCTTGAGGCTTAATTTATGGCTGGACCATTTGCCGACAACAAAGCAGGAGTTCCTATTAGTGTCGCGTATTTTAACCCACAGTGACAACCTCCTCCTGATCAGCTGGATCCAGACCCTGGACGAGGTCTCCTGTGATTCGGCCGGTTGGGGCCCGGACCCCCGGTGGCCAATCGCTTGAGAGACCCTGCAGCATCCCCCCTCAAGCCTTCGGGGCTCAACTTAACCGCAACAAGCTTAGCCAAGCTGACCACTCGTTGGAATGCGATGCATTGATTCGCGTGGCATCCAAGGCTTTCCCTAAGGGTATCAGCATGGGAAACGAGCGAATGCCGGTCAGGCATAGTCTACTTATTATCAATCAAGCCCAAGGTCGAACTAACATTGCCCTCTTGGCAGACAACCCGAGGCCAAGCGAGTCATGGTTAGCCGGATTTTTGACCTCTAGGGTGTACGAAACACATCATGGTCTTGGATACCTAGTTTCGTGGCATAAATATCCAATCCATGATCATTATTATGTGCGAGCTGTTGGTAGAGGCCGAATATCGTCGAATGCGCAATTCCTATCATGATCCATGATCCATATATCTGCGCCAGTCCAAGCCCATATTATGTCAGATGAATTCAACTCATTCTCTGACTATCAGCACCACGATCTTCACGCACCCCGAGCTCTATCCAAAACGCCCAAAATGACCATCAAGGTAGCAGAGGATAGTTCGAGGTTCCAGTTTCAGCGGTTTTCCCCCGAGGCAGCACCTGCTGATATCTTCCGAACGTTCCAAGAAACTGGGGCTGAGCAAGGTTGACTACGAAATAGAGAAGTTCTTCGGCCACTTTACCTAGTTTCAATCGTCAAGCGGCCGCGGTGTGCGGCTTTCTCCGCCGCCATCTCGTTCAACTTCATGCGAATCAAGGGGCGTGTCTGTGTGCTAGGTCCTTGACTACCTCCGTAAGTCCGTATAGGTATATCAGGGCAGCGGCTCTACTAATTGGTGTAATGAGAATGCTTTGAATTCTCATGATTTTGCGATCTCGAGGCAGAGGCCCAGCTCCAGTCGCGTTACTTTCCTAGGAAAAAAGCCACAACATCAGCAGGCGGCAATAGAGGCTCTGTGAACTTTCCCTCTCGAACTTGCCATGGTATGCACCTTTTCTGACGGTAGTTGCGACAACGAGTCTTTGGAAGATTACTATTCCATTTATCTTCTCCAAGTCCCAATATTCAACGATGTGATGCTAGACGTGTTAACCTATATGAACACCTAATCATGCATGTAATGGTTCCTTCACCCCTAGAGCTCCCAACCAACTTAATCACGAGACCGGGTGGATGGATACGGAAAGCCCTGACGCCCAGAACGGGAAGCTTTCTGGCCTCCGAACGTATCATAGAGCCCCTTCGCGGCAAGCACTGGTTGCTTCCCTTCTTTCATGCAGATCTTCAGCGGCTAGCCAACATAATACGCTTAGTACCCAACTTTCCGTCCAGGCGTTGATTTTCGTCATGTGCTGAACATCGCCCAGCAGCGAGGCGGATTGAAGCTTTGCTTATCCTTACTCCAGACTCATTTCACTGGTAGGCTGATGGGTCACACATGCTTCCCATGTTGCTCATATAACGACAGGAATGGAGCATTTGCTCGTTGCAGAGCAGGCAAACGGCCTGGATTGGGATACCCGAGGCCACGGAATAGTTATGGTTCTACGGACGCCACAGGCTCTCGATTGAGGGAGACCGTCAAAATTGTTCACGCGCAATAGCTCTGAGGGGCTTAGGTTACAGAGTATGCTGTGTCCGACTATGCTGAATATGCATTCGTTGTCCGCGGGCGTGTTGGTGCATGATATTTTACCTAGCAAGCCGAAGCAATACTTATCGTATGATTAGAACGAAATTCCAAGGAAGTCACGACTTAGACATCAAATCTGAAGGCCTGCGCGACATCCTGTGGGTAGTATTGCACGACATCAACCCAAAAAAGCTCTCTCTCCACTTTTTTTCTGTTTTACTTTGTTGTCTGAGATTTTCGGGTATTTTTGCTTGGTCAAGAGGCGGCCTATCGTCTGAAGCCATCAGCGGAGCATGCTTGTCATTCGAAGCTGAGATTAGGCCAGGCACGTGATAATAAGAAACAGCAATTTTTCTAAGGTTTAAAATTTCCTGCATGGTTAGAGGACCGGGGTTTCAATCCAACTCCAATGGGGTAGCTAGAGAGATAATAGTTCAGCACTCTGGACTCCCATGGCACTTGCCGAAAAGTTTCTTTTTTTCTTTTCTTTTTTTTTTTTTTTTTTCCTCCCCAAGAGATCAGGCCTTGGAGGGCCTATGCGTATAGCTGGGAGTTGGTTGAACTAGCCCCAGGAAGTGAGCAGTGATTTGAAAAATGCCAAATTGAGTGTACCTAAGGGCGAAATATGGCTTTGACGTGGAGAAATCCGTCAAGGAGACTAAACTTTCTTTTGTCAATACCTAGCGCGAGTTTATTTCATTTCCCCTGTTCATGCGCTGCGCAGAGTAATATTATTTCTGTGCCGGTGATCTTTTTGCATGCGCTCAATGATAGCACCTAACTCTCCCCAGTCAATTTCCCGGCACTCTACTACGGCGATGGTCTACGATGACAAGCCAACCAAGCCATGTGCCTGGCCTCACCTCGGCTTCGGACGTCAAAGCTCTAAATGACAGCAAACCTCTCGATATTATCGAAGCGGCTCAGATCGGCATATACTCCGTCAACGATTACCAGTATACAACTAAATTAATTAATCGGACTATGACTGACGGAAAGGCTGGACTGTTTTTGAAATTAATCTAACAAAGAACTTTTGGTCTATTTTTCGTTTTCTTTTTGTTATATTTCCCTCATTCTGGCTATGGCATTAGCCTGTCTCTCAGCTTCTCTTCCACTTATAACAAGGCCTGCCTCTTCCCCTTTCCATACCCCTCCTTAAACGTGGACGTTCTTTTTCTCGGATCCATGGCCATAGCATGGGAACAGATTGGGGGAGCCTTCTGGATCCTATTTCTTAGCTGGATTCCCTTCCTTTTATTGTGTCCACTACTTTATTCTCTTTTACCCAAAAATCGGAACCTTTCATGGCAAGGGTGTTTTTTCTTCCTGATCGTGACCTATATCTTACCTGCTTTTGCAATCTGTTACCTTACAAACAGTCTGCCGGCCCATACCTCTTCTTGATTCTTGCCTCAAAACGCCTCCCAAATAGTCTTACAGCGCTCGTGTCATCCCCCGAACTTCCGAGACTACCCATCACTGAACACCAGAACAACAGGCACGCCCATTATGGACCAAGGGCGTTTGGATGTTTGCGCGTCATGCAATCAACGCAAAGTTAAGGTATGAGGAGGATCATTGATTTTTTTTATACGAGCTCATTGTTTTCTTAGTGTGCTCGAGACAAGCCATGTCCTGAGTGTGTGAGGCGAAATATTGTATGTACTCCACGGCAACCTTGTTCACGGTTCGTTGCTTGTATGCACTGCATTAAACGCAAGGCCAAGGTATGAGGGAGCCCAGTAAATTTTTAATTATGAACTTATATTTGTTTTGTCTGCCAAAGTGCAGTGATCAGAGGCCATGTGTTCGATGTGTTGCGGACGGCGTCCCATGCGTCCCTAGGGAAAAAAGTCACGGTTAGTACAGCTTGGTTGATATGAGCCTGGTAACTGACAGAATCCAGAAACACAAACTACAGAGGATTCCTTTTCAACCATATCGGATGCAGCAACTTCGGCCACGTGTTTGAAATCTGTCGCGCCACCCATTGCTGTTCGCCAGAGCTTATTGCGTTCTATCAACAAATCCCGTTCCGAATCGACCGAGAGCCGTTCCTCTCTTTTTGGCCCGAGCCTGGAAAGCTCTCAAATCCCATCTCCAGTGAACGACAGACTTGACCAAATGAAACCTCCGCAAGCGCCGCATGCCCGCCTCAAGATTATCTCTGATACCAGACAACTTTCGGCCTTGAAATCCTGTTGGAACACATATAATCGCACAGCGTCAAGTTTTTACACACAGACGTCGTATCTAAAGGCATTCCTTGAGGTACAGGCTCCCTTCAATTCCATGGTTGGCAAGTAGTTAACCAGGACGACAGGTGGCTAGATGTGGGTCTGTGGAAGATATCAAAAAAGGCGTGATTCCATTACTTACGACATTTAAAGACTTGCGCAATCTCAGTCATGAACATCAGGATGTAATTCATGAGTTTGTTCAGTTTAAATATGCTATAGTATGGTTCTCCTCCTGATCTTGTGTTTATTAGCTAACTCCAAGTAGTTATCTCAAAGTTTGTTGGGAGAATTTCACGTCCCGAGTGACCTATTAGAACATACGAAGATAGGGCAGGAACCTGAAGGTTGCTGTGACCGTCTTACATATATCATCGGGGAACTAGCTTGCCTTAAGGCGGATATACATGAAGTCAAGCTATATCCAGATGAAATACGGGCAAAAGCAGACTCTATCCAACAGAAGCTCTTGATTTGGCATAAGGACCCATCAGTTAGGCTTTTATCGGAGTCTGGCCCGACCCGCCACGGCCTGTTGGCATGCCTTGCAAAGAACCAATACCGGTGTGCGCGGATCGCCGTGGATCTGATTCTCTCTAAATTGCCGGAAACAACGCAGAGATGCAAGGATATCCAAAAAATCACCCTTGATCTTAGGCACAGTGTGACAGGGCTCTTTCACCCACGGGGGGATATTTTCGACCGAATGTCCACTCTATTCTTAACGATCCCCTGGTTTATTTTCGTGTTAGCTGCCTCAGCTGCTCCATCAAGCGAGACCAAGGGATGGGTGAAAAATACCCTTTGCATGTTTAGGGAGAAGATGAGTATTGGGCAAAGCTCGGTGGTACTAAACTTACTTAATAGTGATAACCATACGCTGCTCCGCCCTCGTGTATTTCAACTTCCCACGGAACAATCGTACCCCAAGAAGCAGAAAAGGTGGTCACCGCAAGACGATATGTGGCTTAGGGAATTGCGTGCAGAAGGGAAGACCTGGGATGAAATCGGTGCAAAAATTGGGCGGACCGCTGCGAGTTGTCGAACATACAGTCACCGCCGCCACAGCTTACGCGAAAACCCTCGGTGGAAACCGGCAGAAGATGAATTGCTCTATAAATCGGTCACACAATGGAAGTCCTGGGATCGCGTTAGTGAAGCATTTGGTGGGAAGCGGACCCGTGCTGGCTGTCATCGACGCTGGTTGCGCTTGCAACAACTCAGCAAGTTAGACTAGGATGGCTTCCCCTAAATGCCGCTGGGAGGCAGTTTCTAGGCACCAAGAGATTCACGGGCCAAGTTCCCTCGCTCCGCCTGCTAGCACTTCCCCGTCTAAGCAAGTTATCTCGCCACCATCCAGAGTTTCCAACAGGATCTCGATCGCAAATTTGACTGAGAGTACCTCGATAGGCGCATGCGAGTCGCGAGGTTCCTCACAAGTGAAACTATTCGAGTGCCCACACCCTGGTTGTACAGCAGGCCCCTTTGAGGCAAATAGTCGACTACAGTGAGTATAGAACAAAATTTAGGTGTGGGGAGACATACTGACTGCTTCATGGTTACATTCTAAAAGAGTTGTTTTGTTTCGCGTAACTCGTAAATTTATCATACCAGTCTATACCTTCTCAAGGCGTAGTTGCTGACGATTGTCAGGGCTAGCTTGCAATACTGCTTGATTTTGATAGGCCAGTAGTTTGGTTCCCCCTATCTGTGCGCGTGCGTTGAGGCAGCTTAATGATTTAGAAATTTTTTTAGTCAAGCCAGCTTAAGCGCGCTGAAAGGCAGTATTTAAGACTAAGAAACCCCCTTCTGAGCTGGCGGTGCTTCTTCTTCCCTTCTCTTCTCTTTTCCCTACTATCGTTAGCCATGCCCTACACCAACTCATCCACTAAGCTTGAAGGCCGTCCGTCACTTAACGCCGATTTGATGGGCAGAAGCCGAGACTTCACAGAAGTATTGCCTCGGCCGAGGAAGACTCTTCCTCCACTGGAATGGGACGAAGATGATCCTGTCGCCACTAAACGCGCCTATAACACCTTGTCAGCACGCCGAAGTCGTGCTAAAAAGATCGATCAAGTGGAAAAGATGAGACGCCACCTTGAATTTCTGGAAGAGGAACCTAAAAGCTCCCAGGAGAGGGAGAAATTCTGGATGGAACAGGCACAAAATCATGATGAGAGCTCTGCGTCGCCTGGCAGCACTTTCCAATCTAAGCAGGATATTTTATCACCCTTGAAAGTTCCCAACAGCATCTCGATATCAAGTTTAATCGAGAGTGTCTCAATAGGCGCTTGCGAACCACGAGACATCACAGCAGTATCGCCTCAGCCGAGAAATTCTCTTCCTCCACTAGGATGGGACAGAGACGATCCTATCACCACTACACACGCCTATAACACCTTTTCAGCACAGTAGACAAGGCAAAGTGTGGAGAATGGATGAGCCGCCCTGACGTCACAGATAACGGGCCCTAAAATCTTGGAACCCCAGCTGGGACGGCATCGGGCCGCAGGGGCGGATGCTCGCCAACTTGCAGCTCCACAGATATTCCACCGAACGTGTCCGGTCATTCCCGGATTGACTCAAACTACGAGATAACCAGAGCCATATTGATTACATGAGTGTGCACCGATGACGATTTCCGACCTATGGTCTGGATTTGCATTGCTTGAACGTTAAACATCAAAAAACATCTGAGGATTCAATACCCCAAGCCCCTCGTCTTGGCTCGCCCACATGGAATCCGGTCCGGCAGTCGATCCCGGCAGGGTGGTGGACGGTACGCCCGGATTCGCCGCATTGGTCATACAGCTGATGAGTTGCTGGTGGCAGGTGTTGAGGGCCTCTTGGGCTCCGTGGACGGCCCGCTGTANCTGGACTGTTTTTGAAATTAATCTAACAAAGAACTTTTGGTCTATTTTTCGTTTTCTTTTTGTTATATTTCCCTCATTCTGGCTATGGCATTAGCCTGTCTCTCAGCTTCTCTTCCACTTATAACAAGGCCTGCCTCTTCCCCTTTCCATACCCCTCCTTAAACGTGGACGTTCTTTTTCTCGGATCCATGGCCATAGCATGGGAACAGATTGGGGGAGCCTTCTGGATCCTATTTCTTAGCTGGATTCCCTTCCTTTTATTGTGTCCACTACTTTATTCTCTTTTACCCAAAAATCGGAACCTTTCATGGCAAGGGTGTTTTTTCTTCCTGATCGTGACCTATATCTTACCTGCTTTTGCAATCTGTTACCTTACAAACAGTCTGCCGGCCCATACCTCTTCTTGATTCTTGCCTCAAAACGCCTCCCAAATAGTCTTACAGCGCTCGTGTCATCCCCCGAACTTCCGAGACTACCCATCACTGAACACCAGAACAACAGGCACGCCCATTATGGACCAAGGGCGTTTGGATGTTTGCGCGTCATGCAATCAACGCAAAGTTAAGGTATGAGGAGGATCATTGATTTTTTTTATACGAGCTCAATGTTTTCTTAGTGTGCTCGAGACAAGCCATGTCCTGAGTGTGTGAGGCGAAATATTGAATGTACTCCACGGCAACCTTGTTCACGGTTCGATGCTTGTATGCACTGCATTAAACGCAAGGCCAAGGTATGAGGGAGCCCAGTAAATTTCTAACTATGAACTTATATATGTTTTGTCTGCCAAAGTGCAGTGATCAGAGGCCATGTGTTCGATGTGTTGCGGACGGCGTCCCATGCGTCCCTAGGGAAAAAAGTCACGGTTAGTACAGCTTNGCACCAGGGACAGCGGCTGAGATCCACATGGTACTCGGCGCTGCGGCTGGGACTGCCGAAGATTGTCACGCAAGTGTCACACATCGCATGCCGACAGATTCCCGGCCACCGGGTCCCGACCGCGGTGAGTACTTCCCTGCGGATGGCCACTGACGAGCGTCGCGGCCCCAGTTGCTCCACAAACTGCGCCAAACACTTGTGCACCGCATCACAATGCAGATCCGGGTGAGGGTCTTGGCGGATTTCCCACGCTGCTCGACAGTGCTCTCGATATAGGCTGTCGTAGATGTCGTCCGTCCGGAACCCTGTCTGCATCAGCACGTGCCACGTTCTCTTGCTACGACCGCGAGGGCCCCGGGGCGGGGTTGAAGGGTGCAAAGGGGTGAAAGTTCATAGGGTGGGAGGAAGGGACGGCTCACTATGCATGCCAGGAGGGTAAGCATCTATCAGCAGCGCGGATGCGATGACGATGTGGATGTCATGTGGTGGACAGCCAGCTCGTGACGCGTAAGCGAGAAATTCTGCAAGACGGTGACCCAGCGATGGGTCGACGGGCAGCTTCTCCCGGGCGATCTGAAGGCAATCGATGCGGGCNCTGATGAGTTGCTGGTGGCAGGTGTTGAGGGCCTCTTGGGCTCCGTGGACGGCCCGCTGTACGTCCTCCCATGTGCGGCCGGCGGACTGGGCATCCTGCGCCTGCGAGAGTTGCTGCCTCAAAGTTCCGTTCTCCTGCAGCAGCCTATCTCTTTCCGCTTCCACCTTGTGTAGGTCGCATTCAAGATCTTTCACGGTCTTAAGGCAGACGCTGTGGTTCTCCAGAGTGTCGGTGGAATCGTCCGCGGCCTGCGAATGGGAGATGGGTTGGGATATCTATAAAGCTTCTTAGTATTAAGATCTATCACAATGGGCGAACTTGATAAAGAGTGTCCTGAGCTGCCAGGCATCCATGTATTGCAATACGCACAGACATTCCTCCCGAGAAGGAGAAGTTCGTCTCACTGACGTCACTTGTCCGACTCGTAAAACTCGTCCCAGTGTGACCGTGCGCGGCGCTCTCGGCCGAGCAAGGCATGTATGTCTTTGCGCAGGTCATCTGCAATCGTAGAGACGGATTCTGGTTTCTTGAATGCATTGGATTGGTAGAGATCCAGCAGCTCGTTCGACGTCTGGAGGATGAGATCTCGACTTTTCTTCAGGAGAGTGTAGCATGTACGATAGTATGAATCTTGGCCTTGCCGGCGGCCAATCCGACGGACAATTTCGACAATCTCGTCCATCTCGTATGTCCTGGGAGCGATCCGAAGAAACGTTAGAGGGGGATCGCTATTTGCTGCTTGCACTCCCAAACGTGCATTTGACCCGAAGAAGGCTGCGCAGTAGCACGGATCATACCGTCCACGGTGTTGCCCTCAAATACAGAATCATGCAGTAGGGCAATGCGGACTTGCTATTTATGCGGCCGTGGTTAAATCGCGGACTAAGTCTCAAATTCAACACAAGGTAATGGGCTTCTAACGTGATGTGAGAGCCGAGACAGGGCTTCCCCTTGGTTTGGACGGTCATCTCAATTTGAACTGCAAGACATTGCGCCAGCAACGAGGGTTACGATATAGGTTTTACAACTCCTATGGGGGATGGCTATAAATATCGATGCGTCGCTCCCGGCTCTCGCTTTCATCCTGCTTCCGACAGCCCTGTCTGCTGCGGCTGTGCTGTGATTACTCGCAAAATGGATACTGCCGTAGGTATTTGCCTCCTTCAGCAGGTGCCTCGCTTACTGTGACCAGGACGCCCTCCGTGTAATCTGCGAGCTCAGCGTGCGGGCTCTGCGCGCACACCGGGAGCAACAGAAGCACACCAAAGAGCATCGAAACCTCCAAGAGGCGTTGCAGCAAACCACCTCGGACCTGGAAGAGACGGTCGACTTGGCCGGTCTTCTCTACGACACCAATCAGCGGATGGGAACGGTGATTGACTATCTATTAAAGGAGCGGGGGACGGCCCCCACCGGGGAATCCCAATCCTTTGAGATCATGCTCGACCGTGTGCTCAACCAGCTTGAAGGCACCGAAGGAGATCGAACGGGTGGGACTAAGTCTCCGACCCCAGCAGGGGATGTCACCATGGCCGAGAATCCTGCATCAACAGGGGATTCACCCGGGGCCAGGAGAGCGGTTGTGGAGCAAGCCTGGTCAAGGGGATGAGAAATGGCCATTCTCCGTGGCTGGGCGCCGATAACAGGGGGCTGAGATAAACCTTTTTTAGTGGGCTGTTGTAGAGGGCGTTCGATCGTCTTCCCGGTTATCATGGATTCCTTCCCCATTACTTCCCTGGCTGATGCTCTTATGCGCATAGAGAAGTCGGTCATTGCGAGTAGATTTAGATGTTCAATTCTGTCCAAGACGCCAGAGCCGTACTAGGTTGTATATGTACCTACTTGTTCTCCCCAAATGAAGGCTTCCCCAGCAGAGACTTTGCCATTGTTCAGCCTGGCCAACCAGGCCTTGTCTGCCTCTAATCACTGTGTCTTGCATCATACATCATTGATATGTCGTCCATCAGTTACCTCAGACGCTCACCATCCATGGGAAGCGAGCCCGAGATGGAAAGCACGACCGATTTTTCGTCCACATCAGAAAGCAGCGACAACCCGTC